GTAAAAATTAGAGAAATAAAGTCCTATATGAGATCCCACTTGATGATACCGCTCCAGCTCATGCCCACCTTGCCTCGTTTGGAGAGAAACTCCCGCGCCGTCACGCCCCGCGCGTCCCGCCCGTCCATGGTGGTCAGCACGACCACGCTTACGCTCTCGCCAGGGGCGCCCAGATCAATGGCATTCACATCGACCCACCACCAGAACCCGTCCGTCTCCATGGGGATCATGTCCTTCTTACGGCCGTCGCGACCGCCGACGGAGAGGATGAGCAGCGGCGGCTTGCCCCGGCCGTTCTCCTCGGACGTCCAGTGCTCGCACACCTTGGAGAACTGGAACCGCACGCACGCCCCGCTGTACGCCTCGATCTGCTTCTCGGGCGGGCTGACCGAGTGCGTCGAGATGCCCTCCTCGTGGGCGTCGGTGTAGATCGTCGGCGTCTCGCCGTGGACGGGTCCGATGAAGTACTCCTCCCACGTCGGGACGCGGCCGTCGCTGCGGAAGAAATGTCGTTCGTCCTTGGGGTAGTGCGACAGGCCGAAGATGTCGTTCGTCTTCGTGAACTCGCCTGCTTTGAACACGGGCGTGAACTGCTTGGTGACGTGGGAGACGTTCCCGGCGCCCCAGCACGAGTCAAGGAGCTTCCACTCGCCGCCGTCGATGCGAACGGCGTTCCAGGCATGGCCGTCGACCTTCCTGGGCGGCGGACGTTCACCTTTCTTCAGGGAAGTGTAGCCGTAGCCCTTCCCGTGACCGGTTACCACGACGCACTCCAGGCCCGCGCGTTCGGCAATGGCCTTGTACGTGTCGGCATAGCCGGAACATACGGCTGCTCCCTTCCAGATCGTCTCCTCAGGAGTTCGGGACCGGACGCTGTTTCCGAAGAAGGCTGCGCAGTCATAGGCGATGTTGTGGTGGAACCAGGTGAAGATGGCGCGCGCTTTGTCTGTATGTGAAGCGAAGGGCCCACAGAGAACGTGGGCCAAGTACCCGACAGGGTCGTCCCTCGGGAGAGTCTTACGCGGGTGTTGGGAGGCGACAGAGTCTGGGCCGGAAAAGTCGCGGCATATAAGACAGTCATTCGTTGGGGAGACCCCTGCTCCGGGCTGTGGCGAGGTTGTCTCGATCTGTGGGATGGTGGGCCGGGTACTCAGAGGAATCGGGGGAGGAACGTCTTCGTCCTGTTCGTCATCGCGACGGGTGACCGGAATGGGTGGTGGAACGTCAGCCGGGCGCACGTTATTTTCTGGTTCGCGACGGCCGTTTGTGGCGAACTGCGGTGCGATGGTAGGAATTACGGGAGGGGGAAGCCTCCGCGGTGTCTGCGGTTTGACGAGAGCATCTTCCGATACATTGGCTTGCTTGTTACCGGAATCCCCCAGATACTTTGAGAACTTATCGGTAAGACGAGGCGGCAAGGTGGGCCGCCGAGGGGGCTCAATTTGCCTGACGGCAGGTATGCTCTTGGTGGAGTGAAGGGGTTGCACAGGCGGTGGTAAAGTCCTTGACTGTACGACTTTGTGTGGCGTGTGCGACTCGGTGCCGACGTTGGAAGCTGTCGCCGTTGCTTCTTTTGCCTGGGCCTCCCTTTCTCGCTTGGTAGGGGGAAGAGGGGGCAAGGTGGCGGGGTCGAAAGCGGGTGGCAGTTTGCGAGTCGCGCCTTCGACCGAATGCACGCTCGTGGCTGACGATACGGTATGGTTCAAAGACAACGAAGACAGTGTGGAGACTTCGGAAGCATTCGAGCCGCGTCTATTGTCGGGCTGTAGGGACTGGGCTGACGGCCTCCGCTCTGGCAGGGCTGGTGAAGTCTTCTGGGGCGGATTACGTGTGGGCAGCTGCGGAGGTACGGGCGAGGCACGGTCTCCTGGGGGAAGTTGAGTCCTTATCTGCAGTGTCTCTGCTCGGCGAGGAAGCGGCGGCGGGGTCGGCCTTGGTGTTGCATGTGCTTTCGGGCGAGGGGGAATAACCGGGGTCAGACGTTCCGTGGGTACGGGCACGTCGGCAGGCTCTGTCGGACGGGTCTGGCTTCGATTCTGGGGCCTTAGGGGTGCTGAGGGAGGGGGAGGCGGAGCTCTCTTCGGTTTCGGATCGAGGGATTGGAAGTTCTTCTGCTTATTGAGAGCCGCGATTCGCTCGGCTAGCGTGGTGAACTGGGGTTCGTCGACGTCGGCCATGACGGGAAGTGGGCAAGGGGTAGTCGGAAGAGATGGGGATCGATGAGGTTCGATTTCAAAAGAAGTCGATGCAGGGACCTCTTAGGCGAGCCATGAAGCTCCTGGGCGACTGGGCGACTGGGAGAGGGCGTTTCCGAAGGGGTGGGTGCGCGCGGTAAGCTATGGGATTCCGGATAGTATTGCTGAGATCTAAGTTGTAACTCGCTATTGATGGTGGGACGGTGTGACAGAAACGGTATCGCCGGTCCCAAGAATAAAGAAGAGATCCCGATCCGCGTCGTAAGCTGAAAGAGACGAGTAGGTGACTGGCTAGTCAAATGATGGACGAGATTTTACGGGGAGAGGGCCACGGAGATGGAAAGAGGAGCAAAAAGAACAAGGATGGAAGAGACGTCGAATCATTAATAAAAGGAAATGATGGAAATAGAAGTGGCGCAGCCCCCCATAGACCGAAGATACAAAACGATGGTCGAGGATGGGTAAATTGGAAGAGGAGAGGGATGAATGGAAGAAAAGTCCCGAGATGCTGTTCAGGTACGACGAAGCAGTCTGGACAGGGGGGCTTTGATGTGGGGTCAGGTCATGTTCATGTACGTGTAAGTCCCACCGTCATACGCGGCAGTACTTCCTTCTGCCGTACCTCCGCGTACCCCACATCCCTGACGCTACCGGTATTAGGTATCTATACTTTGAATCCTAGCGTCCGGGTACCTAACGCGGGCCGCCTTTCGGTCACTGCATCCGTAACATCTACACTAACATCTCCTATAGCAGGATACCATCCATCTTCGATGTTTGCTCACTTCTTAGGCAGGCCATCTTGAGGCCTATTATTAGGTATGCAATCGCAACGGAGAGCACACTTTCGACACCATGGCCAAATTCGGAAGCCAATTTTCAGGTCCTTATTGGAAAGTAAGAGAGTCATGCTACCCAGTTCCCCGTCCAATCCATCGTTTATACTGCGCCCAAATAAACAGCAGCTCGCCAGAGCCGTCCGTCACCCCTTATCCACTTTCCCCTGGAGCCCACTGAGCACTCCTCTTTGGGCAATGTTGCCAGCCAAACATCGTTCTGTCATGATCATCATCAAGCGTGTCCTTTTTCCGTCAAAAGGGAGCCCAAGCTATGCTATACTAAACAGCGTCCCAATATCCCATCATTTCCATTTCCCCATTTCATCAAGCAGAGGTTTCTTGGCTCTCGTCGCCCAGTCACCCGTACTTACTCCAAAACGACTAGAGCCGACCATCCAGAACCTCCTTCTTGAAGATCCTGACGTCCCAGACATCGTAGAAGCGGAGGTCGCTGACCGTCTCGAGTTTCGCCCGAGCCGCATCCTTTGCGTCCTCGTCCTCGTCCTCGCTCTCGCTAGCACTGTCCCAGCTGTTGTTGAGCGGTAAAGGCGGGTACGCCGAGTTGTCGCTCCCAAACCACCCAGATGTTCCGGTACTGGATTTGGCCTTATCCTTGTGCTTCTTCTTATCCTTTCCTTTCCCTTTTTGCTTTGCCCCGTCGCCCTCTTCCTTATCCCCTGCCTCGGACTTGTTATCCTGCTCCGAGCCACGGATGATGTGCTCGACGCGATCGTCATCAATGCAGACCCATTCTAGCCTGAGCTCTGGGTGGTGCGACAGCATGTCGATCAAGAACCGGTGCGTCTCGCGCACGACCCACGGGCACGTATCATCGCTTCGGAAGCGTACCACGTGCAGCGCGTAGAGGTTGACCAGCCCTGGAAGTTGCTGCATGAAGACGTGCTGCGAGCCAGAGTTGGTCAGCACACAGCTACTTCGAAGGAAAGGCAGAAAAAAAAAGGGGGGGGCGGAAAGGCACCACTCTACTTACCATGGCTCGAACACCCATCGACACCGCCAGCTCTTTCAGCTCCCTACCACGGTTGCAAATCAACATCATCGTCTTCTCGTCCGCATCCCAGTCGGCATTCAGGTCGTTCTTGATGAGCAGCCTCTTCAGCGTCGGCATGTGCTTTTTGAGCACCAGCCTGCGGATGTGGTCTATCGTCGCCGCAGACTTGGGCGCGAAACTGGCTGGCTTGTGAACTACCACCATCTCGAGCATGAACAAGTCGGTCACGTCCTTGAGCTGAGCTACGCACGTCAGGAACGCCATGGACACGTTGTCGGTGAAGATGCGCCGCAGTGGCAGCGGTGACAGTTTGTTCTCCCGCGACAGCATGCTCCATATCGGTGCTTGATTGCCCACGTTGAGGAGCGTCAGACTCTCGAGCATGTGGACGTCCACCGAGGCCTTCAAGACAGACGCCTTGACTGGAATCAGGTCAACGCCGAAATAACGGAGCTGAAGTCCTCTCGTTGTACGGATATAGTCGCCCATTTGAGCCTCCCTGCCGTCCCTGGTAGCGCTGGCATTGGCCGAATTTTCCGTGTCGCGAATCTCCGCCTCCGCAGATCGGAGTTGCTCCTGTAAGACCTCGGCATCCTTCTGGTAGCCTCGCAACCTCGTCTCAACGACCGAGATACGGGCTTCATCTCGACATTCGTCGGTGGACGCCAATTCACGGAGCTGGGCGTGTAAATCGGCAATGAGGTCATCGAGTATCTTCAGCTGGGCCACCACGCCCTTGGAGGTAGTGTTGAGCCGCTCCAATGTCGCGGTTACGTCTGACGATGGCCTCCCAGAAATTATGGGTGCAGTGACGGCAGTCGTGGTCGACGGAGCAGATGATACGCCGACTTTCCGAGAATCTGCCGCTTTAGCATCGGCAGCCTCCTCCGTTTCGTCGGATGCGAGTGGCTCTTCCACGTCGATGTCATCGGGAGATGGTGATGTCTGCTTCCGTACCGCCGACAAAGAGCTTGCCGACGACCCGGTCGCGTCGGAGCTAGACTTTGACTTTGCACTTTCCTTCGTGGCCTTGTCGTCCCCAGCTCGCCCGGGCTTGGCATCTTCGGATTCCAGATACTTTTTGGCAGCATTCTCGATCAACTCCAAGATAGCTCGCTTCGATTCGTCCGGCTCCTCGAAGCCCTCTTGTGTTTCCGTCATCAGCTTAGCGGAAACTTCTCGAAGCCTATCCATGAAGGCCTGTGCTGGAGTGGGGGTTTCTTTAGATGTAGATGATGGGCCGACGTCGTTCACAGCCTCGTTTCCTTTGGATTTTTGCGTACTACTCTTCTCGACTGGACGATGTTCAACGTCGAAAATCCGAGCCAGGACAGTCTCCTGCACTTTCCGCTCTTCCTGCGCCCGGAAGGCCTTCACGGGAGCTGCGGCATCGTCCCAGTTTGAGCCGGAAGCGGGCATGGGGACAAGCTGAAACTCGTCTTCAAGATCCGCATCGTCATGATCAAGGTCTGGCGTCGGTTTGCGGGATCGTTGTGCTAGGGCAACGGAGAAGGAGAGTTCCAATTCCTGGAGGCTCAGGGCAGAATTCTTGACACAGCCCTGCACTTCGGGGATGCAATCAAGGTCGTCGATGTCCAATATGGAAATGGTCTTGAGCTTCTTGAAGCCGGAAAGAGTGGGAGGGGTTTTGGCGACGGATGTTTTGCGCCTGTTCTTGGGAAGCGTCTTGGAGGATGCGGCGGCGGCGTTCACGGGTGGTGTAAATGACAGCATACCAACATTGGGGTCGAATGTGCTGGTCGTTATAGGAGGAAGAGTGCTCAGAGGTTGGGGCGTGGGCCCGGATGCGGGCAGAAGGGACGGGACGCCGTGCAAGTTGTTACTCGTGTGAAGCGAAGAAGAACCGGGGCCGTACGGCAAGGGAGGAGGCGATTCGGAGAGTGACCGGCCGGCCTGCAAGCGGATGTGCAGATGCTTGAGCGAAGATATGGCATGGAGGGCTTTGTAAACGGGGAGGCTGAGCTCGACGCGAATATTCCATCCGAATATCTCGAGGGATTTCGCCTTGCGGAGGGTGAGCAGCAGGAGGGTGTTCATGAACTTTCCGCAGCTGAAGCCGTAGCGATAGGCGTCGTATGCCTTTTCGCCCTTGGTGCCTGCGCTGGTGGTGTCAAGGGTGATACCTCGAAGGTGTTGGGCGTAATCATAGTCACTGGCGACGAATGTCTCCAGGCCGCTAGCCAGACTGTCGATGGGGGAGTCGAAGTCCGGATCATCATCGTCGGGGAAGATAATATGGAAGTAGCGATAGATTTGGGCGGCGGCTAGGTCGCGAAAATGACGAGAGACGAGCGCGAGGCATATCAGGGAACCTGGACTGCACTAAAGAAGAGTAGTTAGGAAGAGCGAAAAAGACAAGTTAGCCGAGGACTATTCGTGTAACATGCACCGCCGGGGGGCCTGGGGGAAGAAGGGGGTGGGGGGGGCGTTAGGAATTTCAAGCAGCAAAGGCAAGAAACCAACTCGGCTTACATGACTGAATATTTGATGCTGTGTCTCCGAGGGAAGATCGAGGAAGTTCAACGCTCTTCGTGGCGGCGCCTCGGATGCTTTGTCTTTAGTTGCTGCGGAAGCCATGGATGCTCGTGCCCATGCAGCCGGAGAAGGAGAAGGGCGAGTCTCTGGCTAGGTGGGAGGGCTCAATGGAAGACAAGTCGAGGCCTTTTCGTCTTCTTGGTTGGGACCTCGGTTGGCCCGTCGACTACCTGAAGAAGCGCGGAACTGACACCAGCATAGGAGAAAATGTTAAGTTTCTGGAATAGCAACAAGAGGGCAAAGGATGAATTCGTCTCGACTCGGTAGGTAGATAGGTAATAAAGTAATGGAGAAATGAATAGGAAAGAGAGCAATGTCAAGTCGAAGACCACTGCCACTGATTTGCGAGATATTGATTACTCCGCAAGTTGGGATCCCTCTCGTTCACCCTCCTGACGGCTACACAAAAGGGGCATCTAGGTAAGCCGTCGATAGGCAGCAGTAAGAAGTGGAATAAAGACAAGTCTGGACGACGGGAAGCGATCACGGCGGCAAAGCAGAGAGCATACGTAAAAGATCGCTGGTTGGCTGCACGGGCAGAGCGGCGCCTGCATGAGGACGACTGCGCCAGGCGATGCGGGAGAAAATACCTGGAGGCATGGAGAGCAGGAGAAGGATCCCAGGTGACGGAAGAGGGGTGGTGGGGGAGGTACCTTAGCTAAGGTACCTTTACGGATACCAAGTAAAGTACCTTAGGTACAAGTACATGTAACAGACGACTTTCGGCTTTTGGCGACCGCCGTATCAATGGTGTTTTGTCAGCATGGTCGCGTTGCTCAGGCTCAGGTACGGGGTATAAAGTATACGAAGTACCGTGTAAGCGGCTAGATGTATCCGTACCTAGGTACTTTTCTTGCAATGGCATTGGGGCTTTACTTTCTGTACTGGCCTTGCCAGGCATGGATTAAGGTTAAGGCACCTTATTACCTATCCCCTTGATTGGGGTCCTGCAAAGATCTTCATACACCGACTGTGACAGGAGTAGGGCGACACCGGACCGGAGAGGAGCAAGAGAGGTACCTTACCTAGGTACCTAGGTAAGGTACCTAGATGGGTGTAGGCAAGGGAATGGAATAACTAGGTAAGGTAGAATCATAATCGAACACCACTTCCCCTTCCCACCATCATCATCATATTTATACAACAACAGCACTTCCCAATCTTTAACATGTCCATACTCCTACAATGCCGTCCTGCCGGCCCTCTACCATATACCCGTCCCGTACCCTCACCTTCTCTACAATGGCCGCCAGCTTGCCTTCCTCTGCGTTCACGATTCCGGCGCCGCAGTCCCACTGCCGTCCCTCTACCTTATCGTACACCTTGACCACGTCCTCTCCCGCCGCACACACAATACGCCGCGTGTCGAACATCATGCTCGTGACGCCATGGTCGTAGGCGTAGGCGTCCGAGATGGACCCTGTGCGGAGATCCCACATCTGGCGACTTTGTTAGCTTCTATTTTCTTCATAGGAGGGGGCAAAAGGAGGAAAAATCAAAACGTACCCTGACGCTCCGGTCCGCGCTGCCCGTAACAAGGTGGACGTCGTCAAACTGCAAGCAGGTCACCGGCCCAGTGTGTCCAACCAGACTCCTGTGCACTTGACCACTCCGGAGATCCCACAGCCGCACCATGCCATCGGCGGTACCGCAGGCGAGCGCCGATTCGAACACCTGGACCGCCCCCACAAAGTCGGCGGTTCTGTCGAGTGCCCGGTTCGTTTGCCTCCATGAGCTCTCGCTGCCCAAACTAGCCGACGCCTGCGCTGCCGCCCACATCACGTCCAGCGTCTGGACGCAGCGGCCCTTCTCGAGATCCCAGTGCCGGAGGGTCTTGTCGGACGAGCCCGACACCATGATATCGCCCCGGAAGTGGAGCGCCGTGATCTCGTCCACGTGGGCGCGCAGGGTGATGAGCTCGCAGTCTGCCATGCTTCCCTCGGGAGGCTCCACAGGCTGGTCGTCTGGGTTCTCGAATGCGATGCCATCGTCGTCTTCATCTCCTCCCCTCCCGAACTGGCCGCCGTGCGGATCGTAGTGTGCCCGACTGAGGTCCCAAAGCCGGATGGTCGCGTCTCTTGAACCTGTCGCCAGGATGTTGTCCTCCACCTGCAGCGCTCTGACCGATGCCGCATGCCCCTCGAGAAGCCCCATGCATCGTCCTGCGTTCAAATCCCACACTCTGACAGTATCATCCATAGCTGCAGTGACCATCATCCCAAAGGGTGCGTCGAAATCCAACGCGGTGATAGTGTCCCGGTGCGCCCGAATCTCTCTAATAGAGCTACCAGGCTCGAAGTGCTCATGAAGGATGGGCATAGATTTGCGTCGGATCACTCTTGCTTTTCTCGTCTTCGGAGGGGGGGTCGAGACGGCAGGGATCTTCTCGTAGATAGACTGCGACATGAAGCCGTCATCGTGGCCGATGGCTAAGTCTTCTTCTTCCTTGGTGGGGGTCTGCGCAGCTAGAGTCTCGGCCTCGTCGACTAGATGCTGCGCCTCCTCCAGTCGACCTTCGACGTCGACGACTGTCGTTCAAGGGCAGAGGTTAGTTAACATGGTATTGAAGGCTGGCAGGGAAGAGCAATGATGATGCGGTGCAGATAAAACCAATGAGAATTTTTCCTTACTGTCGTGTTCCAACATGGTCTCGTCCTGTTCAAGTGCCGCCAGTCGATCTAGGATAAGCCTCCTCATGCCGGCCAGGTTGGCGATCTTGTTGTCGATATCCCGTATTTCGCTGCTGGCCATGTTCTTCCGTATGCTCAGCAGCTCCAGCTCGTGCATCATGTCGGATTTTTCCTTCTTGAGCTTGTGCAGAGAGTGTGGGCCGGGGGGTTCCTGATTCCCATCGTCGATAAGCTTCCTCCCCCTAGATGTACGGCGTCTGTGTTTCCTCCCATCTTCGGTGAAGTCCGGAAAGCTGGCCTGGAAGCCTTGGAAGAGCGAATAGGACGACTGGTCCTCCGGGATATTCACCAAGAGCTCGTCGGGGAGACAGGACAGGGCGCGATGCTGGATCTCGTTGGCGGACAGCTTCGACCGGACCATGTCGGTGGGAGTTGTTTTGGCCATGGATAGCACGTTTCGGCGGACGGATGGTCGTTTGAACTGCTTGTGCACCTCTATCATAGCGGCATTGTATTGTGATGGATGCTTGGCTTGCTCGGAAAGCGGGCCCATCAAATGACTGGCCGTTGTGGTAACTTTCCGACCGAAAGCCTCTATGTTCCGGGTCTAATGCGGCCACATAGACGGTTAGCATCTGACAGACCGGTATCATTCGTGACGGTATGCAGTTAGTAGCGCAGAGAATGGATGCACGAAAGTAATATATAGTCCCCGGTGCAGAATGAATGAAGGGAGGACGGAATAACTCACAGATACGATAGACTGTTCGTCGTCCAGGGATGGATCGTCGTAAAAGTCATACTGCTGGTCTGAGTCGGCCATGCGTAATGTGATATACGAGCACTCTACTACCTTGACCGAGCGGTTTCAGGTAGATTGGTGCTCGATATGGGCGAGGGGCGAGGGTCGCGTTGCGCTATATTATGTGCAAAGAATTCAAACACTTTGCTCTCTTGTGTTGATGTCTGGATTTTGCCTCGCCCTGACGACAGACAAGATCCACCAGCAAATGCAATGCACGCGTGCCTTGGTCCCCGGTCCGTGGATCGGTAAAACCGCCCCGCTTTGGAGCTCGGGCCACCTAGACGCAACTGACCCCGCTTCAAGGCGGTCCTGCTCCCATGTCTCGCTCTCCAGCTGCAAGCGGATGCAAGTCCTTCGAGTCGTGACGGGGCATTGACTTGGCACAACAAGTACAGTTGTCGTGCACAAGAATCGAATCATTTTAGGCAATATATAGTACGTAATGCTTCGATCCTTTTGCCTACTCATATGTACCTACATTATGCCCGTATATACTTCGAACGTTGGCTTGAGCAGGATACAGAAAGCTACATGCCCACGCCGTAACCGTCACGAAACAGGAGACTTGTAAAGGGGTAAAAAAAGCCAGCCAGAGAAGCGATATATGACAAAAAGAAGAAAGAAAGAAAGAATAAATAACAAAAAATGAAGAAGAAAGTAGAAAATACACTAGAAAGAGAAGAAGAGCAAGGATTAAGATGCGTAAGCACTTTTCCGTCCATGCCGTCTCCAATCCGGTACACTCAAGATCAACGCCTTGAACTCCGTATGGTCTGAACATTTGTCTTCACCCTGTCCTCGGCCCTTCATACGAAGTCCTTTTCGCGCCGATATTTGCTGGGGTCGTCCGACTGAACCTTTTCACAGCGCGGATGACAGGCCAAAGCCCGACAGGACGCTTGATGACACCCGGCACCAGATGTCACGATTTGTCCCGTACCGTCTTGATCATCCGGTCAATGTCTTGGCCCCCGTTTGCAGCTGGTGCCATACCCTCCATCGGAACGCAATCGGAGTCATCACCATTTTAAAAGCTTAAAACATCGGACTGCAAGGGTCCACGACAGAATATTACGAGCTTCCAACACGCCCCCAACGTCTTTGCAAAGTGTTCTCGTCTTACCTCCCCGCCCTAACCGGGCTAATTGTCCTTTTTTCTTTCTTTCTGCCGTTCATTGGAAGTTTCGGTTCAGAGCTATCCTTCTCACCAGCATCCATGATGGACTCCCTGGTCGACCTCAACGACGTCTCCAAGGCGTTGGATCTCTCTCGGATCCGTTACCAGCTGATGTGAGTCGGTTCAGAAAACGTTAGAAAACGTTACTCCAGAGGCTGGAGGGCTGACACTAATGGTTTATCACTGAGACCCAGCCGCCTCGAGGACACCATCACCTTCCACCTGATCGAGCGGGCGCAGTTCGCGCTGAACAAGAACATCTACATTCCCGGGGCCCTCGCCATCCCCGCCAGCAACCTGAGCTTGCTGAATTGGTACCTCCGCGAGCAGGAGAAACTGCAGTCGCTGATCCGCCGCTACGAGTCGCCCGACGAATACCCCTTCTTCCCCGACGCCGTTCAGAAGCCCATCCTACGCCCGCTGAACTACCCGCCCATCCTACACCCCAACGACGTGGTAGTCAACGACAAGATCCGCCGCTTCTACGTCGATATTTTCCTGCCCGCCGTGTGCCCGGACTTCGGCGGCCGGGGCGACAGGGGGGAGAGCCAGGAAAATTACGGATCGTCGGCCACCTGCGATATCGCCTGCCTGCAGGCGCTGTCGCGGCGCATCCACTTCGGCAAGTTCGTTGCCGAGTCCAAGTTCCGCTCCGACCGGCCGCGCTTCGAGCGCCTCATCCGCGCCGCCGACCGCGAGGGCCTGGCCGAGGCTATCACCAACTCGGCCGTGGAAGAGAAGGTTCTGGCGCGGCTGCGGCTGAAGGTTATGACTTACGGGACCGACCCGTCTCTTGGAGCGGACGGTACCCCGGAGGGTCAGCCCAAGATTGATGCGGATGCCGTGGTTGCCATGTACAAGGATTTTGTGATACCCTTGACGAAGGAGGTGGAGGTGGAGTACCTCATGCAAAGACTCGAACCGGCCAATCCCTCAAGTGATCAGTAGAGATTTGAAATTTCCCAGCGAGATGTGAAGAAGGTAAAGAACAAAGACGAAAATGATGAAGAATAAATGAATGAAAGAAGAAGAATAAGAAGAAGAGGAAGAAGAAGAGGAAGAGGAAGAAGAGAGAAAAAACATGCATACGTGAGAGTATTCGATTGCCGCCTTTTTGATTCTCCTTTCTTTTTGTTTTGGTTTCCGGTCTATTCATTGCGGCTTAAGGTACTGTTCTACGGCTTCGACGGCCCCCTTCCACTTGGCCGCCTCAATGAGGATCAGGTATCCCTGCGACTTGATACCCATCTCTTGGAAAGCGCGCTTGCTTTCGGCGGACCCATTGTTCTCGTTCGAATACGTGTAAGCGCCGTGAGCGACAGCGTGCTTGGCCAACACCTCGTCTTCGGGGTGAAAATGCCACACAGCGGCCGCGTCAGGCTTCTGCTTCTTCCCTCTCCTCTCTTCCGTCCGCAACTCCGCCTCGGGCTCAACTTCGCGGTATATCTTCGACAGAACCAGGTAGTGGCTGAACTCGTAAGGCTCCTTGTCCTCAACGGCAGCCTCGATTTCGTCGATGAGCATCCGGAACATGGGCGGTGAAATCTCGGTGGGCATGTTGATCAGGCGCTCGGAGAGAACAAGGCCAACCTGCGCACTTCCATTGGATCCATCGAGTAGCGGAGGAATGACGGGCGCCAATGCGTCATTGGTACCGGCTTTTCCGGCGAGGTATCGGCTTAGGGTGGCAATGGCCGGTTTTTGGCTGTGCTCCCGCAAGTTGAGAGCGGTGAGGAAAGCGTAGGCGTCGGTCTCCTTTCCGTCAACTTTGACGGTAGAGCCAATGGTGTTTTGGGAGAGGATGAGGTCGGCCAGGCTCGAGATGTCAAAGTGGGTTGCGTCGACGTCGAAGAGCTGGCGGAGGAGCGACTTGACGCCGTGGAAGTCGATTTCGGCGTCAAAGTTGAACCACTCAAAATCAACATTGACCATGTCGAACTTTAAAGGCGCACGGCGCGTGCGATGTCAGTGGTTGTGCTCGTGACAAAAAGGCAATGTGGCCTAGACCAGGACGAGGGGGCCTTACGTCTTCGTCATCGGAGCTGTCCTCGTCCATCCTGTCGCCCCCATAATGGGCGGCTGCCTCCTCTCTTTCTCTCTTCTTGCCCATTTTCACAGTGGCCTGGATATGATGTGCCCAATAGTCGAATAGATACCAGGAGAAGCTCTGGTAGGTAGTACAGATGGCGTTCCGTTGGATTCGAACTTCGGGCTTCAGTTTTTCTCTCCCATGCCCTGACCTCGCGTACTTTTTTTGTCCGAATGGTTGCTACGGAGAACCTGGCTGGTGGAATTTTCAGTGGGTCAGAATACCCCGCACTAATCCTCTTTAAGACACCTCCTTGTGTCATAATGGCCTCCACCAGGCCTCCACCATTACACTTAGTATTACTAATCATCCCTCTGGCTCCAAACGGTAGACGCCCTCAACATCGTCCGTCTTGTTATCACACACAGTAAACCCTCCAGCCATGAATCGTGCAGACGACGAATCTCGCCACATCTGGAAGAATCGCCGAGCCTTGCGCCGGGGGGGGGGAACAGAATGAAACTTTATCTCATTAGTAGCGGGGATGAGTTTCAATATGTATCACCTTTTTCTTCTCCCGGGAACTTGGAGAATATGATCCTACTGATCTGAACCAGTGAGATGGGGTGGCCCCGTTCTGATGTCAAGGCTTATTTACTGGTGACCAGGTGAGCGCAGCATTTCAAGCAGGGTCTAGATTCTTCCGTCTCCCATCAAAACCATTCCATTGGAACTTGACACTCTCACGGATCAAAGAAGAAGAACGCAAGTGAAACATCAAGCTCACTGACCACGCCACAGCACAAAGCAGAACCCCTTCGAATTCCTTAGCAGGCATAGGCTCGCCCTGGATTGTCCGTCGAGACTACCAGACAAATCAGACGAATGAACAAGAAGATTGTGCCATTGATAAAGACCTAGTCGTCTAGGGACTTCATCTTGCATCCATTTGTTTCATGCCTTTACCGCTAGCCATGTCGCTTACAAAATAGAGGCTCGCCCCCCGTCCAGACCCATCAGCAGTCCACCAAGCAAGTCACCGGGCAATGCAAATGCAACCCATCTATGCAAAAGAAAAACAAGAAAAAAAACATGTGCAGCACCACCATCGCGGAGATTGAGATGGCCTGCGGGCATTCCATTCGGCCCATCACCAGTGTTGGTGACCAACAACCGAGACACGACGGTCGAGAACAACCTCGGGCCACCAAAATCGTCGTGAACGACACTTGTGCCAACTGTGACCGGGAGGTTCATCTTCATAAGAGCAGGCTGCTATACGACGCCCAGCATGCCGAACTTCTGAGGTGCTACGTCGAGGCAAAGAGAACTAGCAACGATGAGGAGATGGCTCGTCTGGAGCAGGGCATGCAGACACTCTATCGGGAAACCCGGAAAAAGATCGGTGCCATCAGCAAGATTCCGTCGGGCACTGGCGTTTTCTGGCCTTCTATGGACCAGGGCGAGGTGTTCCCAGAAGACACGGCTCACTGCAATATGCGCATATAGGGACAAACCTTTCGACACCGCTCAGTAGAATAGAATTCGGTACCCAGGTATTTCATGCCGACTTCATAAAGAAGAAGAAGAAAAAACAACCCCCTCTAATTCCCCCCTGAAGTTCTGTCCCCTCTGTCTAGCACTGGTCGCCCGGATATATCTCATCCCCAAGGCCCGCCAAACGGCGCATGGAAGCCTAACCCCATATCATTAGGCCCCATGAACTGCGCAACCTCCCACGCTGAGGGGTACTGTTGCTTCTCCCTCTGTTGGTGTTGTTGTTGTTGTGATGAAGGCGTCTGCCCTGGCTGCGGACGTGACTGCGTCGTTGGTCTTCCGACTCCCCCGTCCCCAACATAGCCGTTCGACTGCATCTCCCTGCGTGTCTGGTTGAACTCTTTGACCCGTGCCGTCCCTAGCTTACCTGCCCGTCGCTTATCTGTGGTGCACCTCAGCAAGGGCACCTGTATTATGGCGTCGAAGACATCGCGGACCTTTTGAACGGGTTGGCTGTGACGTTGAGCGACTTCGTCAAAGGGAAACATCTCCAGGCAAGTGTCAGCAATGTCGACGACGATATGTTTACCACTTGGTTGTGTCTGAAGTTGGCGGGGGGTTGGCTGTTTAGCAGGCATCGGTGCGACTGTGCTGGAGAACCTTGGTCCACTCGTTGTATGTTGTGGCAGATTGTTTGTCATCTGGCTGGTCGGGAACGTAGGGGAAGGCCCCATAGTCACAATGGGCATGCTCTGCGCCATTGCTGAGTTTCCGTCAGAGGAGTACTGCTGGTCGGATGTCTGTCCAGATGGAGCGGGAGCGAATTGTTGATGAAGAAACGATCCGTAAGCAGTGGGACCCATCCATTGGGCTGCGAAAGGGGTGTTCGTGGGCGACGTCCATGTGGGTGGAATCAAAGATGGGTAGGCATGTTGTGTATTCCCTGGCTGTGCAAAAGAATGCTTAAGAGCAGGAACAACCCCAGCAGCAAGGCCTGCTGCCTTTCTCCGTAGTCTAGCCTCTACGCATTTGCGGCAGGGGGGCTTGACAGAGAGGTGCGAACTGACATTGCACTGTCCTCTGGTATCTCCGTGCTGTCGATGACCAAAGGCAAAAGATGGATTGGTCCCTGGCTGTTGAACCCCTAGCCCTTGTCCATTGTGGTTAACTGGACTCCCAGACCGAGCCGGCTCACTTGACGTAAAGAGAGAGGGGCCAACGGGAAGGTCTGTACCCATCACTTCAAGGCCTTGTGGCGGGATCTTGGACTGAAAGGCCGTACCAGTAGAAGCGATGCCGTCTAATTGCCTTCCCAAAGCTTGGTCCTGGTGGCAGCTCATACTCATCGAGCCAGAAAAGTCGAGCGGTACCACCGCCTGGAGGATTTGAGCACCCTGACATTTCTTAGTGCCCTGCGGACTGTGTATCTCTTGCGTAATACCACAGCCCGTAATAGCCAGCTGTTGCTTCGCACTAACAGTCTCAGTGTTGACCCTTGTCACCACTGCTGACTGAGCCATTAGCTGGATAGAAGGGGTCTTTGGACCGAGATGCCTCTTGACCGTATCCGCGTTACCAAGATGCCCGGTCACTGGCTGCGAAGGCTCAAGTTTCAGAACAGATGGGGAGATGTGCTCGGGCAGTTGCTTCGGCGACAAGGCAGGGGAGCTGCGAGGCCTAGTGGCGGGCGCTGTCCAAAACGTGCCGGGGGAGATTCTTTTGCCGAGGAACGGTAGCGAGCATCCCTTGGGATAGTCGCTGACAGGACTTGTGGTAGATGAAGGGGTGGGCGTCCCAATACTCATCCGAGATTCGGGATGTTGGCATTGAACTTTCTGTGGCTGGGTGTAGTTTTCTTGAATGACGTGCCTTTGCATGTGGCTGTGACCATGAGGTTGAGGAGAAGACGCATTAGTCTCGGACTGCTGTCCTCCCCTGTTCGTGGTCCCAGTTCCAGGACGTGAATGTGATAAAGTTGACCTCTCGTCTGCAACGAGAGTACGAGGGAACACCTCGGTTGGCTTGACTGGAGTACGGTCCACCTTCCTCTTCTTCACTGGATTTTCGAATAGAAACTGAACATCGTCATCTTCCCTCTTGACTGGTACCGCGCTGCTTGTCGTGCTTGGAAGGGCAGCAGAGGGCAAGAGCAGCTGTGGGTTGAAGGTAAGGGGTGGGCTGGCGGGAGTTTGACTGGGACAGCCAGATGGGTATAGAGATCTTGCGATCATGGTGGCAACTGATTATCTTGGAGTCATCGTTGCGCAGTAAAGGAAATTACAATATCCGCAGGGTCTCATGAGCCAGGGGCATGCCATCCCATATTTGAGGATGGTTCTATCCGAGCTCTTCCCTGACCATTGCCCATTCCTTTAGTTAAGAGTACAACAAAAGCAACAATCGGTGCAAGACCAACATTTTATAGAAGCTTACACGGTTAAAAAAGTAACACGGTATCAGTTCTTTCAGAACAATCTTTGCAGGCAGACAAGGCATTTTGCTTAGACAGTTCAACCTATCTCGTGCACACGACGGAAAAGTAGGTTTATACGATCCTGTATATGGCTCAGAAATTCTAAGAGGGTTCAAGTGCGCTTGTCAAAGCCAATTGAGACAAGAACCGTAATGGTTTACTTCCCTGCTATAGTGCCGTCCCTCTGACTATCATGCAACAAAGGGAAGACCTTCAGGTTAGACATGTCCAGGGAGAGGTGGCCTGCACAACAAATAAGACCTGGGGGATGTACGAAGATCACAGAAAGGAAGATGGTATCAATCAACACCAAAAGAGCAGAGAAAGCCAAGAATCTTGTGAGGTGGTAACTTGATACTTGCTTTCACATGTAATAATAAAGTCAGACTCCAGGCTTCCAACACCCAGTATGGGAGGAAAGCTCATGGCGTCCGGAGCAACTCTGCCTCGTTTGACTAATGTCTGATTGTTTCTTATCTCTGATTTCTCGGAGCAACTTCCTGATCATCCCTGCAAGGCCGGGTTGGTCTGTATGACAGGGTGGACCGAATATTGTATGGTAGCTCTCGGATATCTAATTGCATCCGACGAAGCACATACCGGCATCTAGTCCGGAGCTTCGTAACCAGAATCTTCACTTTTCCACTGAGGGACGGGTTTTTGACGCAGTACTACGCCCTGGCCGTTCTAACAACGGCATGTGCTGAGACCATTCCTTTTGAATACTTCCAGGCCGATGAGCTTGGTAGTGGTAGAGCTCAGTTGCACCGGTAAAGCTCCTCCGCTTGAGGTAAGAGGGATGTTGAGCCATCCAGACAGGATCCCCCGGTGACTCTCCGCGCCCAAAGTTCTTCCAGATTCGGATGGTAAGTGGGAAGATGTGACTGTCCATCATTCGTATTTCACAATCTGTCTGGCACCGTGAGCAGGAGAAGTTGATGCACTGCCCTGACACGGAATCAAGAGCTCTGGCAAGATTCTCCTCCAGACGCGTGTCACGAACGCCTCTGCCGACAAAGCGTGATCTTGTCAAGCCTTCCATCATCCATAGATGAATGCAAACTTTGATGTAGCTTTGGCGATCATCAAGACAGTGGAACAGTGCCTGGCGGATAGACCCGTCGGTTCTATCTCGTGCCCTCGGCGGGCGAGGGAATCCCCACTCCTCGTGAAGGTAGAAGCTTTGATGGATGACTCCGGGTTGGGCTCGATACCGCACAATAACATGGTTCGGAAAAGGTCTGCACTTGTGGTAGGTCGCCATGATATCTTTAAGATATTCCTGATCCTTGATCTCGAGGCAAGAAAGTCGACTAAGCTTGACTGCAACATGTACATGATTTTGACGCACGGAATACGCTCGCCTCAAGTCTGTATCGTACTCAGTTGGCCAAAAGGTACAACGGCTAATTGGGCTGGAGGGAGTATCGGATCGATCCAGGGGGTGCTCCCCGCCGCAGTAAGAGCATCTCCAGAGATTCGGCCGTGTGCTGGTCCTGAAAGCCAGTCAGTCAAAGAGTTCGACGTAGGTTTATGTGATGTTGGGCTGGATAGTAGATATGGATGTCGTAGAATTACGTACATGGCTAGACGAGAGTATGGGGGGACGGAGAACGCTGGAAGATTGATTGAATGGGGACCAGCAGCGCCCACGTCGTTCCGCAATCGACCTGAAAAGTTTCGACCTGAAGATCTCGAGACAGAAAATATTCGCGATGATGAGAAAACCCACCCGTGAGGATCCCACTGCCTTGAGCACCAAAGGTAGAAAGGTCTGGTATTTATAAAGCGTATGCCTGGATGGAAACATCTGCTTCCGTAAGTACGTGGAACTTGGAAGTGCCTATGGTTCTATGTGGCTTGGCCTAAGCTTCACGGTGTCTGCACGACATACTCAGTAGAACGGCCTCGGCTTCTCAGCAGAACGGTCTCGGCTTCTCAGCAGAACGGTCTCGGCTTCTCATCAGAACGGTCTCGTCTTCTCATCAGGTCTTCCTCTCCAAGTCGAACCCACTTTTAACCCCCGCCTTGCTGAAGATCACTCGATATTTGCTCTTATTAGGTTCTGCTTCATTCTTGTACTCCGTACAGTTTAACCTCATTCAGAAGGGATCTATGACAACCTGGAAGTTCGCCACGATCGATCTTAAATAGGTATACTGTCACTTCGTCAGCTCATAAGGAGAGGGTATTCCATGAAGAAGCAGGTAAAGCTAACCAGGATGAGATTAGCTGCCCTCCGCTACCACTGTCAGAGTTGAGAATATAACGTACACAGGTAAGGGCTTTGCTGTGAGGCGGGATTAGTTACATACAAGGGAAGGTAGGTAGTAGGTAAGGTAGGTAGGTAGGGTTATTAACTTTGTAAGTACAAAGTAGTACAAAGTACGAACGCGCGTGGCTTTGCTGGCGGGCGGGTCCACTAGCGCAAAAATTGCCGCACCCCCCTGATCGCAAAAAGCGGAGATGCCAGGAAATAGGGCTGATGCCGAATCCTTGCGCGCCTATGAGAACCCTCCATACCTTACCCACTTCGTACGAAGTACCGATAAACTCAACACGTCCGCCAAAGGTGTTAGTCACTTGGCGCCTATCCACTTAAAACCCGATGGGGTTTCTACATTCTTGATGATTAGCTGACAACCAGGTTAAGATTTTATGGGGGATTGGTATTATCAGTATATAAATAACACTTATATCGAAAGTGTTCAGTTTCTACGTTGTACGATAGTTTATTATTAGAACCTGGGCAGGCAACAGAAGGCTGGCTTCTTAAAAAGTTACTATGAGAAGCTGCTGTGGAGGTGTCAGAACATAAAATAAGGTACGTGGAATTATATGTGTATTGATCTAAGTGAAGTTCGTGGTACTTCACGGGGATGTCTTGTTGAATAGACCGTAGTTTTTACGGTTACCTAAAGGGCACGGACTTGACTAAATGATTATAACCCCGGTAATCCGGGCGAACAGACACCTGCAGAGTGTTTACTATAGGTATATAAAACGATCCGGTTACGCTGTACCTGACACGGGCTGTTCAATAGAGGACTTATCAACAGGACCATGTCCAACTTGGATTAGGTAATCAACAACTGTAAACAGTACGAAGTACCTTACGCTACGCTACCTATAGGTACGTAACAACTGATACGAGCGCTAGTCCTAAAGAGGGGAACATAACTCCGTAAAGCTTCGTCGTCACAGTAAATCCAAGAACCCGAAAGCTATCCCCAGCGGCCTCTTGCCCCGCCGCCTCTCAACCCGTGGACTTTCAAACCTGATCCTCTATTACCCTGTCAGTAGCCCATTATGTCGTCAACTTCAGCATCCGCGGCCAGTGCCAACTTGCTCGTCTCCAGTCAAGCTTCAGGGCTCCAAGCCGTCCTCCACCCACTCGTCCTTCTGAGCATTTCCGACTACATCACACGGCACACCCTTCGGGAACATGAGTGGCCCATCGTCGGAGGTCTTATGGGCCAGTACAACGGGAGAGAAGTCTCCATCGAGCATGCTTTCGAGTGCGATCTTTCCGCTGCGCCCGACAGGCCGTACCACTACCGGTTAGGTCTGGCAGGGGTGACGACACGGATAGCACAATGTGAGTTCGTCGGAACAGGGGAATCCCCTGTCTGTACTTTTGCGACGTGTTTGTCACCCGAACCTAACACCGTCCGCTGCTAGTGAAAATGGTACACAAGGACCGAAACCTCGACTTCGTAGGCTGGTATACCTTGCTCCCGACGACCGGACCGACCCCCGAGCTCACAGCCATCCACAACGACTTCTTGTCCAACATAAACGAATCCTCCATCCTCCTCGGCTTCCACCCCAGTGAGCTACTCGACCATTCCGTGGGAGGCAAGCTGCCCCTGACCATCTACGAAAGCAACTGCGAAGTCGACGATGCCTTCAAGACGGACAACGAAGGCGACAAGACCATGGACGACGGCGAGTCCCAGCTCAAGCTAAAGTTCCGCGAGATCCCTTACACGGTGGAGACGGGCGAAGCCGAGATGATCAGCATGGACTTTGTCGCGAGCGGAAGCGGTAACGCCGCCCTCGTGGAACCGCCAAAGGCGGCGAAATCCGCGGTCAAGGCTCCGACGAAACCACAGGACAAGAAGGGCAAGCAGAAGGCGGTCCTCGCGCCGGCAGAGTCCCCGGCGGACGCACTCCATGGAGCAGACGAACAAGACGCCGTGGTCCTCTCCCCCGAGGAGGAGGAGATGATGGGCGCGCTGACGGCCAAGGCCAATGCAACCAAGATGCTGCACTCGCGCATCCAGCTCATCATCCGCTATCTCGAGAACTTGCCCCCTGCCTTCGTGTCCGGGGAGGACCCGGCGGCCGCCGCCACGTCACCCGATCAAACGACCCCGTCCCACAGGATCCTGCGGCAGATCCAGGCGCTCGTGGGCCGGCTGGACCTCATCGAACCCTCGGATGTAGACGCCTTCCGGAAGGAGATGCTCCAGGAACAGAACGATGTCCATCTCGTCTCGCTCCTCAACGATATGGTACAGAGTGTGCACCAAGTCCGGGACTTGGGCCGCAAGTTCGAAATCGTCGAGACTGCCAAGATCCGCGAACAACGGTCCAAGGCGGCGCAATGGGAGGGATCGGCAATGGAGGGATCGGGCAGTAAGGGCCCCGTTCAGGGTATTGACATTATGATGTAATCTGGGGCATAGGGAAAACGGCTTTGCCGGAAGATTTAGCTGTGGCTAGGGCGAGCTTGACCGGCGTATTGGTACGTCAGCATAGCGCTCTATCTAGTCTGGGACAGTGCCGATGAAGGACCAGGAACTCGGGCAATGACTGCATGGCGTTAAGGGTATTTTCATGAGTGGACGTGAAGGGGAGGTTCATGGGCTGAAAACATGGTCTTGTTCGTTCGGTAGGACGGACGACATCAGGAATTTCCGGAGCGTGTTGCTACAGAAGCTGGCATAAAGTGAGCAAGGTGCAGGGGCAGAGATAATGTTAGCCCTGCAAAACATTCATGAAACCTGAGCATGCAATGCATATCGCAGAAGCATTGGATCGTGACAAGAATGTCATATCCTGTCGGAAATGCGGAATGCCATGACTATGGGTGTGTTGTCTATACCCGGAGGTGCTCTATATATATTTTTTCTTAACTGGCGTCTACCGTCGTTATCCTCTCGTCACATTAACCCCGGCGGCTTGTGAACATGACCGTAAAGGAATGGTCTCTACATCAACCAGCTTCCAGCAACCATGCAGCCGTCTCCCTAGAATCCTATGCTCCGGAGAAAACATACCATGAATAATTCCCCACATAGCCCCTTTCCTCGGGGCTCTTCAATCAGTCGATTAGGTCAAGGCAAGAGAAACTCAAGAAGCTACAGCGGCAAGATGCACCTGCAACACATCGTTGGCGTGTTCGAAGAGTGAAGGAAAAATGATAGGGCAGCACGCTGTTCAAGCTTCAATAACAACCTTCAGCACAAGGTTGCCGTCGTCGTCGACGGTCCGACTAGCTAGTTCAAAAGCCTTGGAAGCGTTATGGAGGCCCTTGAAGCGGTGGGTGACCATGTCATCGAGACTCGGGATGCCGGCGCGGTTCTTGGCGCACAGGAGCTGGACGCCCGTCGGGTAGGTGTTCGCATATCTGAAGATGCCCAGGATGTCGATCTCCCTGAGATGGGCCACGGATAGGGGAAGCGTCTGCACCGGAGTGCCCATGCCGACCATGATGACCTTGCCGCCCGGTTTTGTGGCATAAAGGCTCGTTTGCATGCAAACCTCCTTGCCAGTGCACTCGAAAGAGACGTCGAACCCGTCATGTTCGTCGTCGTCGTCGTCGTCGTCGTCGTCGTCGTTTTCATTTATGGTTTCATCTTGACCAAGAGACCTGGGAAACTTCATTTGAGCCAGAAGTTCGGCCGCCAGAGACTTGGCGCCATCGAACTTGGTCTGGATATTCTGTACCGAGAAGATGCTGGCTGGGGTGCTGGCACCGGAAGAGGTTGGTGTTGCGATGCCAGAGGGCGGATTGGAAGAGTTGGGGGATCGGTTAGGTGACTGGGGGACGACGTAGCCATGGGTGGCGAAACCTTTGGAGATGGCATAGTCTACACGACCGGCGTCAATGTCCGTGATTACGACGCTGGAACAGCCGGCCTGGCGCGCCATTACTGCTGTCAAGAGGCCGACGGTTCCGGCCCCGATGACGAGAGCACTGGACCCTGGACTTGCTGCTGCTCGGTTGACTGCATGGATGGCGACGGACAGGGGCTCTAGGAGGGCAGCTGCATCGAAGGAGACATGATTCGGGATCTTATGACACCAGGCGGCCGGGTGGTTGATCCTCTCCTGAAGTGTACCCTGATAGTGGGGGACGGTTTTGGCACTACTTCGGAAGCGCAGCTTCTTGCAAAGGTTATACCTGCCTTTTCTACAAGTGGCGCAGTGGCTACAGGGGACGCCCACCTCGAGGGCCACTCGGTCTCCCAGTTTGAAGCCTTTCACCTGAGGGCCGATAGCGACGACCACGCCCGAAGACTCGTGGCCAAGAGATAGCGGATGACAGGCGCAGAGATCGCCGTTGGCGAACTTTTTGTAGTAACTCACATCGGAGCCGCAGATGCCTGTGGTTTTAATGGCGATTTGGAGTTCACCCACAGCCGGGTCTTTGAGTCTCCTCGTTTCCTGGCAAGGCAGGTCAGCGCTATCACAAAGCATCTGGATCGGAATCTCGTGTAACGTGACAGAATTCCTGCGTTGGGGGGTGACGGGAGGGGGGGAATGCTGGGGCTCGGTGACCAGTGGACGTACCAATCGCAGATCCCCAGGGCCATGCAAGACAGATGCATTGACAGCTGAGCCTTTCGAGCCGTAAATGGGAAGTTGCACAGGGAGCGGCTCTGATTCTGTGGCAGCTGGGGCCATGGTGTTGCAGGCGTGGGCTGGGAGCGGGATGTCGGGGATGTCGGACTTGTAGGGAATTTGAGGTAATTAGGGTGAACCTGAGCTCACTGCCTATAAAAGAGGTCCCCGACAGGCAAGGTCGGTTATGGATGCTCCCAAACAAATATACGAATCACCAAGGATGGAATATAGAGAGCTGGCCGACGACGTGGGACTTGTTAAGAGGTTCGGTAACGAGGCGTATCTCAGTCGCGCAAGGTTTTGAGATGTGTTTTGCTGGACACAAAAGGGGGCGAGTGAGAGCTTAGTGTGAGAGGAACGAGTTAAAGAAAAGGGGGGGCCGAAGGAAGAGGGAAAGGTTGCTGGGAATAGGAAGAGGGCAGGCCACACATAGAATGAAGAGATTGTCAATAATACCACAATTCAGATGTGGACTGGACGACCTTTATCATCACCAACTAAGCCAACAACAGAGCAGAGAAGATGGAGGGCCCGGCAAGAATTGCAAGGTCCGTCTTCGCAGAGCCATGTGGCTCCAGGCCAAAAGGACCCCTAGGACTGGCTCCCTTCCAGGTTCACGGAGGAGGAACATGATAAATCATATCGCCACCGATAATCGTCTTGTCACCCAACACTCACTGATAGCGTTGGGAGGACAGCGCAGCATCTCAGCACGAGCGAAGCGGAAGCGGAGAATTCTGGGCGTGTCAAAGGGGTAGCATGAGATTGGCAAAGAAGCGAATGATACCCAGGCACGAGTTGGTGTGTTATCTTGCCAATCTCGGTGCTTGCAACTGCGTTGGGCGTCGGCCATGAGAGGTGTAGGACGGTGGAGGTGGATGAACGGCAAACCCGGCTCTAGCGAACTGTCGCCCGCATGCAGGGGCTTCGTTCCAAGCCGGATGGTGCTTAGAATGGCTCCGGGAAAGCGATGTCGATCCAAGAGCCCGTCTAACCAGGCGTGCCGGCGAGGGGAAAGACTCCATGCATATCTCCACTTACTTTGGCCTTGCATGCACGGTAGGAGGCTCGAGGCACGCCATTCCTGTCAAATCAAGATCATGGCGGTGGACGAGATCCCGATGAAACGTGGCCGCAGCCTCGGTGATTCTGCCATCCATGCTGCACAGTGATGGTCGAAAAAACATTTGAATGTATCGATACGAGGAGTCAGGACAACTCCCGAGCTGTGTGCGGGACAGTCAACAGCTTGCTTCACGGGTACACCGTACAATCATCCGGGTAGGGAGAACGGAGTGCCGTAGCCACCGTGCTGCTACGCTGCCAGTATAGTGGGTCGAAGGAAGGGGGCAGTATGAATAGGCTGAATGAAGTTTTCTGATAGCGAACGGGAGAGTTGACGTGGAAAGGTCGGGGCCCAGATACGGGACGGCTGTCGATGGTAACTGTAGGAAGTACCGTCAATGTCTGCCGTCACAAGCCCAGTGCTGAACTTCGCTTCCTGCCAATTCGGTGCGTTATCAGGACCTGCAGAGGTTCCACAAGCGCTGAGATAGCTCGGGATGCATGAAGCCATGAACCCGGAGAGCGACTGGGTCTCCCAGGCATGCATATGGGGGATGTGAAGCCGATAACCGAGAGTCGCGAGGAACGTATTAAGAAGTGTACAGAATAAGGTAGGATAGGGACGGACGACTTGACAGGGCGGTCCTCTCATTGGTCGGGGAATAGAAGCCAAACTGTTTGTACGAAGAGGGAAGCATGTGGGAACGAGTGGCGATTCGCAAAGATGTTATAAGGAGAGGTCAGAGAATCGGGAGGGGGAGAGGAGGAAATGTGGTGTGGGACGGTACCTTACGGATGGGGAACCTGGAGCAGTCCAGTATTAGAAAGGTGGAAAGTGTCCTAGTAACTTCTCACAGAGTGCCGGAAACCTCTGTAAGAATGTACAAATACTTCATCCGAGCACCTGTGCCCTAATGCTTGTTATTGACACTTGCTGTGCGCGCCATCGACGTCTCCCCTCGTATAAACTCGAAATGTCCCGTATCCGCAAAACACATATTCTACTCCTCGCAACCTCAACGAACATTGTATATAATTATTTCGTAGAATAAGAACTGCACGGCGTACGGGTATAGCAAGCCATTTGAATCAACCCGTAGAGTAGTAATTGTAATCACAATATTCGGGCTTTTTGACTTGCCTTGAGTTAATGTCAGGCTTATAGTTGGTGTATAAATCGACCCCCTGAGTGAATAAGATGAAGATGGGGGGTGGAACGATCTCATAGTTTAGTTAGGAGAAACGGTGATCTTATTAGGGTATAACGGCATCAGTAGCAGGTTTAGGAGAGGCTCATGTTACTATCAAGGGCAAAAAGGCACAACTTGGGTAAAAAGGGGGAAATTCTAATAACAGTTGCGCCGCATGCTTGATGGCTTTTGCGTCTCTACCGGACCACCAAATTTCGGGTTGTGTTTCTAGAACATATATTCTCTGTCCCGGTAGCACAAAACGGCCTTCTAGTGTTGCTACCTACTCGAGACGGTCGACATGATGGACCAAGACCAAGGCGGTGAGACTCGGAGCCACCTACATGGCAGCTGCATGCACCTCACTCACATTATCTCGACCTATCATTGACCACTAGAATCTCTTTTCCTTCTTGTTAGTCTCTTTTCCGTCTCTTATGATGTTCGTCAGAGATAAACCCAGACCGATCACCCTGGTGATAGCCCACAATATCTTCATCATGCAGACATACATACCACTCTATACGAGACACGATGTTGATGCACGACTGAATTGCGCCATATCTGCGAGATAGTCCCCAGTGAACCAATTTCCCCTCGGCATTAGAATATGTTTGTATGTGAAACAACACCTGCCCCTCCTCCCAAGTCGACCGGTCCTCCGACGAGGCGGTGAGGTGTCATTCGCTCCCTCACCCGATGTGTTCACGGCGGCTGGTGAAATAGAGACACGAAATGCATAGCAAGACGACGATATTTGACTGCAGATTGTGCCATATCCCAGGCTCTCGCGATTGCCGGCCATCAGCTACGTAGCAATAGCCGAACATCTCGTTGGCGACAGCCACACCGACAGTCCCGTCGACAGACCGTAGACGCAGTGTTACCACTTTTGTCACACGCCGTCCGACTGCACACTCTCTGGCTCCTCAAATCGGAAGCCTTTCTCTAGCTATCTGGGTAACGCAATGCAGCCTAGCCTAGCTCATCCCTTTGCATGATCTTGACGAGGCTAAATCGGTGAGTGCCTCGGTGGAAGATACGCTTATCCTTCAATGATAAGCCATATGCAGGGACAATTCCCTTTAGGAGACACCTTGTCGTAATTACGGTATGTGAAAGTCGTCATAGAGATTCCCCACCTCTGGAAAGCTCTGGAAAGGGGGGAGGAGGACGCACAGAAGCGGAGCGATTCCCCCTGCCCCCGCCTCCGTTCCCCGGTGCTGAGAAAACGCCCCAACATAAGTCGAGAGGCCAGATAAGAGCTACATAGCTGTCAGGCTGTTGTTGGCAATTCTAGTGTAATTATAGTGCCTTTCCACAGGCGCCACATGGTCCTGGTCGCCCCAACCGGGTGTATCCGCCTTTGGCCTCGGGATGTCATGCAGCTTCGCGAGTCTCGCTTGCTGTTAGAGCCCTACCCATTCGGTATTTTATCCTGGGTTTGCGGTATCGAACCCACACTTTCTCGAGATAGGGTTATCTGTCTCGGCAGGGACTATCAAAAAGCGCCACAGCATGACGGGGTCGCAGAGCCGGCGGTACTAATAATGCTTGATGACCTTGGAGGGTTGACGTACCGACGTCCCGGCGCAAACCACCCTTCTCGTCTTTCCCCCTTGATATGACTGCCGAGATGTCCGCTGGGAAGCCTTACGCTCGATAAGTAGGGCGGGCTTAACTCCACACTCCGAATACTCGTCTGCAGGTTACAAAGCGGGACACATAACTACCTTAGATGGACGTACATCTAATAGCGGCAGGGGGTGCATGATGCTGTAACCATCGTTGGGTGTACGAGCTGCATAACCGTGCTGCCTTGCAAGGTCGCGTCCGACATATCACGTCAATCGACAGGAGCATAGATGTGCCCCCTCGTTTCGCACTAGGTGGGGAGATAAGTGATGCCTCTTCTCCCATTTCGTGATCCCGGGGTCTGCCTCGCAATCCGCCTCTGGGATCCGAACGACTCGGAACAGTTCCATCGCGTCATGAGTTGCTTCCGACTAAGCACTCTGCTCTCCCCAACCAAGATAAAGATTGACATGTCGAGCATGGGAGTTGAGTCGCAGAATGAAGAAACATTGCTTGCTGGCACGTACATACCGTATTATGTAGACATCGTACGTAAGTGTAACACAGCCGATGTTAACAATGACTCCGATGCGCTATAGGAAAGCTTTCAAAGGGGGTTCCATGCGAATGTTGGAAACACCACGTGATGATCCACGCTTCTTCTCAGTTTTTACCCCTCCTTGTCGTATCTGTCTGCCGCCGTACCGTTGACCCTTGTCCCCCTCCCCCCTTTACTTCCCACTTTAGAATGTACTCGCTGCTAGTCGGCTCGCCGCGTTCCTCGCGTCCAGGCGATCCTCGGCGTCCTCCTCAGCCACGCCCGTGAGGGTCCCCGGCACTTTGGCCTGAGTGACGCCCTGTCCATCCTCACCCTCTCCGCTGTCCTCCGCCAGGTTGGGGACCATGCCACCCGACACACTGCGGCTAATCGTGTCGGAGCGCCGGGGGACGCCACTCCAGGCGTCGCCCTTGGGTCCTTGGCTCGCCGCAAGGCTCGTGCGACGCACGGTCGGGTGCGCCTCGCGGCCCAGCCGGCTCAGGCCGCCCGAAGAATCGATGGACCGGATATCGGGCCGGACGCTCTCGAGAAGCGCGAGGGTGCGGCGCTCGGCTTCGATCTCGCGGAGGACGTACTCACGGATGCTGAGGCGTAGGTCCGCGGCGGTCCGGGCGAACCACTTGCGTCGCTCGTGGACCAGGTTTTGGGTGACACAGGTCGTCTTCTGGTAAAGGTAGGTCTCATTGCGACGCGCTTCGTCTAGGGCCGTGATGGCTTCGTCCACCTTCTCGCGGCGCACGTTCGAGCTCGCCTTGAGACGGTCTGCCGCGTTGAGCTTGCTTCGGGTAACTTCTTGTGCCTGCAGGAACTCCCGGATGAGGATTTGCCGGTTCGTCAGAGTTTCCTTGACGATGAAGGCATCAGAGGAGTGGTACTGGAAGGGGTCGCCAATGGTCGTGGCATGCGCCGTTGCCTGGGCCGCGTGGTAGTCGCCCATTGTCTGGATCGCCTTGCCGAGTTTCCGATAGGCGTTCGCGAGGCCCTGGTGCGGCTCTTGCACATTCATGGCCCCAAGTTTGACGCCGAAGTCGGATTCGGAGAGACCGAGACCTGCGAATGTCATGTTGAGTGAGTGGTTGTGGTGAGATGGGGCCGACTAGCTGAAAAGACTGCGACGGGGCAAGAGAGGAGGAAATCGGGGCCTGGACTCACCACGCCGTGATTTGACTAGTTTGTCAACCTTGTGCCCGGCATCCATGGTACCCAGGTAAAAGAGTTTGACAATGGGGCGCGCTTCCTGCAATTCGGGGGTATCGTCGGGGGGTGGGGCAAACTGCTTCAGGATCTTCCTCCGCACACCAGTGGCAGGTTGCTTCATCTTGACCATAGGACTGTAGCCGAAGTCACTCTCTACGAAGAGCACCATCTCGTCATCCCTCATAAGAACCTCGTTGCTGCAAACGTAATTGAACCAGCGCTGCATCAGGCCTCTCACTCGCACCTCGTCCTCCTCGGTCCCCGCCCCAGCGGACGTCAGGGGAGGAGGCACTGCCGGAACAAGAACCTCGGGGTTGGCGGAGATCAGATGGTCGGCGAGCTTTACAAACTCAGAGTGTAGTCGGCGGACGTCACGATACTGCGTAGTGCGGAATCGAGGTATATTGGTCTGAGTAATGGCGGAAACGGGGCATTAGCACAGCGATGGTGGATGGGTGGATGTCTTGAGATGACTTCTTTTTCATTCAGACTCACATGGACGTCGAACCGCAAGACTGGGTCCTTTTTACCCGTCCTTTCTAGACCAGAGATCTTGGCCACCAATCGGTATTGCGGCTTCTGAGGCTGCGACGGGTGTTGGCTCTGTTGTCCCTGTGGTCCAGGGGCGGAGGCAGACTCGTGATCCGGCGCCTTTTGGGGGGTCTCTGGACCACTCTGCGTGTCATGGCCAAAGGGTGTCGCGGCATCGTGGTGTTGGGCTCCGGAGGAGACAGTTGTCGCCGACTCATTGATTCCTGGCTCGGTTCCAGACGTGGTACTAGCGGTGTCGGGCCTGCGGAAAGAGGTGTCTTGGCTGCCAAATCCTCCCTCCTGATCTTGCGGGAGGCCGTTGCGAAAGGGGGAGACGGGGGGTTCGTCGCCTAGGACGGAGCCAAAGCCGGTCCTCTGGTGGCGAGGGGATGAGGTCGGTGAGTTACCCCAGGGCGAGGCGCCGACCGGGTTGTCATCCTGCATTGATGCGCTATAGTCCATGGCTGGCGTCGGGGACTTAACACGGACGAATCTGGTAACTTGCGGCCCAGGAACGATTTAGGATAGATGGGTTTGGTGGCAGTCGATCGAAAAGGACGGTTGCAGGGATGGCGGAGGTTGGGACCGAATCGGACCTCCTACACGGAGGATCGGGCAATCTGCGTGGGGAGATTGAGGGAGACAACTGTCAAAATCGGTATAATTTTGTCCGAGAGCAATCGTCTGTCGTTTCAGCACACACTGGCTTGTAGCAGAGGCAAATTCGACCATGCCTCGAGTCGGTGGTAACTGACGAGGCAGGCTAAGGAGGAGGAGGCTGTCGTTACTACCGAGTACGGAAAGGCCCGACAGGTTGAAGTGAGGTCCACAGTGTTAGCCGAAGCGTCCAGGGTGACGTGGGGTCTTTCCGGTACCGCCGTACCTGCTTATTGCTCTGTGGGTGCCTAAGGTAGGTACCTTAGGTAAGGTACTCTATACTATGAATGTACTCTGTATTACGTACGGAGTACGGACGTCCTCCCATACGGATAATAGCAGCCCTACGGATACGAGAAGCAGAATCTCCCACGACCAGCAGCATCATGGACATCATGAACAATCCCTTAGCGACTACTTCTCAACTGCAGCGACGTAATGACTTTAGTTCCCTACCGAACGACCTGCAAGACATCGTCTTCTACGCGACACAATGCCTGACCCAAGCGGCCGGCATGCTCCTGGAGCTGCCGCAATCCACAACCGCCCAAGCCAATGTCCTGCTGGCGCGATACTGGCTTGTCGAGCCTCCCATGCTTCACGAATTTAGCGTGAGCTTTCTCCTCGTCATTGCATAGATCATCCTTTGCCGGGGGTGCCTCCAGGACGGCCGCTACTAACAACCCAGCTTCAGGACGTTTCAGCTGCTGCTCTCTTCCTCGTGGCGAAGATGGGCCCCATGCCACGCTCCGTGCGCGACTTCTCCAACGTCTACGCGCACCTCCTTTCTTCCAAATCGAGCTTCTTTCGCCCAAAACAACCGCTGCCTCCTCCCGACCTGCGACTGTCCTACCAACACGAAGACGAGTACCTGGCCTTTCAGAATCGGCTCCTCGCTATAGAACCCCGTATCCTCTACGCCGTCTCGTTTGATACGCACGTTTCCCTACCGCACTCGCTGGCCATAACCTACCTTCAGACGATGGACTTCGCGGGTCAACCCAAGGGGGCCATCGGACGCCGGGTCGTGGCGTACCTTAACACGGCTTTGTTGTCGCCGCAGATGCTGTATCTTACACACCAGCCGCATGCGCTGGCCACGGCGGCTATATATAACGCCGCCAAGGACTTGGGGGCCAAGATGCCCGAGTGTCCGTGGTGGGAGGTGTTCGACGTGGATCGCGAGGAACTCGGGTTCTTGGTCGTCGGGATGAGGAGCTTGGACGGGTGGGTGAAACGGCAGAAGGAAGCCGTGCCGGGAATATTCGATGACGGTATGGTTTCGCGTAGTCGCATGGAGAATGAGACGAAGAAGAGGGGCATCTATATCGGGAACGGGAAGGGTAATGCGGTTGACGAGGAGGATGAAGTTATGCGGCAGATGGACGCGAAATCTACGCCTGCACGATAAAATCTGTCATCTGAGAGAAGGAGGCGCGACTGATACTCCCCTGGGAATTCACGCCTGGTTATTGAACTCGGCCAACTTACACTTGCATATATGCATTGGATGCTGTTCGAAACAAGGAATAGCAGTCTCGACACGAGGTACAATTATACACCCGCGGTGTCTTATAGAATCGAAACTATATGAGCAACATGTCCGAAATGATCGGACTTTTTTACTTGCCTTTAATTGAGTGGAAGGTTGGAGGTTGTAAAGTAAATGGCGTGGCTTTTTGTATAATTATCGTTGAGTTCGGGATCCCCACTCCCCATTATTTCATCCCTCATCAGACCAGACAACCACAGGAGTGACACCGAGCGTAAATCAAACACAGCGTCAACAGTGCAAACAAACGGAAACGGGAATTTGTTGGAGAATGGCTCTGAAGCGGTGGAGCGGAGAACTCTTGGAGGAGTGTAAAAGAACAACATTAGAGATCGCAGCGGAAGCTCAACCTTCGTCCGAGAAGCCTGCGACGGTCCAAGCATCAGAAGCAGAGCAAGGCCTACAACTTCTGCCTCTGGATACTCTGGGGAGACTTGGTTCTCTTGCTAGAGATGTCTTTCAGCTGGTGGACGTCCCCGAATTTGTTCATGAGACGGATCGGAGTTCTTCGTCGGCTTCGACACGACCACACGTCGACCACGCCGACTTACTCGAACGGCTTGACGCCGAAATCAGTCGCACGTACCAAACGTTTTACGACTTCGTCTACCAAGACCTGCCTTATTGCTGGAGACAACTCTATACGGATCTCTCCATTCTCAAATTCAATTGCCTTGTCTCGAGTTGGCATCCTGGGAGGGACGATGAAACCACAGGCAACGGTGCAAGCGTGAGTGTGAGCAGAGATGACGACGCGGTGCCTCAGAAAGACAATACCTTGGTTGCACAACTCGTAAAGACACTCGATAAAGCCCTTGTTCTGGCCGGAGGAGCGGGACTCAAGCGTGGCAGACAGACCATCGAAAGGATGCTACATCTACTGGAGGAGACATGTTGCGACGATGCTCCCCGATTCTCGCCCGAGGAAGCTCACGACACCCGTCCAACCAAGAGAGCAAGAAGATCTTCGAATGGAGAATCCCGACTTTCACAATGGGATGCAGAAAGATCCTTTCCGGCACGTCGAATCTTCACCCCAGAAATCAAGAATCTCATAGCCCACCGCGAGAACATGACCATGGATGACTTCCAACGCTACATGGACGAAGGATCCAAGACACCAGATGGGCCACTCCCCCTCGTCATCTGGGGTCTCATAGATGACTGGCCCGCCATGACGACCAGGCCCTGGAAGAAACCCGGCTACCTCCTCTCGCGCACCTTTGGCGGCCGCCGCTTGGTCCCCGTCGAAGTAGGCCGAACCTACGTGGACGAGGGCTGGACACAAGAACTGATCACCTTCCGGGAACTCCTGGACCGTTTCGACCAAGAAGGCGACGGCAGCGAATCGAACCATACTGCCGAAGAGGGAAAAGAACGGTCCTCGTCTCTTTCTTCCTCCCCCGTTACCTACCTCGCTCAACACGAACTCTTCACCCAACTCCCTTCCCTCCGCAACGACATCCTCACTCCGGACCTCTGCCACTCCAACCCCCCACCGCACCCCGTCTCCCCGTCCCTGAGCAGACCCGCCCCGCCCGTCCCCCTCATGAACGCCTGGCTCGGCCCCGCGGGGACCATAACCCCACTCCACACAGATGGCTACCACAACCTCCTCGCCCAGGTCGTCGGCGCCAAGTACGTCCGCCTGTATTCCCCTCTCGACACCGAGGCGCTCTGCCCGTGCAGCGACGGAGAAGATGATGGCACGGGCATCGACATGAGCAACACGAGCACTTTCGACGTCGGCGTTATCGAGGGCTGGGACAACCTCCCGCGCGGCCAAGACCCCCGCGACCCTATTGAGCTCGAGGAATTTCGGAGCTTGCGCTGCTGGGAGTGCGTACTCGAGGAGGGCGACGTGCTGTATATCCCTGTTGGATGGTGGCATTACGTGCGCAGCTTGAGCGTGAGCTTTAGCGTCAGTTTTTGGTGGAGCGGTGAAGATGGCACGGGAGACGACGAAGAAGGGCCTTGAGTTTTTTTTCTTTTTTCTTCCCCCCGTTTTATTTTGTGTGTGTGTTTTCTGTGTTTGGAACAGAGGTTTGGAACAGAGGTATTCAAAGGACGGACAATTCGGCCCTCACCCTGGGCTTAAGTCGTATAGGGTTACATGGTAGGAGGCCACTTATGCTACCTATATCTTTTTCGCCTCCCTTCTAACCCAACGAACTTTCCACTACGACTCGCCCGACTCCTTCTCTTCTCCCCTCGCCGCATTCGCTGCATTATCCACGCTTGCAGTCCCGCTTTGAGCCACCCTTCTCGCCTTGGCCCCAGCCTTGAGTTGCTCCCATTTCTCGCGGTACTTAAATATCGTCCGCTCCATCTTCTGGTGCTCCCTCTCCAGCTCCTCCATCCGCTGTATTGCCGACTCCACCTGCCTCTCCAGCTCCTTGTTCTTCAACCGCAACGCTGCTGCGTCATCCCCACCGGCGGCGGCAGCGGAGCCGCCATGGGACTGAAGAGGCGACCCTGGCCGCATGAAGCGCATACTCTCGGCAAGCGCGAGGCTCGAATTCTGCGCACTGGCTTCAAAAGCGTGCAGTCGCCGACTCAGCTTGTCAAGCATGTCTTTGAGGCTCTTGTTTTCCAGTGCCAGCTCCTCGACCGTTTTCGACGGCGGCGTGCCGGATGCCGCAGGCCGTGACCGGCCGCCGCCCGTCCGTCTTCTTAGTGTGGGCGAGGGAGGTCCCGAAGGCGACTCGCGCGCATCGACAAAGTCGTCCTCGTCCTCATCGATGAGACTCAAGTCGCCGCCGCTGTGGAGGGACGCCTCGAGACGGCGCTTCTCCTTATCGGCGTAGCTGAGGATGTTGGCGTAGGACATCGTGTGGCCGCTGGTAGGTACGACGTAGAAGGATTCGTTGGGGTTTCCACCATTAGCTGAGATGGCACGCATCGTTGCGCGGGAGTAAATCTTGGAAAGGTCGGGCTCGGCGATGGAAGGAGGGGCTTTGTGCTTGTTTCTCCGTGAGGAGGAGAAGGAGGAGGAGGAGGCCGATGAGGTAGCTTTTGCCGTGGCTGTGGGCGGATCGGATAGCTGCTCCTGGCTCGTTGCTGTCGACGACTCTTCTGCGATGAGAGGCAGCCCAGCGAAGGCCAGGGGTGCGGAGAGACGGTTGATCAAGGTGCCAAACGTGTTATAGAAGCGCGAGTAGCCATCTTCACTTGCCCCGGTCTGCTCTTCGGACGATTTCCGCAGTGGTGCCTCCTGCTCTTTTTTCCAGTGCGTATCCGTTCGAGGAGAGCCAGCCGTGGGGGGCACCCATCCCGGGCGTCCATTCTGATCCAGCACATCTTGCATCGTCAACTGAGGTCCGTCCTTCCTGGGTGATACTTCTAGGCTCCCGGGTGCTTGGTCGTTTGTGACACTAGGAGGCACCGGATGGCCTCTGTTCCGAGACCTGATGCCGCGTGCGGACGCCAGGCTTGTCGCGATAGACGACGTCGTCGGCCTGCCGGCGGGGTACCGCTTCTTCTGTGTCAGCGACGGTGGGACTGCGTATTTGGCAGAGTCAGCAGAAGTGCCTGACTGTTCCGATTTGGCGGGTGCATCTTCGGTGACTGGACCGGCAGTAGTTTCGCTCGCATGCTTGTCGTGGCCCTCGGCGGGTTGAGCTTGGCGGTGGAGGGGGAGCTTCAGGAGTTCAGAGAGCCGTTGATGGTGTTCTTGTAGCAGCTCGAGTGTTCGGAGGGCTTCGACACTAGTGGTGTGTTCTGCAGCCTTCGCAAACTCTCCAGCTGCGAGGGTATGTTCGTTGATGGCGACTGTGGTCTCGGTCTGGTGGGTCGCGCTGGCGGCAGCTCTCGCGTGGTCATGCGCCTATCCGGATCATCAGTGTCTGGAAATGGGTAAGGGGGGAAACTCTGCCCACGAACCTTGGTCAAAGGAGATTCTTCCATCTCGTTGGCCACAGTTGTAGGGAAGGTCAGATTGGAAAAGGCATGCCGTCCCGATATTATCCAGAAGAAATGATGGGAAAACCGTGAGTAAATTGGGGAGACCCAACTACATAACAGGTGACTACTCCGTAGTCAGAGTGTAAGCCACCAAAAGAGGCTGTATTCGGAACCCCGTGACCAGATTCAGACGCAAATCTTGGTGGCTTCATGGACGTTTAGTGTAGTTGACACAGCTTGGTACCGCCCATTGACGTTGTCGTGCTCTCCACAAATGGAACTCGCTTCTTATCTTATCATTATCTTATCAGACCAAGTGCTCATACGCTGGAAGGCAAGCCTACCTAAGGTACGAACCTTTCGGGTTACCCATCAATGGGCTTGGCACTGAATCCGTACCTATTCGTACCAAAGTATTATATGTAGTGTACCTGCCTAGGTACGTTAGTGCTGTTGTACTGTACAGTGTTCATTGACTGTCTCTCGTAGGGGTCCACTTCGGTCTGAACTCGAGACTGGACCCACCCAGGACAGGAAAGGAAAGTACTCCGTACGCGTAAGAGTGAACCTTCACTTGAGATGGAACAGCGACGTCCTGCCAATTAGTAGTACGAATAGACACTCTTCTTCTCTGTGTTTACTCTCCACTTCACGTCTGGCCCTGGGGCATTAATCCGTCTTGGTCTTCCTTGTCCATTTCGGCTTACGAGAAGCTGGGGGAAATACATTGATACGACACGAATCACCTCAACCGCCAGACTGCCATCCCATGTTCCTCAGCACTTAACAGACTCAGTGTCCCGCCAATGGTTCGCCAAAGACACAAGACTCACCTCCAATCCAAGACACAGACGCCAACTGGTCTTTCCGAAACTACATCTCCGACTGCAAGTAACCAGTGTTTCGACAACTCCGGGATCAATAAGATGAGCTGGGCTACCCAGAACAAGTGGATCATCCTCGCCATTGCGAGTGGTGCCTGCGCTGCATTCAACGGCGTCTTTGCTAAGCTGTAGGTTCCCGTCTCACCGAAAATACCTGTCCCTTACCTTCACGGCTCTTGTTTGCCTGCTTGCCGATGTGACTGACCCATTACAATTCCCAGGACAACCACGGAACTCACCACATCTATCTCACGGAGTCTCTCCACGTTCCTCCACTTATCAAGCGTTGAAGGAGCCTTTGAAGTCGTTCTCCGAGGAGTAAGCCCATCTTACCATTCCCTGGTTCATACACACAGTCTTTCCCGTTTTGACTACTAATCCGTTCCCCAGGCTTTCTTCGGTCTTAATCTGCTTTTCAACGGCGTCATGTGGACCTTATTCACCCAAGCACTGGCCAAGGGAAGCTCCACCACTCAGGTCTCTATCATCAACACATCCTCCAACTTCGTCCTCACTGCTTTCCTCGGGCTAGTCATCTTCTCCGAATCCCTTCCCCCACTGTGGTGGCTGGGGGCCACGCTCCTCGTCGCCGGCAACGTCATCGTCGGCCGGAAGGACGAGACGGGGGATTCCGAGACTAATGCTGACGGCGCTGCTAACTTATACGACCCCGTACCGCAGCAGAGGCCTGATTTGTTCAATGATGAAGATGATGATGATGATGTCCGTGGTGGAGCCAAGCCGGCTCGCCAGGGCGTCGATGAGGACATCATCGATTTGGGGGATTTGACTGGGCCCGAGACTAGCAATGGAGATGGCGCGGAGAGGAGGTGACAGACCATATCTGTTGTGGATGCACCGACTTTGGACATAGAAATTATAGCCCACGAGGCTTCTGTGGCAGATAACTGACAACACTAGATACGGAGTAATTATAGTATATATGTGTGGCTTAGACCAATTTCCTAGGCAGTCCAGACATGGATGAGCAAAACAGCTGTTCTGATTTGCTCCTCGTCTATGTTGGTCGTTTACAACGATCAGAAATCTCCCACTTAAAGTTCTCGCGAAAATTCACAGGCAAGTTATAGGGCATGCTAGGGTCACGAAATCCCGAGCAATGGCACAGTGCCCATCTATGGACATCATATATTGAATTCTATACCCAACTTGAGTACCATACCCGTTATTCCAAGACGCCAATCCCTGAGAGGGCAGTAAAAAGTTACGTTCACAAAACCCGAAATTCAGATCACCCACCAAGATACACATCAACGGCTCTCTAGCTCGAGAGCTCCCCCGTCGTCATCTTCATCCTCATCACCATCCATGATCTGTGTTCCTTGTCGGTTACCGGGTGTCCAGCCGGACCTCCTGGGCTCATCGAACGAACTCAGACGTATCCGACCGCCTGATGCGCTCGACACCTTGTCCGACACCCAGCCGACCGCCTTGCGCATGACGCCCCACAGCTTCTCCTGGGCTTCGAGAACCTGGTGGTCGTCACGCGGGTGTTCCGCCGCCTCCACCTTGAACTGGTACTTAAGACAGTCCTTCACGGTGACGAGGCCGATGAGTTTTCCGTGGTACTCGATGAGGATGACGCGAGGTCCTATCTTGCGGAACAACTCCATCGTCGTCTCGAGCGGTAGGCGCGGGTGGACCGTCACGGGCGTAGAGTCGACGTATCGGCTCAAGTCAATCGATGTCGATGGCACGGCGTCGTCATTCAACGAGACGGCCGGTGCTACGAGTCCTGTAGTGCTCTGGGATTGGAGCAGCGAAAAGGTACAGCGGACCCGAGGATCAACTGTGTTTTCTCGCTTGGCACGGTCCACTGCATACTGTAGTTCCGTCCGGCCAATGTAGCCGACTAGCATCTTGGAGTTGGCGTCTTCAATGATGGGGAAGCCCTGATACTTGTGACGGGATAGAAGACCCTCCACTTCCCCCAAGGCGACCCCGCTTACAGGCAGGGAAACCACTTCCCCCTTCATGACGTGGGAAACAGCGACGCCAAAGTTGTGATCCTCCTTGTTGTCCAGGTATGGGAACCCACTGAACCAGATCATGCGGTCGGCGATGCCTCCTCTGCCGAAGAGATCGCTGACAGCCTTCGTAACGCCGACAACGATCATAGTCGGGAGGATATACGTGAGCGCGCCCGTAAGCTCGAACATGATGACGACCACGGAAACGGTGATGTGCATGATTCCACTCAAAGCGGCTCCTGCGCCCAGGAAGGCATACGTGCCTGGAGTGATACAAGGCTCATCTGGTTTGCAGGCAGAGAAAAAGACGCTCTGGGGGTTGGCCTCGTGAATGGCTTCGACGACCATACCCATAGCACGCCCGAAGGATGCCCCGATGGCCATAGAGGGAACAAAGATCCCAGCCGGCACTTTGCATCCATACGAAATGATGACCAAGAAGATCCTCAGGACGGTTGCTATCGTCAGAAGTAAGACGTTCCACCACCTCCTGCCAGGAGCACATAGGCCGTGATAGTCCTCTGAACCGTCGCATTCGAGGAACAACAGCTCCATGCTCTCCGTCATGTCGATTCGAAGGAAGATGTTGGGGTAACAGATGATACCCGTGAAAAGGGCCAGAAGGGTGGCCTCCACAATGGGGTACTGGGAGAAATATCTCTTCCTGAACGCTTGATAGCGCAAATTCCACTTCATGACAAAGGCGCCGTAGAGTCCGCCGAAGATGCCCAAGATGATGTAGAAGAACGTTTCGAAAAAGTGCCAGTCGCGATCATAGCTGACCTGAAACATGACAACCTGGCCGGTCCTGAACGGATTCATGGCGGCGAGAATGGCGGTCGCCACCAAGGCGCAGAAATAGCTCCTCCACATGGTCTTCAGAGGGAAGTAACTAGACATCTCTTCGAGAGAGAAGAGCACGCCGCCGATAGGGCTGCCAAAGGCGACAGCTACGCCCGCGGCAGCACAGGCGCTCAGGATTTCGCGCATCTTGGAAGCATTGCGTCGATACTTGCTGAAGAGCCTCGAGATGACGTTGCCCGTACAGACGGCGTAGTGTACGCTCGGCCCCTCCTTGCCGACCGAAAGGCCGGAGGCGATGGCCAAGGGCAAGCAAATGGACTTGATGAGAAGCGTCCAGAAACCCAAGAAATCCTTCATGACAAACCCGGCGATGATGCACTTGATCTCGGAGATGCCAGACCCGGCAGCGTAAGGGGCGAAGGACTTGACCAAGGATGCCGACGTGAAGGCGAAGAAAGCACCGACGACGATGTAGAAGAAGTAGTTGAACGGCTCGAAGCCGGTCCAGCGGTGCCAGGCCGAACAACCGTTGTCCTCTCCCCAACAGCAGAATTTCTCGTTGAGGTAGAAGGCAGTGGTGCAGTATCCTATCTTGACGTCGGCGAGCCATTCGGTGACGATGTTCAGAAAGGCCGCGTTGAGACCAATGGCGATTCCAATGAGAGTGACGACAAGCCAGCCCTGGGCGGCATCGTAAGACTCCCAGAGACGATACCGCCAGCCCGGCGGCCCTTTGTCGATCAGGCCCGCTTTGCGCCTGCGACGGGATTTCCTCCGGGCTTGCTCTCGCGCAGCATCTTGCACCCAGTCTATGGTGGTGAAGTCTTCATATCTCTTGATCTCGGCAATCTCCTCTTCAATCTGCTGCTCTTGTGCTGGCGCTGTATTCCCGGCATTATTGCCCTCCTCGATAGTTGAGACTGCGAAGGAGAGTCTGGAGGTGATGGATGACGGACGGCGTTCGAAATTCGGATGTAGGTGCGAGCTCAGGTTCGGAGACGGCGGGAAGGGAAGGTTTTGGGACGTCATGGCCTCGGACTGGCGAGCATGTTCGCAAGCGGTTCGTTAGTCGGAGGTGGAGGAAATGGACAACTGAGCGTCGCCCCTTCGAATTCAACGTGGTTATTCGTGAAGAGGAAAGAGGTCCTCCCCAGAACCTACCTAGAATGCGGAAGCTCCCTTCAGGTAATGCTGGCCAGATAGGAGAGTACTCGCTCCTTGTACTCCGGCAATAATTAGGTGGATGTCGTACTCTAACAGTACGCCGAGATGTTCGGAAGGTTATCGCTCTTATCGCAGCCTATGATGGAATTCGTACCAACTACGACTTACCCGCCTATTGACGACTGTAGGTGCATGTATCTATACTCCGTACCTGTACGTTGTTTCTTCATGGCCAAAATATACCTAAGGTACCTAGGTAGGTACCTACATCCAAGTGTCACACATGCTTTGCTCATCGTCTCAACCAAGAAACCGAAATACGAAGTAGAAGCAGCCCAACCGACGTCAAGCACAACACAATCCGCAACAACCTTGACCTGGTTACCGCCAGAATTTCTGCATACATAACGCCGTACTCAGTACACGTAGAAGCGCATCCCCGCAACGTGTTGCCGGCTTTGTCTCCCCGGCGCCTAAGCAATATCACTCGTCTGTACTTTCTTCGTACCACTTGAGGTACTCACCTGAAGTACCTTACCTGACTTAATTAAAGGTCGTCAAATTAGAGGGCCCACAACCCCCCATAAGCTACCTCCCCCACTGTAATTTCTTGCCCCACGCATCACGATTCCTGCCTCCCCCTTTGGTTCTGTGCTTCTCCTCCCACAGCCTCACCCTGCCGCTATCTCGCGACAGGGCACGTCATTTCAACTCGATCACCACCTATTACCGGCTCGACGACGAAAAGGAAACAAAGCAAAGAGAATAAAAGAACAGGAAGAGGACATACGAACGAACTAGCGATATTCACGAGTTTACGACCCCCGCCATTGACGACAGAAACGACGACTATTCGACTCTTCAGCTGATCTTATTTTCTTCGCACCGCATCCACTTCATCCGTCTCCTAAATCATCAACGGCAAAATGGATACGAACATGGAGGACGTTGGACGCGTCCCCGCCGATGTCTCTCCTGTTCAGGCGAACCTTGAGCCCACAACGATTCCCACCGTCGATGGATGGATTGAGAGCCTCATGAACTGCAAGCAGTTGGCCGAATCGGATGTCCAGAGACTCTGTGAGAAGGTTCGTCATGCGCGTCGTTCACCGACTACCCGACCCGCCAACTGCTTGTTTCCTGTTTCCCTTCGAATGCAACTCCTCCCTCAGCCAGCGCCTCGCATGGCCCGTGATTAGAATTTTACCGCTGGACTAACGTGTATTTCATACAGGCGCGGGAAGTTCTACAAGAAGAATCCAACGTTCAACCAGTGGTAAGTTCATAATTTTTCCAGTGCGCTGGGTCTTCGCCAGAGGTAACTGACCCCGCCTTTCCAGAAATGTCCTGTTACCGTCTGCGGCGACATCCACGGCCAATTCCACGACCTTATGGAGCTCTTTAAGATTGGCGGCCCAAACCCAGACACCAACTATCTCTTCATGGGTACGGCCTTGGTGTCCCGGACCTCCCTCGTAGTATTTCGTGCCCATGCTGATGCGAAGAACTAGGTGACTACGTCGATCGCGGTTACTACTCTGTCGAGACAGTCACTCTCCTCGTCGCCCTCAAAATCCGTTATCCTTCACGCATCACCATCCTCCGCGGTAATCACGAGTCGCGCCAGATCACCCAAGTGTACGGCTTCTACGACGAGTGCCTCCGCAAGTACGGCAACGCCAATGTTTGGAAGTCTTTCACCGACCTCTTCGACTACCTCCCCCTTACCGCCCTCATCGACAATCAGATCTTCTGCCTTCACGGCGGCCTCTCTCCCAGCATCGATACCCTCGACAACATCCGGGCCCTCGACAGAATCCAGGAGGTCCCGCATGAGGGACCCATGTGCGATCTTCTCTGGTCCGACCCGGACGACCGCTGCGGCTGGGGGATATCGCCCCGTGGCGCCGGATACACTTTCGGCCAGGACATCTCCGAAGCCTTTAACCACAACAACGGCCTGACCCTGATTGCGCGTGCGCATCAGCTCGTCATGGAGGGTTACAACTGGTCTCAAGACAGGAACGTCGTGACCATTTTCTCGGGTACGCGCCTTCTCCACTTCTCTCCCATTTACTTCACGTTTGCGGTAACCCGTGTCTGACCATCTCCCAGCGCCGAACTACTGTTACCGGTGTGGTAATCAAGCCGCGATTATGGAGATTGATGAACATCTGAAATATACTTTGTGGGTTGGCCCTACCTTATGGCAGCTTCCTATTTTCCGCATTCCTTGCTAACTTATGTGTTCCTCAGCTTGCAATTCGACCCTTGCCCTCGGGCCGGTGAACCCATGGTGTCGAGGCGCACACCCGACTACTTCCTCTAATCCAACGTCCTCGCCTCCATACCCACTCGGCCACTTGGGCTGCGGGCATCGGGTTTCGCCCTCACCTGCGGACGGGGGGAAGCTTCAAATGGGTCCGAAGGCGGGCCTGCTGCATGATCATCATTTATACAATGAGGAGAAGGGTTGTTCGACTTGTAGGGCTCGTCTCAAGTATCAATGGCTGTACGGCCGAAGCGCTCTTTTCTTTGTTTCCCTGCCTATGGCGCCAGCATTGTGGACGACGGGAAACTTGGTTGAGATCCTGTTCAAGTGCAACCTTGACAGAGGAATCCCGGCGCGCCCCTCTGAACGTCCAAATGAAGACTTTCTTATCCATTCTGCTGCTGGGCATTGCCTTAGATACTCGTTTAGCCATAGACGGTCGGTTGCGGGCCAGGTTAAAAAAAAAGCAGACGTGTCGATTGTAATGAGCATATCAGGGTTATGATTCCCCACCCTTCCATGGAACCATGTAGTCAAGCGTGTATACATTACACCGCCTACCAAAGATTAATCAGGTAGACGTATGAGGGAGAATGCTGACAGCGGTGTCTATCTTTGCTAATGAGGCAACGCCTGCTAAATTGTATGATCAAGACAAGATGTAGGGGAGAGGCCGTGCGTGGGAAATATATATACAAGAGAGGAGCGTTTCCAACTTCTGTCTATGGGAACCAAAACCCATCTACACGTCCTGACCCGCGGCAGTGCTCTTCCCTTGCACGTCAGTTTCGCCACCAGGTGTCTCCTCACGGTCCGACATGCTCTCTTCGAGACGGTTCTTCTCGTCAGTCTCGACGGGGATCTGGAACCGCCGGTCAAACCGTACCAGTAGATAGAGGAGCATGACAAGAATCTCGATCACGAAGTTGAAGCAGTAGAATGCCGGCCTGCCGTGGTACCATGCCGGGTCGGACAACGACCGGCCGGGACTGAAGATCATGACGGCGCGGATGGCAGCGCCCACCGTAAGCAGAAGGGAGGAGGTGAGCAGGACGAGGGCGCTGGTGCGGACCGAACCGCTGTATGATCCCGGATGACGCACCCTCGTGAGGAGACCCCCGGTCTTCGCCGCCGTGGGTTGTAAACCGCTGCCACTGTGGGTCGAGGACGAGCTGAGAAGAGCGACGGCCAGACTGGGCGGGGTGGGGATGAAAGCGAGGACGGTGAATACGACGACGGCCACGCGTTGGACGGTCAGGCAGTCGCTGCGCACCTTGGGGTCCATGGTGAAGAAGGTGAGGATGATGACGTTGATGACGGCGATGAGCGTGATGGGCAGCAGAGGGATGGGCATGAGGAAAGGAAGCGTGGAGATGCGACGACGCCAGCCGGTAGCGCTGCGGCGGGGGCCGAAGAAGGAGCGCATGAGACGAGGTCCTAGGAGGAGGTTGAGGATGATCAGGACGATGACGCCGGCGTTGGACAGGACGGTGGCGGCTATGGCGAGATTCACATCGTCTTGGTGGACCGCATAGGCTATGCGGAGGGACAGGTCTAGGGTTCGTAGGACGGCGATGATGACGAAGAGAGCGGCGGGGGTGAAGGGCGTTCCTCGGCGCTTGTTGCTGCGGATGATACGGACGGCGATGACCGCCAGGGAGACGTATAAGACGATCAGGACAGCGGAGACAGGGATGTCCGTCGTCGTGCTGGGGACGAGGCCCGGAAGAGCGCCTTGAGGCGTATAGGGAGGCGGCCCGTACTGATATGGACCAAATTAGACATCGTGGTTGTTATCGAGGCGGGTACTGGTGCCATGTACCTTATGAAGAGATGGAACCTTGGAAGCGAGCTTTGGCGGTACGTACCTGGCGGGCATTGTCAATACCCGGGACCGAACTTGGGGGTACTCCTGATGACATCTTGTATCTTCCACTCCGTTGTACTGGTTGATAGCACCGGTAGCAGGGGGCGAGAGGCAAGTTGGTCTTATAGTCTAGGTGAGTAAAGGTTTGTTGTCGTTAAGAAGAGGCAGATCTCTCAGACCACCACCTACGTATCCCAGGCCGTCTAACAAGTAAAATAAGAGATTCAGAATACGTCAGTCGGCAAGGCCACAACTCGGATTGGATGCTGATACCGACTTTTCTGATATCAAAAGTTTCCGCGATACCGCACCAACAGGTATGACCGGAGAGTTTAAGAATAAAATAAGCACCGAGCTTCGTCGGGCCTTCGCGGTCACAAGCGGACATAAGGGGACACCTTTCTCCGCGACAATAAAACGACAACCCATTCAGCCCTGCCACGTGGTATGGGAACAGTTTTCGGCCCCCAATTCTCACCCGCTATGAAATATGGAAGCCTGTTTGCGTGAAGTTCTAATCCGTAAACTAGCGAGTTGGGTGATGTCGGAGGAAGAACGTCGGAGGTCGGGGGTCCACACGCTTCATTTGCACGGATTTCGGGGTTTGTCGCCCCCGACCCCTCCCGTTTTGCTTATGTCACGACGTAAGCCAACTTCGTATAATTGACAATTTTAAGGGCCAAAATCGCCGATCCCTCCAGCTTCTTGATGGTGTTATCGACATTGGTTGGTGCTGGTAAGCGGAGAGATATTGGGTCGAGCGACTCGCTTGAGTTGCAGAGAAAACCATTGCGTTCGATATTGGACGACGTGGAAGAGTTCAAGGGGGGGGGGGGGGGGGGGGGGGGGGGGACTGGAGACGGACATGCTTCTTGCATGCTGTCTGTTTCTCGCCGTAAGGATGGCGATGAATGGATGTCTTGTGAGGGTCATTTCATCGTGTTGATGCAAGAGAAATCAAGTCGTGCATTTGGGACTGCGACTTCTGGACCTCGTCAAGCAATTCCTACACGCCTCTTTCTTTATCAACAAAGAGGAGGAAACTGAATCGCTACCGGCATCTGTGAATACGTCGCTTACCCAGTAAGTCCTCGAAGTGGTATACCAATGACATTTGGTGTCGTCGAACCCTTCGACTTCCCACGCTCGACCTGTGGTGTATTAATTATGTCTTCGTATATATCCGTCCTTCGCCGAGGCCTGTTATCAGTTGTCAGTTAGGACGAATAGGAATATTTTCGGGGGACCGCTCGCCCGAACGTTACCGTGTAATATTTCGGACGAGACAGGCCCGCCCGCAGGAAGCCAACCAAACAGGGGCTGGCCCAGAGGCGCAATTTTAAACTCGCCTTGGCTTGTCAGACTTTGGGTCTCGTCTCGTCTCTCCTTTTAGCCACCGTTTGTTTGATCTACGAATAATTACCCGTAATAATCGTTTCGAATCCGTCTTCTGCATTTTTTCTGGTTGTCTTGGAAGACCTGTCCGGAGTAAACTGCTGTCCCTAGACCGAGTCTACTGGAATAGGGTAGGTCGTTCCCTCTTGCCAGAAGGCGTACGTACATGAATACTCTCCGTCCGTAGGTAGCCGTACATAAGGCACTCCGTAGATACCTAGATACCCTCAACTTTTTTGAGCAGTCGTCTTGCTAAAAATTCAGGTACCAAGTAAATTACAACGTACTCTGTACTCAATGAGGGGCAAGTTTGATGAAGGAATATGGATGGAGCCTCGCTACCCCAGTCTCCATACAAACGTAAGGTACCTTACCTTGGCCATCGGCCCGGCTGTAATCCGTACCTTATTTTTGTCCCTGTTGTGTACCATACCTACCTTAAGGTATGCGTGCCTCCAGGCTACACGTGGACTTGGAGGACTGGGAGAGAAAATACACGCACAATGTTCGTACCTGCAGCCGCCGTTGAGTACGTAATTAACCACTGCTCCTCAATAGGCAAGTGGAGGCCCGAGCGGCCCACCCCCTGCAGCGGTGTACCATTCAACGCCCAATCAACGGTCTGCGGAGAAACAGCATCCTGATCCAATTCGCCAGTGACTCCAAAACCCCCTTAAACGGAGTGCGGAAGGTGTCGCCTGTGTGATGCAGCCGTCCGCTCAGCTTCTCTTCGTCCGAGCTCCCTCTCTCTCTTGTTTGGTTTCTCTCCCCGGTAATTTTGGCATTTCGCTCCTTTTCTGTTTCTCTCTTTCCCACCCGTGTGTGTGTATGCAGGAACAAAGCAAGAGTGTGTGACAACACGCGAGGTTTGGAGCTTGAGAGAGGTAGCGACAACTGACGTCTCTCTCTCACGTCAATTTAACTCCTCCTCCAACCCGCACGTCTCCTGTCGTTCAGGCCATTGGGTCTATCACGACCTTCGGAAATTCCCTCCTGAGCGCCCAACATTCGCACCCTATCACGAGTCCGACCAACAACGCCTTGATCGGTGCGCCTTTAGTTTCGACACGCTCATTTGCCGTCCATTTTACGCTTTTGCTTTCCTTCTTTTGAATGGTACCTTATAATTAATAGTGGCCGACTACCTTCGCCTTGTTGAGCGCTTTGGGGGTAGCCAACTCGGGCACGCGTTCCACGTCAACATTACGCCGGCCCTACCGCCATCTCGCCAGCATCGAGGTTCTTTACATTTAATATATGTCACTGCGCTTTGTTTTTGTCGACCTCCGTTCTTTCTGAAACGATATTTTTCTTTACCTAGTCAACAAGGTTTGTACCTTTCTCATTCCCCTCGCGCTTGCCGTCTCAACAGCATCCTCGTTTGCGGACGCACCACTTTATAATTTCTTCATGGAGACACAGCTGCGCTGGCCCTCTTCCCTTCGTCCGTTGCATTGGATCCTCGAGTCTTCTCCACTGGTTAGGCTAACCACCTATTGTGCCTTTAGTTGCAACGATCTCATTTCCCTTTTCCCTGCAATATTGGTGGAACAATCTAATTTATCGCCGCCGACCGCCAAACACCATCAGGACACACTCTTCCCCCTTGTGGAAATGCGGTCGCCGGAGCGAGGACGAGCTACCTCGTCTAGATCCACCGTTGCTTTAGCCCAACCGCCGAAGCGACATCCGAAGTTGGCGCTCATGAGAGGCGTTCTATTATCAGCCCTTTCCGTGCCGGCCATCGTCTCAGCCCAAAGCCATTGCATATCTTTGGAAGGATCAACAGCTTGCCCTGCCTTTCAATCAGCAGCCATCTCCACTGGCGATTTTTTGCCTGACTTGTTTCCTTTTCTACGCTTTGTCTCAAATCGAGAGTCGTTCGACCGAGAACTACTGTCGTATATCCAGACAACTTATGTACGCAACAAGTGAGTGACGCTGCCACGACCTCTTGTCAAGTATCCGTGCTAAGATATGAGCAGATTCGAGCTTTCATTCGGCTGTGGTCGTATTGATCTCAGAAGCACTGATGAGTATTACGCGCGTTTCGCGACTACCGTTCTCTGCAATGCCATCATCCAAAATTCAATAGACGCCTGTAATCTTTCAGAAGAGGCGTCGCGAGCTGTCTGTGCCGATACATGCGTAAGATTATCTCTATTGCCGTGTCATGACTGTCTTCCGCTCACATCCCCGGCAGGCTTATTTTGCGCAGAGTGAAGCGCTTGTTACTGCTGATGATGAGCTTTGCGACACTCCTGGCGATGACTTGGTGGACCTGATCCGAGCCGACTTCACTAACTGCGCCCTTCCTGCGGGGTCACTAACGTCTGACCGCTGCATACAAGGCATCGCCAACGAGCCAGAGAATTGCGGCTACGGCAACAGCACGTTAGGCCTATGTTCTTACTGTGGATCGGGCGGTATCAACTCCACGGACACGTGCTGCTACAATTCGGACGCCGAGAACAGGTGCGCCGACGTGACGCTTCCAGCCATCATACCTTCGATGACATTCGAACCACCGACTCCAAGGCCTACGGCGACTGACGGCGATGACGACGATGACGACGGCGGCGTTTCTGGGCTTTCTGGCGGTCAGATTGCCGGCATCGTGATTGGCTCGATTGCCGGAGCCGCGATCCTCGCGGCGGCGGTTTTCCTGTGTTTTCTGTGCTGGCGGCGGAGGAAGAACGAGGGCAGCCAGAGTGGCAGCGTCTTTAATCAACCGGCTCCTGCTCGACAGCCGGCCGCAATGGAACAAACCAGCCGATCGTCTGCCCCTCAGAATTTCGAGGTGGTCCCTGGTGGCCGCGTTGCGCGCATGTCGGCCTTGGAAGGCAGTTCGGAACCCCCTTCACGCCATAACACTGGACTGGCTGCTGGTATTGGTGCTACCGCCGGGTACATGACTGGACGGAGGCAGGGAGAGTCCCACTCGTCGTCGGACTTTGGAAGTAGCCCCGATTCGGGAAGCAGGACTGGTGTTGGCGTTTTGCGGCCGCCGCCCAATAACATTCGAAAGAGACATGGGTCTCTTTCGAGCGGCTCGGTTTTGGCTGGCGAAGATCCCCAGTCCCCGACCAGCGCCGGCGGCATGTCGTCTCCGCAAGGCATGGCCAGCCAGCAGTCAGAACAACTTCCCTTCTTCAGGGACTACTACTCATCAGACGACATCCATCCTGGAGATAGAGTTTCCGTCCTCTGGGCTTACCAACCGCGAGCGCCTGATGAGTTTGCCCTTGAGCGCGGGGATATGCTCAAAATAGTCGGCATATGGGATGATGGCTGGGCGACAGGTGTTATGTTGGACGAGCGGGCCGACGAATGGGATGTCAGGCGACAAGCGCAACGCGACAGCGGAGTCTCCAACGCTTCGGGCAGACGCGACACGTCGCCTCCGATCAGCGGTGAGATCAAGGCATTCCCCTTGGTCTGTATATGCCGACCAGAGCATTGGCGCAAGACCATTGAGGGCGATGGCTCGACCGAGAACGGGTCCAACATCCAACCCGGCCCCTGAGAGGGACCCGGCCTCCATGTGCAACTGAGGAGCTTGGAAAACGTCTTCACCACAGCTGCCTGTCGGTCATAGGTCATTCGGCTACGGCGTGCGGGCGTTTTCGGACAGCAGTATTTGTCCTTGTCGTCGACGGCGGCTGTTCTTCATACCTTCTCCAACACACGTCGGCAAACCAACTAAGCAGCTTCCCTTTCGCTGGCGCGTACATTGCGCGTATGGGCCTCATGTGTGTAGGACCGTGGCGTAGACACACAAGTTCTTGCACACTAGGCACGAATGGCTTACGTTCTTGTCAACGATATTTTAATGCTTTTACTTCATCCTACGACCAAGCATGTGCAGCACTTCCTCTTTTCGATTCAGCGGTCCGAAGCAAGTCCGTTCATATACCCGTTTATGTGTGGTAGAAGGTGTTTGGTGTGGATGTGGGACCGGGTCTTTGGCGTGATCTTGGTAGTCTAATTACGACATATGGCAAGAGATCACCGAGGTAGAAGGGGAATCTTGGTAAGGTGGCTAGCTATGCCTACTCCGTAGCTTCTGCCTTGTGGCTATTAGAGAGGATATATCCTAGGAGATCAGAAGCTCTTAGTTAGCTTTTAGCTCACGGCCACCCCAATAGACCTAGTAACCTGTACCCTTCCCGATGTTGAGCTTTACTCCCATAGTTTCGATATCTTTGAGACTTCTGCTTCCACATTTATGTTTTGTACTTAATCGTTTTCTTGGTGATAATGTTCTTGACCATTGGACGTGCTAGTTGTGGTTCGTGATGTTTTCAGTGAGACATCCCCACTGGTATTACTCAGTACCTACCTAATTTCCTTTGTCACGGGCGCTTTTTGTAGGTTATGTCAGCATTTGGTCGATCAGTCATTGGGGCAGCTTGTAGCATCGAGCTGTGACGTCTGGTCTGGCCCACATTGTGGGTAACTTTATCAACAGCCTGGGGTGGGTCCCTTCCCTTCAGGCCTGCGTCCCTTATCGAGAGCTCTCAACAATGATCTACAGAGTACCTTAAGGTAGGCTCGAGTGTCAATAGGTAATGTGAAGTGTTATTTCAACCAGAGTGCCTTCAATCATAACACCAGGTGGTAAGTCCATATTAATTCCATACCAACCCCCCGTGACGATCGCCTAAGGTATTGACCTGTCTGTATTCAAAGCTACCTGTATATTCGAAACGTCCCACGAGGCAAACGAACGTACAACACCGACATCAAGATGATAGACTCGATCCACGCCCCCGTCACGAGCATCCTCATCAAGTAGATCTCCCCGATACACGAGTTCCATTAAGCCACCCACCATGGGTCAGGGGTTCTCCCTCGCGACTCACTACACTGGGGCGGCGAGCATCGATGTGCCGGAGCTGTCCGACCTGGTGTACGAGCAAGGTGTCGGCAATGCACGCTTCATGAAGAGTGTCCGCGCGAGGCATCACGATGGCGTCGTCTTGGTCAAGGTCCTCGTAAAGCCATATACTCCGCTGTCGTTGGACTCGTACAAGAAGAAGATATTAGGTAGGTGAAGAACGGAGTGGCACCCCACTGTACTGAGGTGTAAGAAGGGCTGACACGATGACGCTCACGCTTCGCAGAGCAGCGAAACGCCCTCGCCGAAGTGCCGAATGCGCTCCCGTTCCAGCGCATTATTGAGACCGACACAAACGGCTATCTTGTCCGACAGTTCCTCTACAACTCCTTATATGACCGTATGAGTACCCGCCCGTTCCTGGAAGACATCGAGAAGAAATGGCTGGCATTCCAACTCCTCTGCGCCCTGCGCGACTGCCACGCTCGCGACATCTACCACGGAGACATCAAGTCCGAAAATACCCTCGTTACCTCGTGGAACTGGCTGTACCTCGCCGACTTCTCCGGCCCGTTCAAGCCTGTGCTGCTGCCGGACGATAACCCCGCCGACTTCTCCTACTACTTTGATACGTCGGGCCGGCGAACATGCTACCTGGCCCCCGAGCGCTTCGTCCCTCACGAAGAGCTCCATAATAAAGATGCGAGGCTCACCTGGGCCATGGATGTGTTCAGTGCCGGCTGCGTTATTGCAGAGGTGTTCCTAGAATCGCCCATCTTCACCCTGAGCCAGCTCTACAAATATCGACGAGGCGAATACGACCCCGTGATATCTCAGATCAGCCGCATCTCCGACAGGGATGTGCGGGACATGATTTCCCACATGGTCCAGCTGGATCCGGAGAGACGATACTCTGCGGAGCAGTACCTGGACTTCTGGAAAGGCAAAGTCTTTCCAGAGTATTTCTATAGCTTCCTACACCAGTACATGGGGCTCGTCACCGACCCTTCCTCGGGCAATAATCCCGTCTCGGGCGCATCCCGGAATCTCGGCGAAGCTGACGACAGGATAGACCGCGTGTTTCTCGACTTTGACAAGATTTCGTACTTTCTTGGGTACGAGTACGAGTGTAACGTCGAGTCACGGATCAAGCCGATTGCCCCTCGATTAGGGCTCGGTCATTTTCCCGTCCGTCTCAACATCCCGAACCACGAACGCGACGTCACCGGCCGTGCGGAACCTCCCAAGAAAGATGGCACGTTGATTTTCTTAGCTCTGGTGGTCTCGTCCATCAGGAATACCGCGCGGGCCGCCTCTCGCATCCGGGCATGTGACATCTTACTCGCCTTTGCCGAAAGGATTCCGGACACCGCCAAGCTGGATCGTGTCTTGCCGTATCTGGTGCTGTTGCTTGGCGACAAGTCGGACCTCGTTGTGATAGCAGCGATCCGGTCCATCACGCAGCTTCTCCAGCTCGTCCGGACACTCTCCCCGGTGAATGCCCATGTGTTCATCGAGTACGTCTTACCCCGGTTCAATTCCCATCTGTTGACCGGTCCCCTGACGCCCAGCCCCCTCGTGAGGGCTACATATGCGTCTTGCCTGGGCAGCCTGGCGACCACCGCTACCCGGTTTTTGGAGATGGCGGCCACCATGAAGGCGACCGGTGCACTATCCGTGGCCGATCCCGAACTGGAACCCGGCGTGGAGGCCGAGGCTCTGGCGGATAACCTGTTTGACGATGCCCAGCGCGAGCTTTTTGCCATGCTCGAGCAGCACACAAAAGTCCTTATTGAGGACCCGGACGTGTCGGTTAGGCGCGCCTTCCTCACATCAGTCCCCGAGCTCTGTATTTTCTTTGGGCCGGCCGAGGCGAATGACATTCTTCTCGCGCATCTGAATACGTATCTGAACGACCGGGACTGGACATTGAAATGCGCCTTCTTCGAGACCATTGTGGGTATATCGGTACTCATCGGCAGTTTCAGCTTAGAAGAGTTCATTTTGCCGTTGATGATCCAGGCGCTGGCGGATCCGGAGGAGTTCGTGGTACAGGCTGCTCTACACTGCCTTGCGCAGTTGGCAAGCCTCGGCCTTCTCTCCAGGGCAAAGCTGTGGGAGTTGATCGATATCGTCGGACGCTTTACTATGCATCCGAATTTATGGATCCGCGACTCCGCAGCCGAGTTTCTCTCCCAGTCGACCAAGTTCCTCGGCACAGCGGACCTAATAGGCATCGTCCTTCCGCTGGTACAGCCCTACGTCAAGACTGATCAGATTCCTGCGCTTGATCTGTTGGGGGTGCTCGACGCGCTGAAGCGGCCTTTGTCCAGAGCCGTGTTTGACCAGGCACGCGTCTGGGCGCAAATGGCGGATAAAGGGGTATTCTGGAGATCCTCCCAACACCCTCGTCATGCCATATCCGGATCGCTACCTAATACAGTCGCAACACGGTCCTCTAAAGACTTGAACACAAACGTCCTCAGGCAAATACCACGGAATGAAGAGGATGAACAGTGGCTTGCAAGACTAAGAAATCTAGGACTCGGTCCTGAAGATGAGTTCAAGCTGGTCGCTCTCAGGGAGTTTATCTGGCGCACGAGTAAAATGAAGGGACGCGAGTCTACGGCTGGCGAGCCTACCGGTCTCAACGAGATGGTTTCGTTGAAAACCCTGGGCATCACACCGCAGACCATCTTCTTTTTCGACGAAGAGCCGCCTCAGCAACCTTCGGCCAGCCCGCGGTCTGACCAACAGGGGCCATACACGATCGCCGATGCTCTGTTGGATGCCTCCATGACGATTGATGACTCGGGTACAAAGAGACAATCGAGTGCCTTGAACAACTTGCGGACGCGTGTGGTTGAAGGGCGCGTGTCACGAGAAGTGTCACGCACTCGACCGATTGAACCCAAGAAACGCACACCGACGGATCAGGCCACCCTGATTGTTGGCAGCCCCGGGATGGATGGTAACGTATCGGTTCGTGACCAGCCATACTCTTCGAGAAGGACGATTCGACACCAGTCTAGCGCCCTCGGTCTACTCGACCGCAAGGATAGCAACAAAAGCGTACCCGAGACGGCCATGACCGGCGCCAATGCCTTCGGCGAGGTTGAGGGTCCCTTCTCACAGCCTCCGCAAACCAGGCCAGCAGGGGCGGACCGGTTGACCAACGGCGCGGCCCCAGGGACGAAGGTCAAAGCGAACCACTCGTACGAGGGAAATGACCCTAGCATCCTGAAGATGTTGGATACGATGTACGTGGACAATTATCCCCACGACATGATTGAATTCGGCCCCTTGGTGCCACCTATTTCCCGACGCAAGGCAGGAAAGGCCGTCGGCACGGGTATTGACGAGCCGTGGCGTCCTACGGGACGACTTGTGGCGACTTTTGCGGAGCACACTAGTTCCATCAATCGGCTCGTGGTAGCGCCGGATCACGCCTTCTTTCTGACGGGCGGCGACGACGGTGCGGTCAAGGTCTGGGACAGCGCGCGGCTTGAGAAGAACATTACGAACCGCTCGAGGCAGACGCATAAACACGGCACTGGCGCGCGAGTACTGGCCTTGTGTTTCATTGAGAGTACCCACTCCTTCATCAGCTGCGCAAACGACGGCAGCGTTCACGTCGTGAAGGTGGAGGCCGTGCCGGCGGGCGGCGTGCTACGGTATGGCAAGCTACGGCTCCTGCGCGAGTATCAGCTTCCCGAAGGCGAGTTTGCCGTCTGGTGCGAACACTTCAAGCTCGAGTCGGATTCCGTTCTGGTGCTCGCAACGAACCGTTCGAGGATCCTGGGCATCGACTTGCGCACCATGTCGCTCCTGTATGTGCTGGAGAATCCTGTCCATCACGGGACCCCGACGTGCTTCTGCATCGACCGGAAGCGGAACTGGCTATGCGTGGGCACGTCGCACGGCGTGCTGGACCTCTGGGATCTCCGGTTTCGAGTGAGATTAAGAGGCTGGGGACTTCCGGGGAAGAGTGCGATCTTCAGACTCAGCATCCATCCGTCCAAGGGGCGCGGCAAATGGGTCTGCGCAGCGGGAGGCACGGGCCAGGGAGAGGTCACGGTGTGGGACCTGGAGCGCACCACGTGCCGGGAGATCTACCGCGTCGGAGGCAGTAAGGACGGGCCGAAGGGGTACGAGCCGTGGGACGTTGACGAGGACAAGCCCGAGGGCATGCTGGGCCGATACGCTACCAACATCGAGCCGAGCGGAACGGGCAGCCCCGACCGTGGGGTGCGCGCCATGATCACGGGGACGGCGAGCACGGACGACTCGCGAGACGTCCGGCACCCCTTCATCGTAACGGGGGGTTCTGACAAGAAGCTCCGGTTCTGGGACATGTCTCGGGTCGAGAACTCGGCCGTGTACAGTGGGCTTGACCCGGACGAACCCAAGCCGACATATACGGCTTCCCATCCGACGACCAGCTTGACGGTCAATACGGAGAGGGTGCCGCGCGGAGGGCCGACGGCGCCGAATGCAGGGTCCGGCGGCTCGAAGGGCAAGGGAGTTGGCGGCAGCGGGAGGCCGTCGCGGTATACGGTTATTTCTCTGCAGCAGCAGCACCTCCTCAGGGCGCACCTGGACTCGATCACAGATGTGGCGCTGTTGGAGGTACCCTACAGCATGACCGTATCGGTAGACAGGTCAGGGGTGATTTATGTGTTTTCTTGAGGAGACGAAGCGATGGGGGACGGGGGAGAGGACGGGGGACTGGGCGCAGCTCTGAGATATGGGGTTTCATGTTACACCCTCCCTGTGTTCAAATACACGGCGTAACGCGTATTGTGCGAGCGATCTGATATAGCGACACCTAAGCGGAGTTTTATGTTGACAGGGAAGAATCCCTATTGTGTTGTGCAGGGTTGCTTATTATGACGCCGAAGGGCTGAGACGTAGGCTAATATCGCTGCCCCAGAGCTCCATCGCATAAAAATCGGATTCCCCGAGTCAGAGAACGTACTGGGTATTATATGGACTAAGGTACCTTATGTCGCTAAGGTACCTGTAGAATTCAAGAAAGTATTCTGTACTTTAAAAAAAGGTACGGTGACTCGTGATGCTTAAAACGGAAACGGCGACTCGGGAAGTTGGATTTTGATGCGCATATCTTATCTTATCAGCTTATCGGTTCCGAGAAAGAAAAAAAGTTCGAGTTCATTCGTGCATTGGTGCTGGACTTGTTCCCCCCTTACAGATTTTTTGTAATCGCACGCGGCGTCGGTGTACTCGTTCAATTCTTAATTCCTTCCAGCAACTTGTATCCCACGTCGCCTCGAGCCAAACCGTTAATTACCAAGATGCGCATTGTTCTCGTGAATGGCGGCGTCATCTCTGGCGTTGGCAAAGGTGAGTTCCATGTTCCCTGACCCCTATCGGGCATCTTGCATGGTGCTGCGGGCTGGCATGAATGAGTGTGACCGTCTCATACCCCAAATCTCATCAATCCTCAACGCGCCTTTCAGACTTTCTTGGAATCACTCTGCTGACTTGTGGATCTTGTAGGAATTATTGGTAAGGCCTTTTTCTTTTTCTTTTTTTTTTTCTTCTTCTCCTTCTTTTTTCCCTGCCTTCAGCATTGTCTTGGCAATTTTTTCTTTCTTTTTCTACTGACAATAGAAACTCTCTTACAGCCAGCAGCGCGGGGCTTCTGCTTAAGACTCTTGGCCTTCGCGTCACGGTATGACATTTCTTTCACCATTCACTCTCAATCCATGATCTCCCACTCACACTAGATTTTCCAGGCCATAAAGCTCGACCCCTATTTGAATGTGGATGCCGGTCTTCTGTCCCCACTAGAGTAGGTCTCCCTGCATTGTTTCCACATGACATTTGGCTAACAAGGCCTTCAGGCATGGAGAGTGCTTCGTTCTGGCCGATGGAGGAGGTACATCTCTCCAACATTCAATTCACGCTTTCGAACATACTACTAACACCGACTAGAGGCGGATTTGGACCTTGGCAACTATGAGAGGTATTTTCAATGGCTTTTTTGAAGACTGTAGACCACTCAGCTGACTTTAAACTCGAGATATCTTGGCATTCAGCTGAGCCGAGACAGCAACATGACCACAGGAAAGATCTACCAGCAGGTCATTGTACGATACCCTCACCACCCGCCAACGATGAATACGATCCATAGAGACTAATGCTCTTTTTCTGAAACAGCAATCCGAGAGAGTGGGCAATCCGAAGAGGCTGGGGAAAACCATCCAAATCGTCCCGGATGTAACGGATGCCATTCAGGAATGGATCGAGAGAGTGGCCAAGATCCCGGTGGATGATTCTGGCGAGGAGCCGGATGTCTGTATCGGTATGTCCTCGTAATGACCTGACAGTTTTGAATATCAATGTACTAACTTGGCATAGTTGAGTTGGTATGTTCTCCGCCCCAGTTGCATTGCCAGGACAATTCTGAAGACTAACCTCGTTCTACCTGTAGGGCGGCACAGTTGGGTAGGTATTCTCCTTGGCGATACGTCAAGACCTTTTGTCGGGACTGTTTCTTGACCAATCTAGGAGAAACATAACTGACTCTTCGCTACGTTAGTGATCTTGAATCTGGTCCGTTCATGGAGGCCCTGGTGCAGCTGAGGCACAAGCTTCAACGAGATCCAAACCACGAATTCATGAGCATTGCGGTGTCGTACTGCCCTGTGATCAATGGCGAGGAGAAGACCAAGCCCACGCAGAACGCTATCAGGCAAATGCGAAGTGCTGGTTTGTTCCCTGACGTGGTAGGCGTTTCCAAAATTCACGCTGTGGCCCGAATGAAATCCTCTAATTGTATTACCAGATTGCTTGCCGTTGCGAGCATCCCCTCAACGCCGCCACCATCTCCAAAATAGCCCGGAGTTGTCAACTCGACGACGACCAAGTCATCGGCGTCCGAAACATGGAGACCATTTACCAGGTCCCGATTCTTCTCCAAGAAGAGGGTCTGCTCAAGCTATTGCAAAAGGGCCTGGGTCTCGACAAGCCCGTCCTGTCCCCAACCATGGTCGAGAAGGGCCAGGCCCTGTGGGATTTGTGGAAGAAGACGGTCGTTCCCGAGCGGCACCTGACACCGGTCAACATCGTGTTGGTCGGCAAATACGTCGTTCTGGATGACGCCTACCTCAGTGTCCGCAAGTCACTCGAGCATTCGGCCATGCGATGCAAACGGAAGCTGAACCTCGTCTCTGTCGATGCCGAACACCTCGAGCACGAAATGCAACAGAAGGACCCGATCAAGTACCACGCCGCCTGGAAGGCCATTTGCGATGCCGAAGGAATCATCGTCCCCGGCGGCTTTGGCGAAAGAGGGACCGAGGGCATGGTGGAAGTCATCAAGTGGGCCCGAGAGCGAAAGATCCCATTCCTCGGTATCTGCTTGGGCTTGCAGGTGGCCGTCATGGAGTACGCCCGTAATGTGTTGGCACTCAGGGGCGCCACGTCCGAAGAATTCTCTGCGCAAGCAGAGCACCGGGTTGTCGTTTTCATGCCGGAGGTATCCAAGGAGTAAGTCGTCTTCGTTCCTTACCTATCTACTATTAAGGCGCGACGATAGGACGCCGCTAACATAGGACTCAAAAAAAAGGCAAATGGGCGGCACCATGAGACTCGGCGCTCGGACATCCCACTTCAAACCCGGCACCGAATGGAGCAAGCTCCGGGCCATGTACGGAGGCGCGGACGTTATCGAGGAGCGCCATCGACATCGCTACGAGGTGAACCCAGAGTACATTGAGCAGTTCGAGAAGGGCGGACTTGCCGTCACCTCCCTCGACGACCAGGGCGTGCGAGTCGAGTCCGTTGAAATCCAGGATCACCCTTTCTTTGTCGGGTAAGCAACACAAGGCGATGGGTTGGAGGAACTCTTGGACGAAACACAACACAAAACAGATGCTAACTTGATTGATCAGAGTACAAGCCCATCCCGAATTCACCAGCAAGGTCCTGAATCCTTCTCCCCCCTTGCTTGGCCTTGTGGCGGCAAGTGCGGGATGCCTCGACCAGATGATTGAGGCAGCCCGTGAGTGGAAGGAAGGTCTCGCGAACGGAACTGGTGAAGCCGCCCATTTCTGAGGTGGTGGAGGGGTTGGTTGGCTGCGCATTATTATAAAGAACTGGACGAGTCCCTGATTAGATCCATGGCCTATGGTGCAGAGACGTCGAGAAGAAGCGGGAAGAGGTCCTGCCTTTTGAGGAGCACGTAGCACTATTGAGACAATCATGCTTTATGGACTAGGTATTTTCGGCTGGCGTTGTTGGGCTGCATAGAATGTAGAAAAATCACTGGGATTAAAGACAGGGCAAGGCAGCATCCGGGACCGGAACGGCGGGGAGGGACCTGGAGTAGGCAGCTACTCAGGAGTTATCTCCCAACACCTCGCCCATCCTTTCTTCCCTTCCTCGCGACGCGTCTCAATTTTCTCGGCAAGAAGCGATCACGCCCCTGGTACCCAGTCTCCCCCAAATCATGTTGGGCGCTCAAGACATTCAACTTGCACAAATTACACCCTCCCGTCCCATCTGACCGACCCGGGCTGGACACTGCACTGCCCAGACATCTGGTCATGATGAAGGGGGGCGAGTCGTCAGGAAAAGGTCAGTTGCTACAACGTCAATCATTCATCACAGCCAGGCTTTCTGACAACTCAAAGACCGCAGCAGACACGAAGACAACGCCTTAACATTGGGCCGCTGTGGAAACCTGCAGCTGCTTTTGCATTAGGCCAGTCCTGCAAACCACCCAAACATCATTCCCGAGGACTCGAAAACAGCTCGAACTTGTCCGAAGCCCCGGGCTTTGCCCACAGAACAGCCCGGGAAGAGATTCCCCGGTTTATTTGGGAGAACAGAGCAGACTAGACCAAAGGCGCCACCGCCATCTTCCTTCCACTCGCAGCCCTGATGGAAGGTCCAGGGAGAGGCCTGGACGTCCGGAACTCGTCCAAGTTTGTGGACTCGACGGGGAAATTTAGCCAATACCGAACGAGTCCTGGAACAGAAGACGCGGCTCCAGATATAGTGCAGTGGAGGATATGACAATGGGGGGTATAATGATATGATATAATCTTTGCAAAGGTCCCTTTGCGAATAGGTGTTTTTACGAGGTTTTTATTACGGCACACTACCTAGGTAGGTACTTATAGAGTACGGAGTCGAGATACAGTGGACGTTGGGGCGGTTACTGTGGTGCGCACGGATCCACTTCTGGACGCACTAATACACGTGATAACGACAGTGACGGTCAAGATTAAGTCGCTTTGGAGCAAGAAATTCCCCAGCTTCCCATCCCAGCCTTGCCATGTTATTTTTATTTTTGCGAACCAAGGCTGCACCGCTCTCCTGTTCTTTTTCTCACCGACCCAGCTCCGAGGGATTGATCCATTGTCACACTGACCCCGCGAAGTAAATCAAGTTAACACTCGACACGACCATTGACGACGCAAGATACGAATACCAGACGCAACCACGGCGGCCCAAGCGAGTAATTCCACTTGACGGTAACATCGCCAGCAACCACCCGCTCACGATTATCCGCTGCCCAAGATGAGGCTCACGGCAGAGCTCATCAAAGACTCCCTCTCCTATCTGAATCCGCTGAAGGAGCGTGAACTCGATCTCCGAGGTGCGTTTGAAAAGAACAGATACTACACTTGCATGGTCTAGCAGAGCAGAGTTGATTGGCGACCTCCCACCGTCGGGTGAATACAGGACACAGAATACCTGCCATTGAGAACCTTGGCGCTGCCGGTGTGCGTACTACTCTGTTTTCCCCCAGTCCTACCTTCATGAGTTGCCCGAGTCCTGACACTCGCGCCCTCGGAATAGCCGCTCGATTCGATCGACTTGACCGACAATGACATTAATATCCTGGGCAACTTCCCCCTTTCACCGCGAATCACCACCCTCCTCCTAGCACGTAACCGCATCGCGTCGATTCAACCAACGCTACCCAACTCGATCCCGAACCTGCGCCATCTCGTTTTGGCGTCAAATCAGCTCGCCGAATTGTCGGATCTGGACGTCCTAGCAGGCCTTTCTCTCTTGACGCATGTCGTGCTGCTCGATAACCCCGTAGCCAAGAAGGAGGTGCGTGTTTCCTCCAGCCAGCGCTTCACCCAACGTCTTGGCCTCGAGAGATCGAAAGCAGATAGACAGGGGGGGGGGCAAAGAGCGAGAGAACAACTAGAACTGACGCGCTGCGTGACGGGGCAGAATTACCGATACTGGGTGTTGTGGCGGTGTCCCGGCATCCGGTTCCTCGATTACGCAAAAGTTAAGGATGCCGAGCGACGGAAGGCGGCCGAGCTATTCGGCACATCGGAACAGCCAACTGAGCTGGCTTCTCAGGTGAGTAGGCTCTGTGGGATGAATTCGCTTTTTACTTTTGCAGGCCGGGGACGGAAAGAGAAGTGTATCAGCTGACCTTTATGTCTCCTTAGATCATGGGAATCAAGTCAAAGGCAGTCGATATGAGCGGCGGTCACCAGGGCCCAGCGCCAACGCGGTTGTCTCGCATTAAGCTCACAGAGAAGGAGAAGAAGCGACTAAGGGAAATGATCAAGAACGCGGACAGTCTGCAGGAGATTATCCGGTTGGAGAAGATGCTTAGTGAAGGAACGCTGCCTCCCGGAGTGCATATCGATACAGACGCGATGGAGGAATAAGGGAACCAACATTAGGCTCTAGTCTGTCTCGAGCTGGAGTTTGCCCATGCATGCATGACCGGAGTGGGAACAAACTACGAACCTCAGAACTCCCTCGGAAGAGAGACATGTATTGTCGCATGTCGGTGCAGGCGTCTGCGAGCTGGACATAGGAATGGGGCTCAGGGTAAAAGCCAGCGACTTTACGGGCTCTTGGGGTGAACCAAACGTCGCCGAAGTTTTAAGAAGAAGAAAAAAAGCATCTCATCATGATATTCAGTCGTTACTTTGCCTATGCCCAGCATTGCTCCTTTAGTATACACAACCAAGCGGCGCCCTACGTATAATTTCCAACGCCTACACGCACCAGGGGGGTCCCGGCTTCTAGCCGGTCATACTGACGTCCCCATCCCCATCCGCATCAGACGCTTGCATCGTTCCTGCCTCGAGCTGCGCGCCTGGCTCGCCCGCCGCCGAAGACGCGTGGCCGTGGACGCCGTTGGTGGTTACTGCCGTGGTCAGCGGTGAGGACCTGCGCTTCTTGCCAGAAGTACCGTTCGTCGTCGTCGTGGTCGTCGCCGCCGCCGCCAAGGTACCCGCTGCGGCGTCGACGCTGTCGCGCTGAATCCGGGCCCGCGTGGCCCCGGCTTGGTACTTTATATCCTTGTAGGGGACCGTCTTGGGAATGGTGTCCTCGAGGAATTCGAGGTTGTCGTGGTGCGCGACGGCATTGGCTGTTGGGGAATGGCGACATCGAACCATTCGTTAGACAGAGAAGAAGGGAGGCAGAGAAAGAGGGGGAGGCTGGGGGTTGAGCTCTCTCGTCTGCACGGGGAATGAAGAGAGTTACCTAGATCCTTATATTGTATGTTCTTCCTCGGCTTGCGGTCTAGCTTGGCCATGTTCTGGGCTTCACTTGCAAGGTGCTGGATGAACATTTCCTGTGAGATAGCCATGTCAGGACGTGCATCGCGGAAGGATCAGCTGTCAGGACCTTTCGAATGGAAATGGCCCTGACAGGGAGAGGACGAGACAAGACGTACACTTGCCATGGTAATGATAAAGGCTGCGTTGTTGGAACAGATACCAATGTCCGGATCTTGTGCGATGATCTTCTTGACTCTGGCGACTATACAAGTCATGGGGTTAGAAGGTTAGAATCGGTTACGTCTTTGTCTTGCTGAACATTTTCAGGCCTTTCACCTCAAAGGTGTAGGCGAGGAGAGGGAGAAAGTAGAGGTAGCAGGAGCACAACTAACGCGGAAGGGCGGGCTGCCCTGTCACCTCCTTGCGAGGAGGGATTGCCGTGGTGTTATACGGCATGTCGACACAGGGGGAGAGGAGATGAAGGATGCGTCAGATTCTAATTGCGAGAGCGCACTGGGACGGCCTGATGGGTTTCGAGTCCGCGATGTGATCCCAGTCAGCGAACGATATTCCCTGGTTCAGAATGATGGACCTCAGACCATGACGAGAGACAACGCCAAGAGGAGAAGAAACGAAAGAGGAAAAGCAGAGCTCTATTTGCCACAGTATGTGTGGTCTTATAACATCGGGCTCATCGAGTCACTGAAGGTCCTCCGAAGCTATGCTGGCGGGCGTCTAGACGTCGCAGGTGGTCTCGAAAAGATGGAGAGAGTACATTTGAACACCCACTTGGATGAGAGCAGGAACACGATCGATAGAAGCAATACACAATCACATGATAATGATGCAGAGTCCCGTTAAGAACTGAACTGGGCAGGGAATTTCGGCTGATAGGTTTGTGTAAGTGCTCACCGGTTCAGAAAGTGACTGAGTAATGCGTGCTACGGCGGAATCAGTCAGGACGCAGCGATCGAGATGCTCGGATTTCTCGGCGTTATCGAATATAGTAGACGGGGCCAACAGATGGAGGGAAGGGAAGAGAAAATAGAAGATCTGATAGAGGACTGAAGTGGACAAGGTACAGGTAAGTGGACCAACGATACGATACACGCGAGACGCGACCCTTAAAGTTACGGAGTACCAGGTAGTTAAAAATCAGCTGGACGCCAGGAGGCAAGTCAGAAAACGACAAGAACCCGTCGACAGCTGGCAGCATCTGTCGATCTCCTTTCTGCCACCAGATGCCTCTACGAAGCGAAAAGATGAAGCTCGTCCTCCGTCGTTTAACCTGGCTTTCCCTTTTTTTCTTCGTTTTTTTTTTTCCTCTAGTACTTGAAGACGGATATATTTGGACTCGGATGGATTGAGTCGGATGCGCTTGCATCAGAAGAAACAAGGGGTTGAGAGATCCGCTTACACAAGGACTCGTACGCAAGGACTCTTCATTATATCGGTTCCCATCAAGAGATACGTCTCAAGTCGTTCATCCAAATGTGAACTGCTACTCGGTTCACCTGCATCCATAACTTCATATTGAAGCGGCAGAGTAACAGCCGATCATTCTACCGCCGGACTGCCCTGACCACGACCATAGGGTAATAGCAGCCTAAGCATGACACCCGTTCATCCTAATGCCAGACCGGCCGGGTTGTTGTTGGCATCTACCTCGCCCATCAACTCCCGGACTCCCGGCCGACAAGATCGGTAAAGTCCAGTCCAACCTCCGACAACATCTTGGCGTGCTCTCGGGCCCGGCCCATGCAATCCGTCCATACTTTCTCACCGGGCTCTGTGCTGCTCAGCTGGCGGGCCAAGATGGTATTGAACGCCTCCACTTCCTCCTTGGCCCACTTGACGCATGCGCTCATCATTGGCGGCGGGAAACACGACTGGAAGCAGTTGACTGTGTTCCGGATGAGGGTGAAGTACACGAACGATACCTCCCAAATGTACATGTGTAGATCTCCTTGGAAGATGCATTGTCTAGGTAGTGAGGAACAATACCGAGTTAGTCTCTCATTTCTCATCAGACAAAGCCAAAAAGGCCAAAGGGGGCCAAAGGGGGGAGAAGGGGGGAGAAGAAGAGGGAAAGAAAAGGGAAAAAAGACACATTCACTACCGTCCACTAACCTTATCCGCTTCTGTATCAGGGAATGTCTCCCCGCAAGGTAGACTTCTCTCGCGCGGTCCTGAAAGCCCAGCCTCGTCAACCACGACACGTTGCGCTGGGTCTTGGACAGCGCATTATGGGTCGCCCCGAGCTCGCGAATGATCAAGTCGGCCACCTTGCCGCGACGCTCCTCGACCTTGAAGTTGATGAAGTCCTGCGCCACAGGGTTGCTCTTCAATCCCCGGGCCAGGTTCTTCATCTTCTCGACCCGGGACACGGCAACCTCAAAGTTCTGCAGCGCCACGTCGATGTCGAGCTCGTCCATCTGGCTTTCCACCCAGCGCAGGTTGTGCTGCTTCCCGTCGACCTCGATCAGCATGTCCTTGACGTCCGACAGCGTTTCCAGGAGCTCGGCCTTCTGCAGCAGGCCGGGGTCGCGGGAGGCGAAGTAGTTGATCGTCTCCTTGGCCTTGTTGCTGGCCTCCATCTCCGACTGCAGGTTCTTCCGCAGCTCCTCCACGGCCTTTCGGATGTTGAGGAGCAGAGACACCTTTTCCGGGTCCTCGGCCTTCTCGGTCCGGTAGATGAACGACTCCTGCCCCACGCCCCGGACCATGATCGCGTCGGCTAGCTTATTCCGCGCGCCCGTACCCGTGCCCGTGCCCGTGCCTGCGCCTGTGCCTGTGCCTGTGCCTGTGCCTGTGCCTGTGCCTGTGCCCGAGGACTCGCTCGTGCCCGCCATGTCCACGACCTCGACATCGAGCAGCGGCCAGCACCGGTCGGCGACCAGCTTGACGACAGGGCTGGTCTGGCCGTCCCGCGGAGCCCCCTCCGTCGTCTTCTTCTTCTTACGAGAGGCGATGAGAAGGTGGTCGTTGAGCAGGAAGATCTGCATGCCCCGCCGTGACTTGTACGTCGCATTGTCCAGTTCGACCCACGAGCCGGCGTTCTGCAGCACGTGGCGGCCGGCGCTGTGGGGGAGGAACTTCTGCGTCCCCTCGACGTTCTTGTACAGGGCCTGCATCTGCGAATTCCACAGGGCGCTCCGGTCCGCCACGGAGCTGCGCTTGTCCCTCTTGCTCAGTCCGGTGGAGAGCTCGCCGTCCAGGCCGGTCGAGCCCCCGCCGATGCCGCTGCCTGAGGCGGCTCGCAGGGCGGTGGTGTTCGCCTTCAACTCGGACATGAGGTTCCTCAGCGCGCACATCTCGCTCTTGAGCTTCTCGGCTTCCTTGCTGATCTTGATAAACTGCGTCCGGTTCTGCAGGACATTCTGCTGTAGATCGGTGGCGGCTCTGTTCTTCAGGACACGGAGGGAGTGTTCAAAGTCTCGAATCTGGTCCTCGTTCGCGTCGCCTAGCAAAGTCGCAACATCTGAAAGGGGAGTATAGTGGTCAGTACGCGTGGGGTTTGAGAGCAAGGGAACGGCCTGGGCGGTTGCGGTTTCGGCCTCACATTGCTCGGGTACGAGGTTGGGGTCCCGCAGAGCCCTCACGTCAACAACAGGAGCTGCACTCGCGCCTCCATCTCTGGACGGAGGCGGTCTTCCTCTCCTGTCCTGGTTCTCGTATTTTTCAAGGGAGGGTATGGTCGGCACGGGAGGTGCGGAGCCGTCGAGGCTTTCCGGGAACGCGCCGAATCGTGTCGAATATCGTCGCTTGACGAGATCTGAAGTCTGAAGTGTGAACAGGCTTTAGCAAAAGGGACGTCGTTACGTAGTCTTAGCTCCTGGCGACGACGCGAGAGAGACCTACTTTATCACCCCCCGGTTGCGGGGTTGGCCGTGGTCGCGGTCGAGGAACTGCTGTGTCTGTGATGGATTTCGCAGGCAGTCCCGGAACAGGAGGAGCTGGTGTTGAACCTGGCACGCGAACCGGTGTACCTTCGGTCTGAGGAATTGGTTCGGAGATTTGTCGAGGGGCGCTGATGGTAGGTCGGTTCTTACGCCGAGGACCGGTCCTCAAGGAGAACCTACTACGGTCCGCCATGGTCAAGTTCGAGGGTAATGAATTGATGGTCGGTTAAGGAGTAGTAGGAATAGGAAGTGTACACAAGGTCGGCATGACGAGGGGTAAAGTGGAGGTAAGGGTAAGCGGTTGGACTGTGTTGCGGCTCAGATGCTTGTGCGAAACTACAGGAGAGCAACACCCAACACAAACGAACGCAGCTCTCCTGGTCAAGGTTAATAATTACGTGATACCAAGCTGGACGGACAGGTACAAAGGTACGTGGAGGATACATTTGAACTTCGAAGTACTTTTTACTTTGTACCGTGGATTTGGATTGTCATGTTTGATAAGGTAACAAAGATGGTCTGTGCACCGGTTCTTCCAGAACCATGATTCTTGGCCCGCCCAACTCATCCTGAATCTTTGTTTGGCCTTGCGCAAAACCTACGGTTCTTGGAATTCTTTAAGAACAAAAAAAAAAGTACAAAAATAAAAAAAGTTTGGCAACTCGGAGCTCCAGCGAAACCCACCAACAAGTGGACGTGGACAGCTGCATTCACTTCCTCACTTTATTATCAACTCCAAAACAACTCGCCTCTTCCAAGACGAAGCTTGCTCGAGCGACTCTCTATCGACCGAAATCAACATCTGCACTTCTTCCTGCAGCCCCATCCGCCGGTTATTATTTACATCCATAGCTTCATCTTCGGCAAACCCGTGGTCACCCTTCCCTGTTCAAGATGGTTCAACAATCCACCATAGTGACGGCTTCCGTTGCCGCTTTTGCGACAGGCCTTGTCGGTAAGCCTTTGCACCTTCATATACCTATCTCCTTTCATTGTCCCATCAAAACGTTTCCCTTGTCTTCTATCGAGGTTCCTCGACGGCACATATGCCTATGCCGCGTTTGATGGTCTATCACGTCATGCTGTAATGGCATCGCAAGCTATATTGGGCTGCCATTCAATCACCCTACAATCAACATCACCAAACACAAGACGTCAAAGTACAGCTCCTAACATGCTTTCTTCTCTTTTCCAGCCTACGCAGTCTACTTCGATTACCAACGGCGCGCCAATGCCAGCTTCCGCCGCGAGCTCCGCAGGAACGAGCGCAGGAAACACCGTGCCGAAAAGGAGGAGGCCCAGCTGGAGACAGTTCGCATGCGCCAGGCCATCCGTCAGGCTGTTGAGGATGCCAAGGCAGAAGGCTTCCCTGCCGACGTTGAAGCCCGCGAGGCCTACTTCCTGAAGCAGGTCTCCGAGGGCGAGACTCTTGCCACCGATCGTGAGTCTTTTTTCTTTTTTTCTTCTTCTTTTTCTTTTCTTTCTTGTTTCGTTCTTCTCTTTCCTTCCCTGCTTCGTCTTGATGTCCCCGTTCTCCCTAGAGACGCAGCAGCGGAAAAGACAGTCTCGGCTAACGCATGCAACCTTAGCTACACGTGCCCTTGATGCCGCCCTCGCTTTCTACAAGGGCCTCAAGGTCTACCCTACCCCGGGCGACCTGATCAACATCTACGACAAGACTGTTCCCAAGGTACGTGTCCCCCTACATTGTTTTGAAGCGGATTCCCTTTCCCTTCGAATACCGTGTCCCCGGTACGCTGACTCTCGCCGCAGTCTATACTAGACGTCCTCGCCGAGATGATTGCCCTTGACGACTCCCTCAAGATTGGTGGCTCTTACACCGGCGGCATCAACCTCTCCGACATCCCCAACGTTGGACTCGACTAAAAGAACCCGCCCATGGGACGCACCTCATCCAGGCCCAACATGTTCGGACTTGGGGTTTCGCAAGGCCTGGGCAACGCGTCCCAAACACTTTTTTACCTTACCCCTCCACTCTGTACCACCGCTTTACAAGTCATTTTCGAGCACTTGAATTTGCGTCGGACGGCTCGGATCCACCGATCAGCGCCAGCCGCTTATGAGACCCTTTCAAGCATTCGATCATTTTTAATGCCCTCCCAACCGCCGAGGATACATGACCATCATATCTTTTTTTTTTCGCCACTGTACTATAACCCGACCAAACTGGTTTTTGTTTCGATAGAGGTTCTCGCGGATGGGGGCAAAAGCACGGAAGGGAAGGAACCACATTGTATATGGCCCACGGTTCTATGGTTCCAGGGGGCACCTGTGATCACCTATTCGGGCGTGTGTTGTGTGTTGTGTGTTGTGCTTGTTGGGAAAAGTTGAAAAGCATGACATGTCAGGCAGACAAAAGGCAATAATGCACCAACCTTTGACCACCAGCTCACCATAATAACAGTCAACCGTATATCAGGTAATCACAGTGAAACATACTCGGTGCCAATTCCTTTTTCTTTTCTTTTTTTGGGGGGACAAACCCCAGCCTACTATGTAGTTGCAATCTTTCTTCCTTTCCTATCAACCCTGTCATCTCGAGGATCGAACCCTCCATTCCCCCAGGTAGCCCATTCGGGCGTCGCAGGACCCATGTAGTCCTCAGCCCGCCAGTCGCCGTCGGGTCCGCGCTCCTCCAGCAGCTCGAAGAACCTCTTATAGTCGATGAGCGTGTGCCACTTGCCGTCGACGCGGAACCGCTCGCTCGCCAGCAGGACGCAGCAGCTATGCGCATGCTCGGCCGCGATGCCGTACCGGAGCCCCTTCTCGGCCAGCCGCTTCTCGAGGGCCTTGACAAAGTCGCACACCTCCCAGTACCACGGGACGTTGCTCATGGACAAGCCGGCGTTGGCCGCCGTGGCGGTGCCGCAGTAGGTGACGCCCTTGATCTCGACGAAGCACGGCAGCCCCCGCTCGACGAGGTTGGCGTAGCCCTCGACCTCGTCGTCGACGTTGAACCCCTTGACGAGGGTGAGCCGGAAGACGGTGCGTTGCTTTTGGCGGCGCTCGCGGAGGATGTCGAGGCAGCGGAGGAATCGTTCCCAGAAGTCCCGGTGGAGCGGGCGGTCGATGCGGCGCAGCGATTCGCGGTTCGACGCGTCGATGGAGACGTAGAGCTGCGTGACGGCTTTCAGCGCGGCGAGCTGGTCCGGGTGCTGGGCGTTGCAGACGAGGAAAGACGAGATGCGCTCGGCGTGCAGCATGGCGAGGAACTCGTTGATATGCGGGTAGAAAATGGGCTCGCCGACCAGGGAGAGGGCGCAGTGGCGGATGCGGAGGGCCTCGGCGTACCGGTCGGCGCGGACGCCGGCCATGCCTCGCAGCATCTTGATTTTCTGATAGTGGCCGGCCTTGACGCCCTCGAAGATGGCCTCGGGCGGATCCACGACCCAGCGCCACTTGGTGCCGACGGGATTCGTGCCGTGACGCCAGCAAAAGACGCACTTGTTCGAGCAGGATAAAGAAGGGGTTGTCTCCATGCACTGATGGGACGCAATCCCGTAGAATGAGAACTTGTAGCATGAACCCCGGCCCCGCAACGCCGATTTGGTCCAGCGGCAGATCTTGACGCCTGAGTGCGAGCCAACGATGGTGTAGCCCTGTTTGGTGAGGGAGGCATATGTTGGCGAGTTCTTCGGCACCATCTCTTTGATTGTTGGCTGCGCGGCGGCTCTCCCTTTGCTGGTGGTCGATTTATCGTACGTGGTGAAATCGACAGCAATGGGCGCCCCTCTGTTAGCGGAGGAGTCAAGATCACTACGGGACTCCTTCATGATGCGACCCAGATCCTCAACGTCTTCAACGTTCTTGACCTTCTTCGGCTTCTGGGGCTTCGTCCGGGAGTCATCCACTTGGACTTCCCCGTCATCCTCGTCGTCAACATCTTCAATGTCCTCCTCGTCGCTTTCCACGGGTGCGCCGCTCCCGGGCAAGCCCTCCCCCAAGCTTCCTGTCTTGGCCAGTTGCTGGAGGATATCGACGACACCTTCAGACCATTCGGCTAGTCTCCGGGCGTAGTCCCGCTTCGTATCTCCCATTCCAATCGGGGCGGCTCGTTTCCGGCCAGTGAGCTTTGCCATCCACTTGTCGAGTTCCTTGGCTTGGAAACAGAAGCCCTCCTGCTCAGTGGGCCAGCCCTCACGGTCTCCAAAGCCGAAGACGGAGTAGCCTAGGAGGGACGACAACGGAGCCGTGTCAATCCTAAAGTCATGGTGAGTCTCTTTGAGGTGCTCAAGGAACGTGTCGTTTATCGTATCAATGTTGTAACTCGGAAAGAGGAAGAGGTATAAGAGTTCGATTCCCTCCTTGGCCTTTGGAGGGGCCACGAAGTAGTCGTCCAAATCGATTTCGGCGAGGTCGAGAACCTCGGGGCTTAGGAAAGTGCATCCGGTACTAGATGATACGGGATGCAGGTCTGCATGGAGGCGCTGGGCAAATTCGTGGGATATCTTGGGGGTATTGGCCGTAATGCTAGAAAAGAAAACTAGCGGTTGAATCTGCCGTGGTCCCTGGTCATTCCGCTCGCCATCGGACGAGCGACGTTTCACAATTCCTCCCTTGACTCTCTTTGGGCCTTGCGACTTGACTGGCTTCGTTTCTTTTTCCGCAGTCGTCTCCGTTTGTGGTTTTATCTTCGCATCTCGTACAAGGCTCTCCTTCCCGGTGGCAGGGTTGTCGGCGAATTTCCGGGGCAAGGTTTTTAATTCAGGCGTCCCTCCCTTCGCACGCAAATAGATTCGGAGCAGCACAAGACTAAACGCGACGGAGAGGAGAACTGGCACACGGACTTGCTGCCAGGCATCGTGTAGATCTATGGGCAGGAGGGTCAGAAAATGTCGACATGAAGAGCAGTGGCGCCAGCTAAGCTTGTCTTACCATTTAGAAATGGCAGCAGCGCCCAATAATTCCAAATACCTGACATGACCAGCGCCTGCGCGGTGTAACCAGGAGTCGATCAAAGGGGAAAGTGAGGGCCCTTGGCTGTCGCGAGTGTGCAACCTGTGGAACCTGTGCGACGAGTTAGGACAGGAGGGGCACTTTTTTGGCATGTACGTGTAAAATCACGAAAACGCTGCCCCGCCCATCTATCTTAGGTAAGGTACCAACCCGTCACTGTGACTGACTGTAATAATGTCCATGTACGCTGGAGGTATTGGTTCATGCAATGTGCCGAATAACGTGCCCCGAAGGTACCTCATCATACAGACTGTCTGTGTAAGCACGAGATTTTGACGTGCCGTTTGGCAGGCTACCTTATAATACTTGCTACCTACCCGGTTAGAGGGGGGTATAGGTCAGAGCTCGAACAGAGATTTTTGCACTAACCAGAGCCAGGACAGAGATATCGCTGTTAATAATATAATGTTCTAAGACTTGCGACATCTGACCAGTCCATCGGGCTCTGACCTATAACCAGCCAAACCCCGGTAGGTACTTTTCGCTACTTTTCGCTACTTTAGATTTCTCACTCTTATCCACCTCATGCACCGCTCCGTGTCCATTCCATCCCAAAATAATCGTCTCCCAGAGGACACTCCATGCTCTCGCTCTCTTCTAATATCTTCTTTTCTTTATCGAATTAAAACGTACAATGATGGTCTTAATCTATCGGCGGCTCAGGGAATCACAATGAAATAAATGCCTGAGAAGCCTTTTGCTTTGTCATTCCACCGAATCTCAACCTTTCATACAACTCGTTACGACTTCTCAGAGAGATACCAAGTCGGGTTGTTAGGCTTCAGCCATCTTCTGTATCTGTTTACTATACCACATCTGCAGACTGTCAGATTCCACGGCTAGATCGAAGACGGGAAAGGAAAAATGATATGAGAGAGGATATGTACTCACCGTCTCAGCCCCGATACCAACCATATTCAGGCCGAGCAGCTTCAACAACCATGGCACCTGGATGGTCTTCGTATACAGCTTCGCATTGCCCTCGGCAACCTCCGCATTGAGAATGGTGTTGTATGGCGCTTCCGGGTTGAGCACCGCCGGCCTGCCGATACCGATCAAGTCACAGTCACCTTCCGCGAGGGCGTTTTCCATGCCCAGACGCGTCCGGAAACCGCCCGTAACCATCAATGGCATGTCAGAAAACTCATGCCGGATAGCCTTTGCGAATTCCAGAAAGAACGCCTCGCGTGCCTTTGTCCTGTCGGACTTTTGGGCCGGTTCTGCGTTTTGCTTTCCCGCAGGACCTCGAACCATCTGTACCCCCGTGCGCATGCGGTCAGCGTTATCGAGAGCCAAAGCTGCACGAAAAATCAAAAGCGTGTCAGGGGGGCCGAAGGATGCGGGTAATGGATCTGCTTACCAAAGGATCCTCATAGGAACCGCCGCTGACTTCAATAAAGTCAACCCCCGCAGCGGCGATGAGCTTCAGCTGCTCGATACAGCCAGCCAGTTCGGCCGCGGACTGGTGGTCCACCGAGTTCAACTTGATCCCGACGCAGAAACCCTTGGGCACCACGTTCCGCACGGCATGGATAATGTCGACCACGAACTTGGCCCTGGCGGCAGGTGACCCGCCGTAAGCGTCCGTTCGCTTGTTGGACTTCTCGGAGAGGAACTGCGCCAGCAAATACCCATGCGCCGCGTGGAGCTCAACGCCGGCGAATCCTGCATCTGCCGCAAGACGTGCCGATTCGGTGAACCGGTGCACCACATGCCGGATGTCGTCGGTCGTCATCTCTTTCGGCGTGCCGAAGACGAGCTTATTTATGGCCGCCATTATCAGGCCTGTGCCGACCTTCAGGGGGACCGCACTTGGTGCGAGAGTCTTTTCAAAGAAACCTCGCTTGCCAGCGCCGACGGGAGACTGTCGCCCAGGGTGATTTATCTGGACGATGGCCGGGTTGCCGTTGCGCTGGGTCGTCTCTGCCCAGGTTTTCCACGCTTTGAGCATCTTCTCGCGATTAACTGCCTCGTCCACCGCCAAGTCCCCGGGCGAGCCGAGGTGTCTTGCGTCCACCTGGACATTTGCTTTGTACTCGTGAGCCGTCTGTATCTTAAAGAAAGAGGAGGAAAGGAGAAAGAAGGAAACTCTTCGCCTTGTTCACCGAGGGTAGGAAATTCATTCATACCTGTGATGATCATGCCCCAACCGCCATCGGCCCATTTTCCGTACAAGGAATTCAGCTTCTCATTTGGCAACCCGTCAGGAGCCATCCCCTCTGCCATGGCAGCTTTCGCCAGCCGATTTGGCAGTACAAGGCCGCATTTAAGGGTCAGCGGCTTCCCAAGGGGTGATTGCGACATGGCGTTGAAGTCTCGGACTGTTGCCAAGCTACAATGAAGGCTCTCTGGTATGCAATTCCAACTTGCGGGAGAATCAATTTACAATAGATCTCGGATCCAACGTCAATACCAGATGTTTCAAATACCTACTGCGGCTGTGGAGTTGCGGAGTCTACTGGACCCGAAACCATGGTCTACACTACACTACTCCGTAGGATCCGATCGGAGTTTCGCCACGACTCAGGTCGCGAATCGGACAGAATCTTGGCATTTCTCGTATATCCATTTTTCTCCGTAATTATTTTAATCGCCTAGGTACTCCGTTTCGAACAACCACCTCACTTATTACAAAGGCCCGTTCGCGGTTGCTAACACATGGGAAATCCCCTCATTCGTAAGATATGCCTTATCACTCAGCCGCGCCGTGGGTGGCGAGGCCAACTTTGAAGGTACTCCCAACCACGTATCCTGCGTAGTAGGCTATCCGGGCGGCGTGGACTACGTGACTACGTGGACTATATCCCCGGATCCCGGTCGATATATTGATGTAATTACGTGGTAGTCAGTATTACAATGTTCTGCAACAGCAAAAAGAGAGGGAAGGGTTTTTATTTTTAATTTTTTTTCATCCACCAGACTACGCCCCGTAGTCTACGGATTCGGACCGATAATCATCCGAGGGGATAATTCATTCGTTACATAAACGAGAGAACAAAGTACATTCGCCGTTCCACTTTATGTGATGGTGCAGAATAATAATGATATCCCTAAAACTTGTGACATATTTACACTCTCCCATCCGACACTCTTTGCCGTTCCTTCTCCCTAAGGTCTCTTATACAAGGCGCTTGAAATATGACGCCCGTCCATACCCGCTGTAGAGTCCCAACAGCAACCATGAGCCACAGAAGACACACGGAAAGCGAGAATATCATGGTCATAACCCGGAAAAAGACGCTGTCAAGGGACTCGGCCAAAATGCCGGTACATGTCGCCAGAACTCCCAGCGGGAAAGTGAATCCCCACCAGCCAACGTTGAACGGGAACCGTCGCAGTGCCGCCAGGCTGAATACTGCCAATGACAGCCACACGACCCCGAACCCCCACATGCACAGCGCCAAGAAGGTGCCCAGCACATGAAGGATCTCCCCGCCGTGCATCCAGGGGCCCGCCGCGCTTCGGAGCTCCTCTGCAGCGATCACTGATGATGCAGAGCTAGGAGATAACTTCAGCGCGACGATACCCAAATGCTGGATTCCGAACCCTCCCTGACCCAGGGGTCCCAAGGGGAGGAAGACGGAGACAATGGTCTCTCGCGGCGGGAGGCCGTGCACGGTCAGGCGGTGAAGGTACAACGCTAGCACGAGCCCGGTGAAGCATTCACCGATGCCCCAGAGCACATAACATGTGATGAGCGTCGTCATGGCGTGGGACTTCGAGGGCAAAGCGTTTGCGACTACGCTTCCTTCTCCCGCCGCGACTATCACTGGGAGATTAGGGAAGAGGAAGTTTGCCGTCACTGCATCTAAGCGTGGCTTCTGGCGACGGAAGCTGAGCGGAGTTAATCGGCATGTCCGCACTCTCCCAGACAAGTCATGCGGAATATGGAGGGCCAAACTCACATGATGAAAGGAACCGTGGTGCACGTCGCAACTGAGAGGATGACGTCAAACCACCATAAAGCCCAGGCGAGGTAGAGGAGCCAGTCGCCCCAGTGGTAACAGGTGGAAATCATCATGTCTATGATGGCTGAAACATCTGCGTCAGCGAGTTCCTTTCGTTTGGGCATCCAAAGGAAAGGTCGGTATTCACTCGCAAGGCCCATGGGGAAGCACCCCAACAGGATGGATTCCTCATGATTCCCCAGCATGGCAGTCCAAATTTCAGGATACAGGGTGTAGCGCATGATCGACATGACGGTGAAAATGATAAAGACGACGATGTTGAGGACGAAAAAGGCGATGGCCACGCCATGCGATATCCACCGCGCATTGTACGGCAAGGTATGCAGGAGGATGGAGACGACACCCGTCCCCATATTGACGGCGAACCATCTACAGTGCTGTCATCAGCGACTGCGCTCATACTCTCCAGTCCCCACCATCTGCCCAAGAACGAATACAGCCAAAGGGAACCGGTAACATACGAAGGGGTGAAATTTCGGATGGCCCTGCGCCAGCCCACTTCATCCTTGGAGATGCTGACACAGTTTCCATTTTCTGTCCCTGGTTCGCTGTTGAGAGGTATATCTGTTGACATGACGGCAACGACACAGCTCCCTCCCTGGTCGGTTGTCGCCGCAGAAGATGCCTCTGGAGCAACGTGCTTGTTCAACCACGCTTACGCTGCAGTGTGTGTAATGAGGCGGCGTATGAGCTACAGCAAGATGAGACTACATTGAAGTTATCGGTATTCGTACATAGAATGTGTCTCGGCTTGGTGCTCAAGCAAATAGCCACTACAAAGAAATCACAACAGAGTAGCGAGAGCGAATATCTACAAGTCTCGTTCACAGCCAAATGGCCCACTAAAATACACTCGATCGCCTTCGATGGAGCTATAGTGACTCAATCACAAGGTCGGTTGACACCCAATATTAATTACTAACAAACTCCCGCTCACATCGTTCACTGCTCCGAGCCATCCACCTAAGCGGTTAGCGCAGATTCCAGTGTTCTTCGGTAGCCCGGACCCTACACGTATAGTGGGTGAGCAATAATTTCGGTATATTTTAAAGATCCAGTGATTCGTTACTTTTGCAACATAATATGGGATTTGCCCTAATAGAAAAGTATTCCCCAAAAGGTTCGAAGTATTATACTTTGGGTTATCCCGAAACTTTTGCTCACTCACTGTACCAGCATCGACATCGGGATCCACCTACGGCCGAGTGGGTCCGAGTGACGCCAGAATTTAGTACGTAACGTACCGCACCGTACCTGTACCTAATAGTAAGTGAGGCAATAATCGTACACAGTGTACAGATAAATGAGAAGAACAGGGACAGGTAGTCCTTAATGTAAATTTAATATCCTCAGGGTATATAAGCACTGAGACATCGCGAAGGAAACCCATCAAATATAAGGCTCAGTGGTAAACAGCGTCACCGCCCTAGCTCCGGTGAAACTGACTGCAAGCTTGTTCGCAACCGCCGCATCGGGGCTCGTGTGTTTAGCCACCGAGGTAAAGTCAGCCAGTCATTTTATGAGCGCCTATCAGCGGCTGTTGCGCATCCTCGTACCAGTACACTTGGCAGACGCAATTTTGCCTCTCGACAAGGAGCCCTTGACCGTACCCCCTACTTTCTCTGGACCACGAGGAACGCCTTCACCGCATCTCCATTGCCCCAACGTTTCGAAGCCGGCAGCAGAAATCGCCCCACCCCTAGTCCCCTTTCCATGCCTTGCTTCACCAAGCATCGCCAGCCATCGTACCGAGTGTCGGATCATCTTGTCTTCCGTGTCCTCCCGCACAGATTCGAGCGACGCCAACCAAAGCATCTAAAGCCAGGTCGCCTGATCACTGGTATCCAACATGACAACCGAGCAGTGAACCATCCCATCCGAACCCCGCACCCAGACGACAAAGTTATCTCATAACCAGCATCATCCACTCAGCCCACCCATCCCATCAAGCCACTACGCATCATCCACATCGACGTCCATATCGATAATAGAAATAGACCATGGCCATCAGCACGGTGCAGACGGTAACTTCGACGTTTGGGCGTTTCCTTCCCTCGAAGCTTCTTCTTTCGACGCAAGGGCCCAATCGATTCGATGAACTTGTGCAGGCCTTGAAGTTGGCGTTGGGTCCGTCGTCGGGCCTCGACTCGGACGACGTCGACATCGAATACCTGACTTCTCTGATGCGAGAGTACGGCTCGGCCGAGTCGGAGTGGTCCAGATTCGCTTTCGCCGACGCCAGCAGAGGGTACACTCGTAACCTCGTCGACGATGGTAACGGGAAGAGCAACCTGGTGAGTCAAAAACGCGTCAAACCTCCATGGCAACAGCACCCACTCCTGGAAAAGGGTCGACCTCTGACCATGCATGATAATAGCTTGTGCTTGTGTGGACCCCGGGCAAGGGCAGCCCTATCCACGACCACGGCAATGCACACTGCCTGATGAAAATATTGAAAGGGAACCTGACTGAGGTTCGATATGCCTTCCCCGAAGAGGGCCGAGAGGACCCGATGAAAGTGATATCTCGCAAGACATATAAGGAGAATGACCAAGCGTACATGGCCGACGAACTTGGGGTCCATAAAATCGTCAATGAGGGCGACAACTTTGCCGTGTCCCTACACCGTGAGTCCACGTCCCCTCTCCCTTCGCTCAGCGGTGACTGCTTGCTCTGTCGACTTCCCCAAGACAGCAAGGGTTGATTCGAAGGCTGACCTGACACTGGCCAGTATATACGCCGCCTAACGTCGCGAAGAGCGGGTGCAACATCTTTGACGAAACAACGGGCAAGCGTAGCCACATCTCGCAGTGCGGCTACTACTCGGCCCATGGCGTCCGACTGCCCAACGCCGTGTGAGGACATTTCGTATCGTCGGCCGTCCGTCCTTTGTAATGTTCCATGAGGCGTTGATATGGGCTCGTTTTGTTTGGCTTTGAAAGGGCTCTCTCTTCGTTTGGAACCCAGTCCCGGCCCACGAAATGCCTGGTTAGCAAAATCTCCTGTTTGGTCGAGTTTATCGCATTAATCAGCATAGTGGGCGATGTATCGGCAGCGGGGGCTGAGCTCAACCTCGCCAGCTTTCCGCGCCGGTCTTCATGGGTATTTCCTGAGATAGAGATCATGAGAAATATTGGTTTAAATCATTTAGAAAGCCACGACATGACGTTGCAGGGGGAAAAGAGCCGCCTGGGGGGGGGCACCCTTCCCTTTTCTTCACGGGCTCTCAGAGCAATGTCTAGGTCACGTGAAATGTCGCGATTTTGCAATCCGTTTTCATTGGGTTCCAAGTGTGGGTCGTCCAATGGCGTGCTCCAACTTTGGGACGAATGGTACACAAATTCCACGTGACATCCCGCACTTTCGCTTAGATGACCCCTGGCCTTTACCCCTGTTGCAGGTGCCCTACGTACCTAACGTAGCGCATTGAATCCACTTCGCGAACGGCAGACACGCGGCACACTCGCGTTTGGGATCAGGAACGCAGCAACTACTATCCCTTTGGGTAGCATCGAGAAGTAGGTATTATTGACATTCCTCTTCAGTCAGTGTAGGGAGTTTTCCCAAGAAGAAACCCGTGGCATAGCGGCCTGCACAAGATGCCACCTTCCAAACGTTCCTACATCGACTTAACAGGCCACGTCGAGCATGACCAGGCTGCTGGCCCTGTGCCAAAGCGGCTTGCGTCGTCGTCGTCGTCGTCGGGTGGATATGGATACTCCCCGTACTCCCCGTACTCCCCGTACTCTGGTTCTATGCCTACCTATTCTGGCCCGAGTCGAGCGACCGCCCCCGGATCTTCGTTCAGTACTCCCCATCGTCCGGCCCAGAAATATGATTTGAATACGCTCCTGACTCAGGACTGGGACGACCTGGAAGTTATCGACTTGACCCGGGACGCCGATCCTGTTCCAAGAGGAAGCCGCCCAAAAGAAGACGTCCCAAAAGAACTTTACGGATCACTTGGTATGGCCCTACTAGATGCAGATGGTGCGATCCTAAATCTAAAGCTGACTATCATGGATCAGACACCAAGATCGTTGGTGTTCGGTTCTACAACGGCTATGCTTCCCCGGGCGAATTCGTTCTCTTGGAAAGAGAACCAACGAATCCGGTGAGTTCTTTGTCTTCAGCAGGACCCCTTTCTGCTTTGGCTTCCGGTGGCTTCCCTCGCCACATCCGCTAACATAGAAGATGGTAGTATGATCCGAATGCCATCCGGGTCCATAGCGTCTTCAATCTCCAGATGGGACACCTGCCGCGCCCCGTGGCCACAAAGTTAGCTCCTTATATGGTTGGTCTCCTACCCGGATCTTACAATTTCGCAGTTGCTCACGCGTCAACCACAGGATCGAGGGGATATATCTGTCGAGGGAGTCTTGACAGGTGAAAAGACCTTCTACGACTGCCCCGTCAAACTCAACCTGTACGGGCCCAACGATCGGCCCTCCAGAATCGCTCTCGAGGTCGCTCTTAAAAGGGATCAACTTCTCGCCCCAAAGGAACTTCAGCGGACCAGGACCGAGGCGGAAGCTCGGAGAGCCCCGAAGCCTCCCACCAGACCCGCAGGCAGGTCAACCGACTTTGGAACCGACTTTGGAACCGACTTTGGAACCGACTTTGGGTCCAGCTTTGGATCCAGCTTCGGATCCAGCTTCGGATCCAGCTTTGGTGCCGACCAGCTACGACAATTCGGAATTTCTATGGCTGATCTCTTAGAGGTGACCGAAGCCGTTGAGCTTCCACGACAAGATGCTATCAAATCCCTCGCTATGAGCGAGAAGGAGCTAGAAAAGATGCCCATGGCAGACCAGCCCGAGAAGATGAAAGCTCAACTTCTTCCTTACCAGCTACAGGTACGTCTCCTTGACAATGGCCCAGGCGTTGGTCGACTCTCGCTGTGGTAAAAAAGAAAACAAAACTTTGCGTAGATGCATCACTGACGACTCTGTCCCAGGGCTTGGCGTGGATGATGTCGAAGGAAAAGCCACAGCTGCCCAAAAAGGGCTCGGACGATTCTGTTCAGCTGTGGAAATGGCATCCGGCAGGGCGTGGAATGATCAACATCGCAACAAACCACTTCAGTCCCGGACAGGCCAAGCTGCTATCCGGCGGCATCTTGGCAGACGATATGGGTCTGGGAAAGACAATCCAGGTCATCAGCCTAATCGTAGGCACCGCCGGATCGGGTCCGACTTTGATTGTGGCGCCCGTAAGTGTCATGAGCAACTGGCGGCAGCAGATCCAGAGACATGTTGCCAAGGAACATCTCCCGAGCGTGCTCGTGTACCACACCTCGGCTGGACCGTTGACGAAAGGCCTGGGCAAATACGACGTTGTCATCACCAGCTATGGCAAGTTGACCAGAGAGAAGGACTCCCGCACCGGCCCTTTGATGTCCGTCAAATGGAGACGCGTAGTGCTGGACGAGGGCCATACCATTCGGAACGCGAAGACAAACGTGGCTCAAGCGGCTTGTCAACTGACCGCCACGTCCCGTTGGGTGCTCACCGGGACTCCCATGTAAAGACTTCCCTTGCCCTGTAGGGGCTGTGAATGAGAATCTCTGTACTCTGGCTAACGCACAGTCCCAGAATCAACACCGTCAAAGACCTGCAGTCGATGTTGGCATTCCTCCGTATGACAGGAGGCATTGAGAAGCCGCCGGTCTTCAACAGCATCATAGCCCGGCCACTGTCCCATGGCAGGCCCGTGGCAGAGGCTCTACTCCAGAACATCATGGGCGATCTTTGTCTTAGACGCCATAAGGAGATGGACTTCGTCGACTTGAAGCTTCCTCCCAAGACCGAATACGTGCATCGTATCGCCTTCAGGCCCGACGAGAAGGTTCGGTATGAGACGTTGCTGTAAGAGATGCCGCTGTCAAGCATATTTGGATGATCAAACTAACAGGAAGCAGCGACGAGGCCAAATTCATGCTGAACAAGTTCCGCAACCACCAAGTCGAATTCTCTGGCGTTCTCGAACGTTTGCTGCGTCTTCGCCAAATGTAGTAAAAATCCCACCCTTCAAGGGAAGAAAAACCCCTATTCTGACAGGAAATATAGGTGCAATCATTGGACACTCTGTCGAAAGAAGTTCGACGAGCTCATGGAGCAACTTGACGGTGAAGAAGTCGTCGCCCTGAATAGCAAGAACACGGCCATTCTGCAAGAGGCCCTCCAGGTCTTTATTGAAACCCAGGAAGACTGTCCTGTTTGCTTTGAACCTCTCACTGCGCCGGTCATCACGCACTGCAAGCACGTCTACTGCCGGCCATGCATCACACGCGTCATCGAGGTTCAAGGCAAATGCCCGATGTGTCGCAACGCGCTCAGCGAGGCAGACTTGGTTGAACCTGCTCCTGAAGTGAGTGAACTAGACGAGGATTTCGACGGGGACACCAAGAGCTCCAAAACGGAGGCGCTGCTCAAGATTCTCGAGGCGACTTGCAAAGATCCGCGGTCCAAGGTAGTCATCTTCTCGCAGTGGACTTCCTTTCTCAACATCATCCAGGCGCAGGTGACCGAGGCGGGCTATAAGTACACCCGTATCGATGGGACCATGAAGACGGAGATGCGGGACGCCGCCATTACAGCTCTCGACGAAGACCCCGAGACCAGGATCATGCTAGCCAGCTTGTCGGTCTGCAGCGTCGGGCTCAACCTCGTGTCGGCGGACACGGTCATTCTCGCCGATAGCTGGTGGGCGCCCGCCATCGAGGATCAGGCGGTGGACCGGGTGCATCGACTGGGCCAGACGCGGCCGACCAAGATTTGGAGGCTCGTCATGGAGGAGTCCGTCGAGGAGCGCGTCCTTGACGTTCAGGCCAAGAAGCGAGAGCTCGTTAGCAAAGCCTTCCAGGAGAAAGCCAAGGGAAAGAAGACGCAAGTAACTCGGATGGATGATGTTGTCAAGCTTCTATCTTAAGGCTTTTGTTTCGGCGCCATTTCTCGAGGCATTCTGGGATTATGGGGAGGGTCTGCTTGGGCGTTTTTATGGGACGGACTACACCCATTAATAGCTTAATAGTGGCTTGGTCTCGATGGTAGACATAGATTTACTCTAGAGTAAACAGGGAGCGCGAGTGAACTGGCCGCAGACACGGGAGCGAGGAGACGACATTCGTGTCGGGTCGATTATCCATGGAGACAGGAGTACAGGCGCGGGACAAACGGATATTACATGAACCTAATAAAACCAGTTGAATCTCTAAATGAGAAAGGATGTGACTCGTTGCAGTTTGTATTTGCTAACGTTTTTTTTTTGGATACTCAAACGGTGATCCCCAGATCAATCATGATGATGCTTCGGTAGTGAGGCATGGTACAGCGATTCCTGGAAGAAAACATGAACCTTTCGATTATTATCGAACTTATTGTTTGACCTGCCCAGGACCCTGTCGACAGTAACCAAAGGCAGACTGACAGCCGCAACCGCAATGACGAGTACGCTGGCCACATTGGCCCCGGCGCGAGCAGCAGTTGCCGAAGCTGCTGCCGATACAGGTGTAGCCCGTGTTCCCGCCGCAGCTGCCGTCCGGGGAGACAGCCAAGCGTGGACGGTCGCCGTTGTCGTCGTCGACATCACCGAGACCCTCCCCGGCTTCTGAACCCGGAGACGGGCCCTCGTCGGGATCAAAGGCGCCGGCGCCCCTATTCACGGCAGCCGGGATATGGCCGGGGGGTTCGGGGCCCATCTCAGTGAGCTCTACCTCGGGGGGGCCTTCGAAGTCACGCGCGCCACAGCGGTCTTGGATGGCGTGGCACAGCAGCTTGTTCCACTGGTCACAATTCTTGACGCCGGTTGCCGGGGCGGGGTTGTAACAGGCGCTGCCCTGCGCAAAGCATTCCTCTACGGCGGCCCAGCACCCCGAGCTGTCCGAGTAGGGCTCGATGGGGCGGCCACACCAATTTCCGTTCTTGAGGAGGCAGTCGGAGGGGATGGCGCCGTCGATGGCCGAAGAGGACGAGGATGAGAGGGACAGCTCAGATGCCGCCATGTTGGATCTAGCGCGCGGGGAGTAGGGTTCCGGGCCGGGGATGGTGTAGGGGAACTCCGGGTTGTAGATGTTGAAGTTGTTCCCTGGTTCCAACCCGTCGAGGTGGCCAGGAATGTCAACTTGGTATTGGAATGGGATGTTAAGGGAGCCTCGGGGTCCGTTTTCGACGTAGATCTGGGCGCATCCGAGATAATACTCGGGGATGCCCTTGCTATAGGCCTGGTGTAGGGCGAGGAGCTCGGGACGGACAAGGTAATAGCCAGCAGGGAGACCGGACGGCAGCTCAACGGAGAGCAAGCCGCGATTGTTGATGAGTTTTTCGGTGCTGTAGATCGGTTAATACGATCAAAGACCAAGACGAATGCACAGCAAAGTTTGGAAGAAGAGGAGGAAGCAGGGCATGAATGCAGGGGAACCGTACCACCAGAGTTCTTCGTCCTCATCATAACCCTCGTGCCAGATTTTGAACCAACCAGGGCCAGCGGCACGGTTCGTCAATATGTCGGACACAGGTTTGACGTATACAGAGCAAGGACCGCGGTGCGAAGGATCAATAGCACCGGGCTCACGGGCGTCGGGCCAGGTACGGAACTCGAAAGTAAGGGTAGCACCCGCGGAGGAAGGGCAAGTGAAGTTCGCCCCATGGGTGCCGTCAAATCCTAGTCGACGATTAACATGGACTGGCTCATTCATTGCATGTTAGGCGAGTGTTTCTGGGGTGAGACGTTACCACAGGCCATGTCATCGCTGGTCACGTCGGTGATGGGGTTGGTGGAAGGGCGAGTATCCAGGGGCACTCGGATGCAAGTGCCGTCGCCCTGAGATTCTCCATCGATATAGAATCGAGAAAAGATTGTGTGGGCGAAGCTGACGGGAGCTAAAGCGAGCGCCAGGCTCGCAACAAAGGCAATGGATTTCATGTTGGTACAGATATGTAGTTGGTGTGGTTTCTTCGTGCGTCGGGTTCGAGCTCTGGGCTGAATGGAGTAGAAGGAGTGTTCAACAGGTAGGTTGTTGTTCTGCGTCTAGAAAACACTTGACTAGACGAACGGGGCAATGGAAGAATAAATGAGTGAATGAACGAAAGTGCCTGGCTGGCTGAAGCAAGGAGATGACCGAAGTCGAATGAATGATAGTCTCCCAAGCCGAGAGCAGACAGCTCGACAAAGAGATCGAAGGACACGATGGCCTCGAGAGATTACCAAGGTCCATTCCTTCCCCGTACGTCTCCTGAATTCACAGATCCGGGACTAGATGAGTATACGACCGCGTCCCATGCCGACCTACCAATGGAGGGTCGCACAAGGCGTTATCCTCGAGTCGAGCACAAAGGACTTACATGGCATTCGACATGAGACGGTGGACCTATGATGACTTTGTAACGCATTCTGCCGCGGGGAGGAGCAGTATAACGGTATTGTTTTTCTATTTCCGGCGTGAAGATATAAAAGAGACTCGTGGAATCGTCCCCGAATTCCGGGACAGGGCAAAAGAGACGAGTAGTTGTAGAAGAGGTAGCCAAGCGCGGTGTTGACCGTCCTGGAAGTACTTTGGCCTTTAAAGAAGCCCAAAGCAAGACAGAATGAAACGGACCGGACCAGGCCAGTGGATAGGCGTCGGTGATCGGCCGAAGCAAACGCGATGGTTCAGGGGTTCATTCAGCTGGAGTGAGTGAGTTGAATGGTGCGTGTAATGCGATCGTGGTTGGATGATTGGCGAATGATTGTCTTTACCTGCAACGTGAGATCCCGACCCCTTTTCTTGGGTAACCCCCAGAGGCAACCCGGGACTCCCGTTGCTCGCATAGGCATCGTTGCTTTTTCGTCATCAATCCCCATTATTCCACGCCGAACGAGAACCTCGAATCGATCCTTAAACTGGAGTGAGACGTCTAATAGGTCACTAATAGGCACCCGTAGCAAATGAGATGCGAGTCGCTACCCCTGTCTCATGCACCAGTGAGAAGCGCATGCAACGCAACCGCCAGTCACGACTTGCTATACAGTAGCCCCAAAACGACAACTCAGGGGTTGAACTTCTGAATGCTTCGCGTAGTGGAGGCGATGCGTTGCCTAAGGACGCTAATGTTGAGCTTCAGTCATGTAAATGCCCTTCAAAGGATGTTGTTCTGACCCTCTGCCGTGTTAATCGTTGATGCATGCGCATCCTGCGAGGGGCCGCGCGAAGCAAACAATAACAAGATACCTCTGTTACCCCCTTCACGCTGCCAATGGCTCAAACTCGAAGCCAGAGAGCCCGTCTCAGGGGAACGGCAGATAGCAGACGCGGATCAGCGGTGAAGAGAGAGCGGGGATTACGTATATTTTCATGGAACCGCGACTCCATCCCTACACGAATTGGCCTAGCCGAAAGACCGACGGTCATAGCTGATCGATCGAGCTGACCAGAACAGGTGTGGTCACATATACAGCAGTAAATTCTTTTATACACCGGTCCATGCCGAAGCCAAATGACCACCACGTCTCCTCACAGGCATTTTCCCTGGTCCCCGACTCTGCTTCAAATAATTGAGATGTATTTCCCGTGAAAATGGGTTACTTTTGGTACACAGTATAGTACACTTGCGCCTCGGGCGTGGGGGGTTATCTTTACTCGTTAATCCTGGCCAGGATCCTATAGCAATGTAGTCAGCCACCCGTGCAAAGACGAAGCAAACATGCCAAGCAAGGTATGCGGCGGGAAGAACCCGGAGGGTACTTACTCGCTATCCCGGAAGAGGTGGTACTCCTCCTCGCCAACCTTGACGGGGGAACCGCCGTACTATCTCGTGTGTTAGCCATTGCCATTCCATCCTCTTGTCATTGCGCTCGCTCGCTCCTCTGCCCTGTTGCGAAGCGGACGAAACTTGACAAGATCCGTCCACCGAGTAACAAGACCAAAGAGAGACAAAGAGAGAAAGGGGGGGGGATGGGAGAACGCAGGGCAAATCATACCTGAGGGATCAGGACGCGGTCACCAGACGTGACGCCCATCGGTAGCCGCTTGCCGTCCTTGTCGAGGGCACCGGGGCCGACAGCGAGGACACGGCCCTCGTTGAGCTCCTTGACGCTGGACTCGGGGAGGAAGATTCCGCTGGCCGTCTTGGCCTCGGCCTTGACGCGCTGAATCAGGACGCGGTCCAGGAGCGGGACGAGGGAGCGGATCGAGCGGATGGAAGTGGCCTGCGCCGCATTGACGGTTAGTAACATGGCATTGTCATTTTCTTGTTCCTTGTAGGAAAGCCTCGCGATTCGATACCGCCGACTTTGGGGGAGGGGAGAAAGTTGTTGTTCTACAAGAGCTGGGCCCCCGGGAAGGAAGAAGAAAAAGGAGGTGATTGGCTCTGTAGAAACGGTGACGTGGGTGGTTGGACTCACCATTGCGACGGATGTAAATGGGTGGGTGTGTGGTGTTTTGGTGGGTAGTTGTACAGGAAGACACGAGCGAGAAAAGAAGAGACGCTTGGTAGAAATATGAGCAGAGTGTGTGGTTGACGGAGGGAAGATTTGAAGGTCGGAGAACGAGCTTTCTTGGGTTGCTGAAGCTATTCGAGCTGGTTTCCAAGAGCTTCCAGAATATCCATCGGTCCAGCAATTTTTTTGGCCCGAGCGGTCAGCCATTTTTCCGAGGTCCGGTATTGGGCAAAACAACATTGCTTACGAAATACCGATATCAAGTACGATGGAGTATCCACTTACCGTTTTGGGCCATATAAGGTACCTAAGGTATACGGTCCAAGCAACGATACCTCCATCCTACGAAGTACACCTAGGTAGTTGTAAGACGCGTTTAGAACATGGCATGTATCGTTGGACAATTCAAAATAGGTAAATTTTAGTCTAAAGTTACGCTGTGACAAGAAATAACAAAAGACAAACGCTCTGTCTACCTACCCGGGAGGGGTGGTTTCTAGGTCAGAGCTTGGACAGAGACTTTTGCTCTGACCAGAGCCAGGACAGAGAAATTTCTGTCGACATGATGTTCTAAGACTGTTAACAGATTGACCAGTTATCGGGCTCTGTCCTAAACCCCCCCAAACCCGGGTAGGTAGGTAAGGTCAAAGTCTCGGGGGGTTTTTGCCGCAAGGCTTAAGCCGTCCGCCCATTTCTACATAGAACCAAGTAACACCAATGCCCCCATACCCCCGACCTGACCCGAACCTCGTCTGGAATCAACAAAAATAACCAACAAACGCCAGCCCTCTATATTAACCAAAGATTATTTCTTTCCGTAAAAAAAAATCAAAAAATCACTTCTTGGGCTGTTTGTCAGCCAGTGCTGGGGATTCGAGGATATGCGTGTGTCCTTCTGCTAACTTCACCTCCCCTCCTGGTCCGAACTGTTGACAAATCTCGCTGTTAGCAACCCAAGCGTCCTGTACGATCTCCTGCATCTTGGCTCGGTCCTTGGGATTGATCGCGAGCATGCGTCCGATGATGTAGCGGCTCTCCCTCGGCAGCAGTCGCAAGACTCTCCAAGGCCCCCTGATGACTTCCTTCTTGTCCGGCCCTGGCGTGTTTGATGACGACGTCGGCGCAGTCGCACTCCTCCTTTCCTGGCCCGGCCCGGATGTTTTCGGCAAACTTGTGCTTTCTCTTTTCTTCTCCTCTGTAACACCGTTACCATCTTCCTGGGGAGGGGCCCCGGTCTTGGCGTCGGGGGTATTCGCGTTCTTGTCGGGAACTCCTGTCTGGGATGCATGTCGGGAGTGACGACCGTCCGACCATTTTTCGCCCTGCCTCTTCGAAGCATGCCCGTCCCCGGCAGAAACAGAGTCTTTAGTCACTCCGTTTGCTACATCACTTGTCGAGTGGGACGGAATTGTAAGCTTCTTGGGATCGTGGCCAGGTGTAGGTTCCGCAGCAAACATCCTGAATGAGTTGTCCGTCATTTTCGGCACCTTCCAGGGAAACCTGCGGAGTGACAGGCAACAGAATATGATGGCCAATGACCATATGTCGACCGCCTCGGCGTCGTAGGGTTCTCCGCTCAGCACCTCCGGTGCTAAGTAGGGGTCGGATCCGACAATGCCTTCATGATAAGGAGGTGGTCAGCCAACGTAAAAGTAAAATTCATCTTCTGAGGGCAGCCAGAGACATACCTGTGGCAAGTATGTGCCCGGTCTCAAATGGGTACCGGAAGACGTGGGCACTACCAAAGTCGATGATCTTCATGATACCCTTGTCGCTCACAACAATGTTGTCGAGCTTCAGGTCCCGATGCGCGAGGCCCACGCTGTGGAGGTACGTCACGCCATTGAGAATTTGCAGGAAGCAACAAGTAATCTCAGCCCTGGACATCTTTCCCGTCATAACAATCGCGAAAAGATCGTACGGCGCATACTCCATCACTTGATACCAGGTGTCCTTCTCCTGAATGATGTCCAGTGTCTCAATGATGTTGCCATGATGGAGCGTTGAGCCGACGCAGAACTCGGCCGTCAGCCGTTTGACGTATCGTTTCGAGGACTCGTATTGGCCTTTCTGATTGAATTCCTTCACGGCGAAAACCACGCCATCCTCGTGGCGTTTCATCAGCGTGACCTTGCCTCCAGCCCCCGAGCCCAAGACCTTCCCTAGCTTGCCATATCTTGCGCTCAAGCCATGATCGTCTCCAAAGGGATTTGGGGGCGTCTTTAGAGCCCCGCTCGAATGACTGGGATGAGGCGACGCCTCGGGTTTATCGTGCTTTGACTTGGGCTGACCGCTTCTCTTGAAGAACCTTTTGAGATCGGCAAAAGAGCTCTGCCTGCTGTGGCCGCCTGAGGATTCCTTATCCTGAGCCTCATCCCCGAGATTGCGCCGAGATCCGAACAAACCTGAATGGCGCTTGTCCGATTTCAACGAGAGGTTCGTAGTTGAGCTGGAAGGAGAACCCTGACTGAGCGGCCTCTTGTTCAGATTGAACTGAAACCGAGGCTCGATGGACCGGCGGTCTACATAGGCCCGCCGAGGTTCACGCTTGTTGGCAGCGTATGGATCGTTGGCATCTCCCTGGGGGGTGATAGGTTTCGAGTAGAAATGAGCGGCACGGGATGGACTAGATTCTCGAGATACAGGGGTAGAGCCAGGTCCGATGTCGAAAAGCCCTCTCCGATGCGGCCGACGATCCGGGTCTCGTTCTCCCGACGTCCTCGGCACAGCGGGCATCCGATCGCTGGAGGCTGAGCGGGGAGTACCCCTGTTTGCAGACGGGGAAGACGGGTCGTTGGATGTTGATGTCTGGGGGGTGATAATGGGCGGCTCAAGACCTGCTGCGGCGACCTTCCCGGGACTCTGGTGGCGTGCCACCGCCTTGGGTTCGGACTCATGGGAATCCCCAGCGGAAGGGGTCAGGGGCGGGGACTGCATCTGCTGTGCTGGCCTGAGATGAGGAGATCCGCGATTGGGTGTCGGCATACGACTGGACGAGGTGGATTCGTCCTCACGGGATGGAACCTATGTAACGAACTCCATGTTAGCAAACTACAGACACGCAGACGATGAACGGGTCTTGCAAGGCTCAGCGCCTGTAGGAGAAGTGGTGCCGGAGCTGATGGGGAGTCCAGAAGCAAAAACGATCTACAACGACTTCGACGCCACTAGCGGCCGACGGAGCGCATTGTTGTGTGGCTTGCGATAGGGATGAAAGTTTGGCAAGAAAATAATTTGGTAACGTGTGGCTGGATAGAGGGCGCTCCGTTGTATGGATCCTTCTTCTCTCTGTTGGGACGAGACAAGGTTCAATTCCAGGAGGGACCGTTACATACTCTGGTTGCGGGCAAGGAGTAAGGCTCGAAAGCGAACCTGCTAAGTCTTCTAACTTGGAGCTCGGAGGAACGGAGGGTCGTGGACAGTTCTCTAAGCTGATCTTGCATTGCCTCATCGATGGCATCTCCAGTATCGTCGTTGGAGTGAGGATTCGTTTCTGCTGCTATCGGGGCCGGCGCGGGAGATATCTCTTCGACGGTCGAAGCGAAGCGGACGGCGGGGTTGGCATCGCTAGGCGCCGTCGTTGTGTCATCTTTGGAAGCGAGAGACTCGGTAATGCTGGGTTTTTCTGCTGATATGGATAGGCAGCGCAGAAATTTTGCCCGTCAGCAAACGGTGACGAAAGAGCCAAGCCGGGTTGCGAGTCGTGGTTCCGGAAGAGGCGGGAAAGTTTACCTGGATCGTGGGTTTCGTATTCCTGAGGGACCCCGTTAAGGCCTGGCGTGGCCATGATCACTGGAATGTGAAATTCGATTTTCAGAGGTGCTATCAAATACTGTCGGCGATGAATAGTAAAGAATTGTACGAAGTAATCTTGGTAGTTGAGGAAAGGGATGGAATAATAGAGCAAGTCTGGGCCATCGATCAAGGTCTTCTGTTTCCAGTTGGCCCGATAAGATCCATTGTCGCTGTGGATCTAGCTGCAAGGATTGCAAAAAAAGAAAAAAGGTCCGAAGTACGTAGGTGTACTTTCGTACCATTTGATGCCGAGCTGACGCCAATTTCGGCGGGATGGTGGGGCTCGGCGACAACAGCCGTCATCGGTGCTGCAATAAGTGATTTCAACCGCCCATGCACGTGCAGCAATGTGCTCCGTAATTACGAAGAGTCTAACTTCGTAATACATACCTTTTTAAGGTACCTGACGAAAAGTCTCCTTTATCATCTAAGGTAAATCGCGACCCGATCAAGTCCAATCCACAGATGCTTACATCTATAGGTACACAAGCACCCATGAGCTTCTCATCCTTCCTCAACCACCCGTTTTGACGGTGTCACGTTTGGCCACCAAGGGTGAAGTTCCGCTCGCATTATGTTATATAAGACGCCAAAGTTACCGGACGCCATCCTCGTTGTCACCGGTGTTTGCACCATTGCGACGAAGCCTTACGGGCCGCCACCTGCTTTGACCACCATACGAAGTACATTATGTATCTATCCCTTCGAGTTGCACACTTTCTCCCAAGATACTCCTGACAGCGCATTGCTTACACCTCGTCAGAGCACAGGAGACTATCTCGACATTCAACCTTCTAGGCGCGACCAATCTTGGGCGCTCATATCCCTTATCAGCACTGCCTATCAATCTGTAAGTCTAAGGTAGTCAACGTTTCGGTGCTGTACCTGTTGTGGACTGGACGACCGAGACCACATTATCACAAATTGATCAATTACGGCACCTTCAAAACACAAAAACGGAGCACACCGGTTAGCAGCGGGTCCGGCGCTTTGCATCGTTATCATATGTGCGGATACACAGCGTGGTCCGGCCCTAAGGCTACTGCTTAAGTCCGGAGACTGGGAGTCGCGTTGACGACACCCAGATATGTGAGTAGTCCGCGAATGCCCAGTCTCTTATTATTGACTTGGTGCATCCATGCTCAGCGTACGGAGTACCTCCTGCAGAACAAGCACTATGCAAGCGGCCACAACTTCACAACACATATGAAACTGATAATCCTGCTCGAACGCCATTCGCGATATTCTGAATCCGAGCCGATGTGCGCCGTCGGCGTTTATGCAGCCGTTTTGAGTTGGCACGTATAGCGCTTCGAAGTTCTCAAATCCACAAGTCGAAATTATGCAACAGATCATAGTCGCAATATCGTCGTCACAGCAGGCTTTGACCATGAGATGCATGTACGGTGCGACATTGTTACCCAGAATCATCGATGACAGTAGTGACTATCTTGTCCTTTGGCCTCCCATCGACGCGAAGATCCCGGCGTGCCTCTCATAACGGTTGTCCGGGATTTTGTCTTTGAAAAGTTGTTTCCTCAAATTGGATGGCTTGGCTATTTCGACGGAGTGGGCTAAATTCCGATGCAGAACTGGGCTAGTTCAAGACCTTCGTTGCGGAGGACAGCGATGTTTAGTCCCCATCTCGACCAGCTGCCCCGACTCTCCCGTCGCAAAAGCCACGCATAGCTTCGAATCAGAGTAGCGCCTGGTTGCATTTTCCAAACCCTTCTTTATTGTACAAGTCACCCTCGTCCCCCGCTCATTGGTATACATGACAGTCACAACACCCAGAGCTGTCACTCCTCCTTGCAGCTCGTTCGCTCGCACGCTGATGATACAAGCGTTGCTTTCCCGGAAGCTTCTCTTCATGGCACAACATTGACACCGATTGACCGCGCCTGGTAGATGATGGCCCGGCACAACCCCCGAAGACTGAGTCCCGATAGTCGGAGTTCGGATTGCTTAATTTTGGCGATTTCGTAGACGTGCTTAAGACTGACAGTTCCGACTGTTTCGTGTCCTGGTTTGCTCGCCCCTTTCCTTTTGCCCTTTTGTCCAAGAGAAACATTCGCGGCGTTCAAGAGCAGCCATGACGTTTGCGGCGTGCGAATGTCGAAGTGAAATGATCGATCTCCTCGTACCGTCACCCGACAGGGCATCGGCGTGCCAGGGTTGATGTGCGCCGTCCTCGCATTAAACTCCTACGCCACGAAATAGAAATCAGTTTTTCATTCTCACTACTACGAAGAGAAACAAGTAAGAGAGGGGACGGGTGCATGTCTGCGCACCTTGCAAAAGTCCATCGACTTGACACCCTTGCTACCGAGAGCAGGGCCTACCGGCGGACTTGGGGAAGCTTGTCCCGCTCCCACGATGAGCTTTACGATCTGGTCTCTTGCGACTCGGGACATGGTGACGATGACGCGATCGGGTTTCCAAACAGGTACGGGTGGTCGAGGACAGAAGGTGACCAGAGAAGAGCTTGTCTTCAAATTTTTGGATACATCTCCATGCTCCACAATAAGTGGCAGAAGTACGAGAAGTACTTCGTACAATGTACCCTAGGTACCTTACCTTACCTTAAGGTAAGGTACCTTAGGTTTGCCGGATTGTTGGGGCTTATGTCAGCTGCCTGTGGAGTGTCCCTTGCCAAGCCTATCCCGGGACCGGGAAAAAGCGAAACAGCGGGAGTGACATGTAACTACTTCGAGCGCCACTCGACACCGTGACGTCTAAAGCGACCCCTCCATCCAGACTTTCCGAAGGGCTAGGCGGTCAAGCAGTCCCTTCGAAGCAGAACTCAACCTACCTTAGGTACCTTATTACCTACGTTTCATTATTGCCCCTATCCGCATATCAACCACCTACTCACCTCGATTCGATTTCCTGACGTATCCTTCTACCACACTTCAAGTTTGCTTGTTCTCTGTCCACGGGGTCATTATTGCTTTTGTTTCATAGAGACGTCGTCGTCCTCCTGTTCACCATGTTTAACTGGGCCAAGCAGAAGTATAACTCCCCCGCTCCGACCCTTTCTCCTCGGCACTGGCCTTGGCTCCAAGTTTCTGTGCAGCTCACCTCGCCCTCTATAGGCTTGCTGATGTCGCAGGCACCCAAGAGCCTATCTACGGCCCCTCAGCCATCAAATCTGTCGCCGAAGAAGCCAAGGACACTCCTCACACCGAGCTCACGCGAGACCTACTGAAATGGAGGGCTCTAGGTACGACGAATGTTGAGACACAGAGCTTCTACCTCATTTCGGAGAGCGGGCATGTCGCTCTTCTGCAGGTGATCTATAGCAACGTTGCGTATGTATTGTCTCTCTTGGGGGAAGAAAAAAAAAGAAAAAAGAACTAAAAAAACCCACTCGTATTACCCCGCCCTGTTCTGGCGTCGCTAACCTTGAAGAATTCTGTTACCAGCGGCATCCACACGACGTGCCAATTCAACTCCAAAGTATTTTACGTTGACCGTTCCAAGCCGCACATTTGGTGCTCGACACAACTCCACAACCATGACTTCAGCGAGGATAAGACCAGCTTCTATGCCGACGACTGCGCGGTAGAGCTGTCGGAAGACGGGACTTCCTATACGATCAAGAGCATGAACGACGAGAGGTCAATCGTCAACATCAAGATCACGCGGACGGCACCAGGTTTCGTTGCCGGGAAAACCGGCACGTCATTATTCGGTACCGATCTGTCTCGTCCTTGGGGCTTTATGAGCCATGCCTTCTGGCCGAGGTGCTTGGCCGAGGGCACCATCACCACACCCGACGGTCCCATCGACTTCAAGGGCAAGGCGATGTACGCGTTCGCTCTGCAGGGTATGAAGCCTCACCACGCGGCCGCCACCTGGAACTTTGCCAGCTTCCACGGGCCCACTTACTCGGCCATCCTGATGGAGTTCACCACCCCGCCGTCGTACGGTACCACGTCGGTTGCCGTGGGCGGCATCGTCAAGGACGGCGAGATTGTGTACGCCGGCGTCAACAACACCGTGACTCACATCAAGGCGAAGGCGGATTCGGAGAACGATTGGCCCGAGCCGGAGGAGATCAAGTTCACTTGGTCCGGGTCTACCAAGGACGGAAAGGCGGTCGAAACGGTCCTGGAGGGTGCGCTCGAGGCGCATCAGGATCGAGTGGATGTCATGGCCGAGGTCCCTGGGTTCATCAAGACCCTCGTGGCCGCCACCGCAGGCACCAAGCCATACATTTACCAGGTCAGTCCCTTCCAAACAGAATCAGGGAGCCGCGAACGTTGCTGACACGATTGCAGTACATGCCCTGCCAGAAGAAGCTCACTCTGAAGCTGAAGATTGGCGACGAGGAAATCTCGGAGAATGGGGATCTCTTTAGCGAGGCGACCTTCATTTCGCCGACGCAATAGATAGATATTACCTTGGAAAAGGACGATACTAGTTTGATGTGGTATGTTGTCGACTACCTTATGAATGGCTCTCTTGGTAATAATAGGTATCCATACAAGGCAGTCTTATCAGGTCGCTTATCCTAATAAACAATGAATGTTCCCTCTCTTGCAGGTTGTGCCATTCTGGATTTCTGGATATGACCAGTAATGACCCGATAGCGGTTCTTCATTAAGCAGACACCGATCGGATCAACTCTGTCAGGGAAAGGTTAGGGTCATAAAATGCGGCAGACAGATAGGTCCCATGGTTCCGTGCAAATGCCTCGCTCAATGGCTGGATCGCTAGGATCTTACAGGATTGATTCGTGCCTTGTTCGCCGTGATGAAAGTGGTGCACCCTTCCTGTAATAACTAGGTACAGGTAGGTGCTTTGCATAACAGATGCCGTTTGCTCCGCTCCGGGCGTGGCTCGACAAGGTTAGTCGATAATTTGATTACTCATTGATGAGGTGATCTTGGAAGTACCCAGATACTTCGGTCCCACTGACTTCTCCATTTCGCCAACTGCCAACAGTCCCACCTGCACGACCGGCTTCCTACCTTATCAAAACAACCATCACGTTTAATCATAAGCCTCGTCGTAAGTATCACGCGACATCTCTCGACCATGCCCGTAGCGACAGTACCTGCGCGAGGGGGCCCATCGGGCCTCAAGAGCGGGATGGCGCGGCCCGTCTCCGACGCTGCCAGTGCACCAGGAGGGAAGGGCAAAACCGGCGGGAAGGCGTTCGGGGCGAAAAGGCATCGGTGAGTTTCGGCTTCACGCTCGCAGGCTCACGAAGATGAGATGCTAACTATCTCGTCTAGGAAAATTATGAAGGATACCATACGCGGAATTAGTATGTTCACGTCCTACAGCAAGAGCTGGCGAGTCTGATGCCTGCATCGTCGTTATCATGAGACCAAATTGCTAACTCGGGATCCTTTGCAAAGCCAAACCCGCGATCCGGTGAGTTGCCTGCCATCAGAATCTCCATCAGCCGCAGGCGAAATCCCTCGTTTTAACGACTATGGTTTGCTAATTATTAATAGCCGCCTTGCCCGCCGTGGAGGAGTCAAGCGCATCTCAGGTGGCATCTATGACGAGGTGCGAACGTGCCTTGAGCAGCGGCTACGACAGGTATAGCCAATTCCTCGTTCCTTCCCTGGTTTTTGTTTTGTTTACTAGGCGTCTGTGAAAATGATAGGCCCTTTCACTCACCAAGCCCGCTCCTCTTTGCACAGATACTACATGATTGTGTTGCGTACACCGAATATAGGAACGCAAAGACTGTGACTGTCTCCGACGTCATCTTCAGTCTTAAACGGATAGGACAGCCGATCTACGGCTTTGATCCGGCTACAAACTAGTTCGCACTTCCGACAAAGCCAGGGTATAGGATACTTTGGCTATGCCTCTCCTTTTCTGTCGGCCTTGGTATTTACACACTCGTCAGTTCGGCGTTTGGAGTTTCGGTATCACCCAACGTGGTCACGTCTTGTCACATTTTCCAGGACGCCAGAGGTGAAAGGATAGGTGTACTTATGCTTGGTCCATGGCATGATCGTATGGGTATGATTTGTGCTGCCGCTCCCATTTTTGACAGTTGAGCAAGGCTTGTCACCGGGCAATGGTTGGCTAAGCATGGCGGGAAGTGGTACGAAGGTCTATGGTCTCATCACTAATCAGAACAACCCGGAATGAATGGGAGGATATGTGCTATGGATTTACTGTATAGACTGATGATCATGAACTTGGGCATCACTCCTTGTTATTGCATCCGCCTATATCGACGCGTGCCGAGAAACGATCGTGGCCGTTGAAAAATAGAAGACCAATCATCAACCTCCCCTTCTATGTCACTCCATGAGAGAAAGAGCGTTCCTGATAGTGCGATGCGATATTCGAATGGCCGCTGCCGTGGCAGCTGGCTAAATGTGCAAAAAAACGAGGGGTATCGATGAGACGGGAGGGCAAAGAAAAGCAACGCTCGTAGCCAATGATCCAAATCAAAGAAGCGTCTATCTATCAATGGGCTTACTAGCCTCCCCACCGTTCTCGGGTTTTATCTCGCCCGAGGCATGTATTCCATCCACCCTTTGCAGACTCTGACGATCCTAGTTGCCGACGCCGACGCCGACGCCGACGCCACCAGTCTCCGCGCCAGCTCACGTTGTACAAGCATGATGCACCGTCGCCCAATGACGGCAGTGGCGTTTTACCGTTTCTTCCTCGCAGCGTCCCACGCGGCAACGGCCCTATCCAAGGCCTTCGCGGCACGTCGCTCCATTTGGCGGAAAGACCGGTTGAAAACCTCGGGCAACACAACCATGCTATTCGCATGCTGTCGTGCGAACCCGATCTCGGCGTCCCGACCGCACCTCTCCCGGGTGACGCGCACAGCCTCGCGCAGCAGATCCACCCCGACACCGCGGCCGCGCCACCGCAGAGACGTCGTCCAGGCACGCACGAGACCCTTCCCACCTCGCAGCGGGCCTGCATGGCCGCTGCTCCCTTTACTGCGTCGCTTGCCGCTCCCCGATGAAGGGGATCCGATGGGCGGGAAACCGGCGCTGCCGACGGGGATATGCGGCAGCTTGGGCTCCAGGCGGAGGACGAGCGCGGCGACGAGCTCGGTCCCGGCATGGGCGGCGAGGATGAGGTCGTCGTTCGGTAGGATGCCGGTGGCTGGGCTCGCGGTGGTCTGCCTGCTGCCCGGCACCACTAGTCCGCCCTCGAGACGGAAGAAGCTAGGTGACATGGAAGCAGCAAGGCGAGCGTAGGGTTTGGTGAGGTGGTAGAGCCCAAGAAGGTACGAGGCAAGGAAGACCGCACCGACAAGGATGGGCAGGATTGGTCCGAGATCATGGCGAAAGCTCTTGGTCAAATGGCCGACGAGGCCGAGGGCACCGATGAGAAGGATGATGCTGATTGGGTGAAGGACGAGAGACAAAGCCGCCTGTTGACGTTGCTGGGAGATAGATTCAGCCACTAAAGCCAAGGCTTTGGCCTTGTGGTTTGGTTCAGAGAGGATGCTGAGCGTAATGTCCGGAACCTCATCGAGAGACACGGGGTGAGTATCCGTAACGGGCGAGGACGAGGGATGGGGCTCGAAGCTGCAGACTGGTTGGAGTACTGGAGTATTGGCGTATGAGGCGGTTGAAGGGTCCAGAACGAGGTTGGCACGGAGGAAAGTGAGAAAGGCTAATAAGTAAAGCTTGTTAGGAGCGACGAAGACGTGGGGTGCAGGGAGAGCACATATACTGGAAGAGAGGGGCGGAGGACGCAAGGGGAAATGCGACTGGGAGTGGTAAAGGCAAATGTGACGGGGGGATCAAACAAGGTCTGTCTAGGGGCCGTAGTCAAGTGATAACGGAATGAAATACCACGATGCCTATGTGTGCTAGGGAAGATGGACATATACTCGGCGGGGTCCATAAGGTACGAATAAGAGAAGATGTCTTACCTGTGCCCGACTTGATGGCTGGCACTGCGCGTTGAAGCCCTCCCGCGACAGCATTGGTGTCCCAGTTGCTGAGATCAAGCTCCCTAACGCCCATAGGGCGAGAAGCGTTCATCCTCTCGGATCGTGAGAGACCCTTGTATACCGGAGCATTGACTATTACAATCCCCGTGCTTCTCAGGACCAGCGCGGGAAGGAGAGGTTGTACTCCGTATAGGAGCCGATGTATTTTTTCTCTTCTGCTGACAAAAGGCGAGTCGCTCAAGGAAGCACCGCCTATGAATCTGGTGACGGAGGAGACATGTACGGACCCCGATCCTCGAGGAAGACGGTACCACAGGCTGGCGCGGGGTCCCGTGAAGGTTTGCGGCGTATGTAAGGATATGTATGACACGAAGGCCAAGGGAAAACGGCCGCGGGGGGGGGGGGGGGGATAAAGTCAGGGTAAAAGCTAAGTGCCGGCCGGCCCAGAGAGCAGGCAAACCTCTAATTCTCTGGCGGTGTCAAGGCTGACAAGACAAAGCATGAAGGGTGAGTGGCCAGGGGTCCGTGTGACGGAGAAAGGATAAGAAAAAGGGCAGCCCCGAGGAATATACAAACGAAGAGGCGGAGAAAAGGGCTGAAAAGAAGCGGCCGCGCCCGAGGGTACGGTGGTGCTCGGATGGCGAAACCAGAGGCAAAAACTCCTTCACAACCAACAGACGAAACCACAAGATCGTCACTTGGCTCATCGGATCTTCCCAGCATGGGGGTCATCAGGCAAGTGGAGTCTCGTAGATGCATACATCCTTCGTACATACGATGCGCGCACATACAGGTCAACAGTCGACACGACAGTCAAAACGCCCCCAAAGAGACACCAACCCTCGACCGTCTCTTTTGGCATGCAAATTCCCTGATAAGGGGTTCTCGCTAGGTCCACAGCAACAGCACGGACCAATTATGGGCGATGGTCCCACCGCCATGGCCTGTCATGCCTCGTGCCCAGTGGATATCCAGGGGCCAAGGACAAGGGCTCCAGACACTGGTCGTTGGAAAAGGATGAATGTGAAGGGGGATGGATGGGATGGTTATTGGGAGGGATGGTGAGAGAGGTCTCCATCTCTCATTGGCCATCCTGACAGGTCTAGGCTTAGGGTGCCCTACCCTACTCCTTACTTGAAATGCCTGGCTGGGCTCGGTATTGATAGGACGGCTACGGCGTTGAGGTGGAGTGGTGATGTTGCCGTAGGCAGCATGTTGATGCTCGCGGAAGCGACGTGAGCCAAACGGCTGTCTGTCGTTCGCCGATAACAGAGTTGGACGGCATCATGTATGCAAGCTGGGTCGTGGGACCAAGCTTTTCCTTGGCATGGCGGTGATGTTAGTATCTTTGAAAATATTGCGCGGTTCAATTATCATGTCATTGGTCAACCGACAACTTGACCCTCGACACCGCTCGCGCCTAAGGCTTTTTTCTTTTCTTCCTTTTTTTGTCTTCGTCTTTTTTTCTTCTTCTTAATCTCCCCTCTTCCTTGCCAGTCCGCCCCGGGCGCGAGGAGACACGACGGAGTGTGTGGGTGCGGGGGCTGGTTGCGGGGGCCATAATCATCAAGTGGATAGGCGCATCGCGATATCACGTCTGATCTACGCGATCTGACGTAGCCCGTCTCCAGCTGTTCTTCAACTGGATACTTTCGTAGGTACGAATACCTTAGCGTTGTGACATGTTGAGAGACTTCGGGAGTTCTTCGTCGAGACTGAATAGTCTTCTAACACTCGGGCTTCCTCGTCGACAACCCCGCCGTCGAGATCCCTTATCAAACGTCCTTCCCGGGTTCATTGTAAGAGAAAGCAAGATCGAATGAATTCATTCACCGCCTGGTTGCGTTTATCCCAATGCAACCGCAAAGATCGATGCAGCCGTAACAAAGGGCGTAACAAAGGCTGATGGTGGCGCTGACGAAGTAACCCTCCGATACATGAAACACTGCACTCGACGCAGAGGGCGGCCTGTAATTAATTACCAAGATACATCCCTAGGTGCACCACAGTGAGAGCCTCGCTGCAGCTGGCGGGCACCATGGGCTGATAAAAGTCCTTGGAGCTTGCCGGCTGATGGTTGGACGGCAGACTACCTTAGGTAGGTACTTCATACCTAGGTAAGGTAGTAAGTAAGGTAACCTGCTCAAAGGCTCTCTTGTACGTGGTTTACGGAGTATTTATTTGTAGTACCTCGTACCCAAAGTTGTGGGGTGAGAAGAGGTATAGGATTATTGGCCGAGTGAATGGCTCTATGATACGACGTAGTGTCATAGTATAATTCAGTTTCTAAATACGCAGATATACCTGACCGATGGGCTGTACAGCTACGAAGGAGTTTGATCAACCAAAAGGACTTATAGGCAGGCTGAATTTAAAGGAACAATGTGGAAGAGGAATGCAGCTTCACGTGGGAGCTACTATTACGCCGTGCGAATACAAGACATTAGGAGTTACGAATATTGGCATCTACGGAGTATATCCTTCGACGAGATTATCTGTCGGTCAGCAATAACCGTACAGACGGACCTTTGTCAAAAGAACGAAGTCGGCCAAAAGCGGATACAAATGAGCTGGGTCGCAACTTGCTAACTTCTTGTCAACCACAAGGATCACGAGGACTTGCCCGCCCAGTAGGATCTGGTGCGATGGGTAGCGCCAGCGGCGGAAGAGACCACAGCCTCATCGCGTGGGTGCCCTCTCAGCGGCCTTTGCGTGCGTCAGCCTGCAGTTTTGTTGTGACGTGTGAATATGCATGGACAGCAAATGCACACCTCCAAGAACTCCCTGGTTGGCCAGGTTCAGATGAAAGCTTGATAAAAGGTTGGCAACCTCGGGATGTTAAATAAATGGCCCTTGACAGGAAACAAAACAATTAAAGAGCCATTTCCTATATGACCCCCAACTTCCTTCCATATTTAAACAGCCCGACGAGTATGTTGTTCCGCGTTGTCTAGTGAGAGCTAGCTAACAGTCTCAAGTAAGTCCCGAGAGTTAAATCAACCATGTCTATCACCGCCGCGCGCCGTGAAGATATCGGGAGGCTCGAAACGAGCATCAATGATGCAATCACATGGATGGAGGACAAATCGACGGAACTTCAAGCTATGGTAGATCTTGTCAGTAGTATCTCCAGAGAGAGACGGGAACAGATGTCGCGCAGCGCGTCTAGTTCCACCCGCAAGAACAAGATGGGGGAAACTGTCAGTATCGACGACACTATCCAGAAATATGAACGAATGATAACCGAGCTGAGAACCGCTATTGGAAATAAGCGGCGCGAAGCGGACAGGCTGAAGAACGAGAAGCGTGACCTGGAGAAATACGAAGACGGTATTTGAGGTCAGGTCATGCCCACAGCACCGCCACACCACCTACATTATACCTAGTCCCAACTTATCATTTAATTCTTGGGCTTTCTTGAGCCATTCCCGGGCCTTTCGGGTTTCCTCATCGGGAACGAACAATCCGTTGTCCTTCAAATATTGGGTATACCGCTCGGAATCAGCCATCCGTTGCTGGACCTCAGCGACCAGCGTCTTGTTCTTGCCAGTATCATGAAAGAACCGAGCAACTACTTCGGCGCGAGGCTCGTGAAACAGCTGGGGAAACATAGACCTGTAGTATACATGGATGAGGTCGGAAGGGTGTAGTAATATGTGAGCAAGAGGCAATATCAGCGTCTTTGGAAGATCCGAATCCCAGTCGTCCGCAAGTTGGCGGTATAGATCGGATGAACTAGCCTTCTCCCGAAGAACTTCGCGGAATTCGAGGAAGGTCTCGTAGCATTGTTTTTGAGTCAGATAGTCAAGACCCTGCCCCGTGATCCAAGATGGGGGTATGAAAAATTGTCGTGGAACTGTGTAAGCCCATTCCCAGTCAATGATACATTGAATGTTGAGATCATGATCGACGATGATATTAGACGATCTAAGATCGGAGTGAGTCAGTATAAAGGGACCACTGTCCCATTCGGAAGCGATAAGCTCTGGGATTCGTTTTCTTAGATAGTGAAGTGCAAAGACTTGAAGTTGCGCAGTTTCCTCAGATAGCTCGCTTGTCGGTAATCGGTATATCTCCGACATTAAATGATGCTGCTGCAAAGCAAAGCTGGTTGCAGAGGTGAACGCCGGTGAAGATGCTTTGCCGGTTCTACCAAGGTCGATCTGGAGTTCGTTTATCGGGATAGAAAGGGCACCACCCACGACGGGTTCTGGCCTTCCGCCGTGATCTGGCATTAAGGAACCCGTTGCGTTGAACTCCAGCTGGCGTAACTGAGCCATGATCTCGATAAACTGGGAGAAGAAATGCTTTCGCCGTTGAGGTGTGTCTTCTGATAGAGCTTGCAAATCAATCGACCGACCGTCGACGAAATCGAGAATTAGGTAAGCTTGTGTCGTGGGACTATCTCGAATTAAGCTCTCGCCTCGTCCATATGCGTGAATGCGAGGAAGGGGAATTTTTGTCTTGTTTTGGATGTATCTGGACATACCGTTCGAGTTAGCCATTGTTGCTACCTATATACCAGCCTTCCACGGTCTTTTTACTCTACCTCATGGTGACGACCTCGCTCTGGAGTTTAGCCCAGACATCATAAATGACGGGCTCGACAGGGACCCTTACAACCCATCTTGTGTGGTCGTCCAGAAATTGAACAAAAAAGCAAACATTGAAGCTACCGCTAGCGGAGTCCAGAATGCGGCAGGGCTTCATGTCGTTATGCCGAGATGCCAGCGCGCAAATAGCATCTTGATCAACGGAATCGATGAACGTCTGCCTCGTACTCTCGCGTTGCTCTGGAGTGAGGGGATATTGATGGGTCGCGTCATGATCTTGCCCGAAGGCAAAAATCACCGGCGGACTGTACGCCATGTGATATTGACCTAGCTGGAGGAAGACATCGATTATATGCGGTTCAAAACAAACTTGAATAATGTTCCCGCAGCTAGCAGGAAGTTGGATTAGAATATCCAGGTACATACCAGCGGGCGAGAACAGAGAGAAACAGGGTACTACCTTTCAATTAAGGTACCTACCGTACCTTACCTTAGGTAAGGTAGGTACCTTGCCCAGTGTGCTGCCTGGTCATGTTATTGGTCAACAGCCAATGGCCGGGTTGCCTCACATGAGCTGAGCCCCTTTCGTCTGATCCTCTCGCACCTTTTGCCATTGACCACTCCCGGGGGATGAGAGGGAGCCCGTCGCTGCTCCCTGCTTCATGTCCTACCTGCAGCTTACGGAGTCCTAAAGCTTGGGTCTTTAGTCCTATGAAGTATGAATACGGAATCGTACATATCGAGCCTTTAGGACAACGGCTCCGAGGCAAAACGTCTCCAGGTCCCGCACTGCTCCGTTCGAGGGCATTCCTATATATCTCGTCACCCTTTAACCGACCAGGACGATAAACCCCAATTATATATGGCGGATTTGTCCATCTCTCAAGTGCTTTGCTATTCGCCCTTTTCTTTGACTTGACTTCCAGTTAATGCTTGAACTGTTCGGCAAGCTATGGAAGCCAAAGGCCCCGCCTTCCCTCTGGGGGAGGACACGCGCCCCCGCCCTTGGAGCCTGTGGTCTTCGGGGTCGACTTCGTCTCCCCGCCTCAGTTTGAATAAGTCACGGAGGGACTCGTGTTCGGGTTCATCAACAACCACAAGCTCGTCCTCTACTTGGTTCACGAATCCCCCAGGCCCCATATCCTGTGTGTGAGTTTTCTTTCGCGTTTTCTCCTCTCCTCTTCGCCTTAGGGGCCCTTTCTCTCCTCCCCTCTCTAGTTCGCTACTTTGTAAGCTCCTGCGAAGGTCTAATATAACGCCCTCCAGTACTCGACACACCTCTCGCGATGAGTGTGCACTGCACCGCTTCCTTGTCTGGGCAGCCGTCCAGCGAAATGCCTGTTCCAAAATGTCACCCAGTGAGAGACTGGAGTGTCCGTTGCTTCGATGTAGAAAGCCATCCCCAGACCACGAGTCGATGCTCAAGCACCTCTATACCTGCGACCTACTTTCCACAGGCGAGTATTGGTGCTACGATTGCGGAAAGCCAGAGAAGTTTACCGATCGCAAGTGCAAACGCTGCCTGGGTCACCCAGGCAAGCGCCGCAAGATCATCAAGATTGCGAAGAACTTCTTCACCAACCTTGGGTTGAAGCCGAGAAAAGATGGGACTCCGAGTCTGAACCAAGACGATACGGCCCTGCCCATCAGCTACTTGGTCCCGCACCCCGAGCAATTCGAGCTGTCTTCCTGCGGCGAGGTAGTTGAACTCGACTCGCATGAGATCCCACCGGCTCTTTCGTCGTCTTATCTGTATGCTTCTGCCACCACGACGGTTCAACCGCACCCTCAGCGTTCCGAGCAATGTCACCTCGTCCACCAACGACTCTCCGATATTACTTCCGGCACAGTGGTCGCTTCCCCCCATTCACAATTTCTAGATCCCTATACCGGGATGGGCCATTTGCACGCTATGCCAGACACGTTCTTGTCGTGGGGACTTGATCCGGAAGTTGTTGGCGCGGGAGACATTAGAGGCACCAGTGGCAATATCGACATCTCGGCTGAGCCTCTAGAACACACTATGTATCAGGAACGGCCAACGCTGCAACTGAACACAGACAGCCTGGTGCAGCCTACCTGGGGTCAGCAGCATTCGAACTGTCGAAGCAAAAAGCTATCCCCCCAGTCATCTGTACGATCCAACGCTAGCATCAGCACAACGTTGAGCCATGAACTTTCGCCGACCTCCGCTTTTAGCAGCAGTTGGTCCCTGGCCTCCGGCTTCGAAACCGGCTTAACTTCGCCGACCTCAGATTCGGCAAGCGACGGAGGTTTCCTATCCAGGGGCGGCTCGAATGCCAGTCGTCAAAGTCGTTTTGTGTGCGAGACCATATCCGAACTACCTGCGGACCTCCCTGTTGCAGGCCCTCTTTCCCAGAGTCTTCCGGAGAAGCCGTGCCCGGACAGCCAGCTAACCTCGACCCAATCTTGCCCGTCAACAACCCCGCCGAACCCACCCGCACCACAAAACATTACGTTCAAACACAGCAACGGCCCCGGGATCACCTCTCATAGCGATAGACCGAGCCGGTCTTCTTCCGCAAATCCTGAGTCCTTTGTCGATTCTGCCTGGGAGACACTACAAGCCCACGTCCGCTCGTCCATTGAGAAAATACGACATCTATCCCACAATCCACTGGCTTGCCGGCTTCAGTCGCTAGGACCCGCGGCAATCGCAAAAGCCGGCCTCACCACTCTGAAGGCCATTCTCCAGGGCCAGTACCCGGCAGTACCGCTCGATATCCTCTGCTTTGTTCATGTCACCTACGCTCTCTCGCTCATCATACACGAAGACGATGCCCGAAGTCGTGCGAAGGGCTTGTTCGTCCAAGCCTGTTTGTATGGCGATAGGGTACCGATAGGGGTTCGTGAATCCTATCTGGAAGTCGCAGCTGCCGTGTGGTATCCTTCAGATTTGTCACAGACCGAACTGGACAACATGCTGCTAGGGCGATATAGCGTAACTACGACACGAGAAGGAAGCTCCAAGGGCAAAGAACAGGCGCTGCCCTCGACGAAACAACTAATCGATATGGATGAGTTTGCCGAAATAGCACGATTCTTTCTAGATGGTATAAGCCTTTTTCTTTCTTTTCTTTTCTTTTCTTTTCTTTTCTTTTCTGTTTCATCTTACCCTCACTGTTCCTCTGGTTACTTACTTGTCTTTCTCAGAGCTCGAATACGTCGCCCTGTCCTGTAAGGCATCGGAGTCGATTCTCGTCCAAACATCGGCCTTATGGACTCAACACTGGCAAGACTCGAACATCAATGCGGATGCACAAATTAATCCCGGCTTCTCTGTCACCCTCGCATTCGTGGTGTCCAGTTTAAGGGAGCTGTTTCCACGGTCCAATCGCCTGGCGTCTAGATTGAAAAGAGTTCAAAATCGAGTCGGGGCTGGAGAAATCCAGAGTGTGAGAACGGTAGAGCTTGAGTTGATGCAGGCAGGCAAAGTGAGTGACAGGGCCATTGCGGGTCGGAAAAGTGTAAGGCAGAGACTTGATGTGACTAACATGGAAATAGGGGTCTTTATCCACAGACGAGTACTTCAACCGCTACGTGCCAAACGTGAGGCAACACTGCGAAAGCCTATATACTCAGCCTTTGCCAGGCTTCGTGCCCCGTATGATTTACCACTCGCATTGCATCGAGCTGATGGAAATCATCATCTCGACTCGTTGCACCAATAATGAACCAGGCCAAGTTGGCACCGAGAAGGCAGAAAAAGGAGACGACGAGTCGTTAGATGAAGTTTTTACCTCCATCACGGCTGATCTAAGCGACTGCTCACTTGAAACACTCCTGGCACCTAACCTCCTTACGATGACCGAGCCAATGATCGGTATAGCATCGACTATGGATCCTTTGGCATTACTAAATTCAGCAGCAGCTTCTCAGTCCCCCGACGCAGTACGTGGTGAGAAAACAGATGAAATGGTGTTGAACAGCCATAAGTCATGTGGAGATACAGAAATGGAGATGCCGCAAGACACTGCTGCACCCTCCGAGCCCACAGAAAAAGCAGAGAGCTCGGCGGAAAAGGTCGAATCTTCCGAGTGCTGCGAGATTTGTGGCTTCAGGCCCAAGGGCCACCCCCGTTGGTTCCGTGGCAGCATGGCCAAGCACAAGAAGCTGCAGCACGCGACCACGCCAGCGAAGATGTATAGATGCCCGTTCCCGGGGTGTACGAGCCAATATCGGAACCGCCCGGACAATCTTCGTCAACACCAGCTGGATAAGGGGCACTTTGTGGATGGAGAGGAGGGCCGAAGGCCGAGCAAGAGGAAGAAGGTCGAACAACACAACTAGAGGCGTGGAGCTGGTGGGAATGAAAGCACTCTCGGCGAGAGCCTTGCTTAACGAATGGTATGGAAATCGACATGGCTGCTGGACTCGTCGCAGTCAGGCTATCTGGAGTTGCACATGGTTGAGTTGGTGAATGATAGCTATATACCCCGGTTGGTCTTTGTTGATTTTGTTTAGGAGTTGAGGCAAGCGGGATGTGTACGATAAGTCACTAAGCTCCTTTTTCTTTGGAGCATCACATATATATCATAATATATCAGAGCGAGCCCTTGGCTTTGCAGGAGGTTTAAGGTCAGGCATGCGTTGATTTTACGGAGTTACATAGGTCAGAAAGTACACTCTGAGAAATCCAAAGCCTCTCGAGTCTTCGTCGATGCCAAGGCACAGTGGGGTGATTGGTGAAATGAGGCATATGGCACAGTAAAGTAGTACCCTCTGGGCACTGTCCCAAGGGGGGTGTACCTTAGATGGAGAACACAGTATATACAGTGTCGAATGAAGGAAAGGAGTGTCTGTAGTAAGGCCCGGGAGTCAGCTCTTCTGGATGGGACACCCCCGGCCTTTTAGTCCGCTTCCTTTAATAAAAACCATACCCCTCTGGCGAAATAGTTACACCCCAGAACTTCAAGGCTCTACGAAGAATATATGGATTTCAGAACTCTTCGATGGTTACTACCCTGACTGGGAGATTACGGAGTATACCCTGATCTCAAATTATCTCGTACCCCAATCCTTCGCTTCCTCACTGCTGACTGTACGGAGTACGAAGTGAACAAGCCCCGTATTCAACACGTAAAATGGTATCCTTGTCAGTATATGTCACGTGACAATGAGCCGTCGACCTCAGCCGTTTCACTGGAATGGGACTAGTGGCCTCGTTTTCCCCCTCCCGCCACTTCTCACTAAACTTTACCTCCTCTTCCCCCCCTGCTCTTTCTCACACCACCACCCTCCGGTCGCCTGTTTGTTCCCTTCATCTTTTTCTGTCCACACCTCCAGAACCCACACACACACTCCACGCCTCTGTACTATAGTAATCGCTATTATCGACACCCCCAACCCCGACTCGAGCATCGCAAGGGGCGTTGTCATTCCGGCAGCACCTCGTCGCCATCGTCATTGTCGAGGCGTTTGGTGTTTCTCTATTTTTCGTATCGTCTGATTTATCTTCACATCCCTTCACACCGCGACGCGGCCCCCTTTGTCCCTCGGCGCTGGACAATGTCAGGGTCCAGCAGCCATCCGGGGTTGTCGTTTCCTCAGGTGGGCAATCTTCGACAACATGGGAGACCGCACCCGGCACCAGGATTCCCGCCGTTGCACGCGAACCCGGCCAACAAGCCCTCGCCTGGTACACACAACGCGTCGCCTTACCAGTCCCACGGCTACACGCCCCAGCAGCCTCCCCAGGCTGCATACCCTCATCATATTTTCCACCAGACTCCTCCCTCCGTGAACGCGCATGTTAGCGGCAACTCGAGACCGGGGCCCGGACACTCCGGACATGGACACGTGCCTAACCATGGCGCTGCTGCTGCCCTTGGGAGGTCGAGGGTCCCTCCGTCTCGGCAGCAGATGCAGTCGCAGTCTAACCCATCTTCCATGTACCTGTCGCAGGGCATGGGGCAGCAACAAGGCTTAGGCCAGCAACAGGGCTTAGGCCAACAACAAGGCTTGGGGCAACAGCAACAACAGCAACAACAAAACCTGGGTCAACAACAAGGGTTGACGCAACAAGGAATGGGACATCAAAACTTGGGACATCAAGGCATGGGGCAACAAGGCATGGGACAGCAGGGCCTGGGGCAACAAGGCATGGGACAACATGGTATGGGACAGCAGAGCCTGGGCCAGCAAGGGTTGGGACAGCAAGTAATGAGCCAGCAGGGAATGGGCCAACAAGGTTTGGGTCAACCAGGCCTGGGGCAGCAGGGTATAGGGCAGCAAGGCCTGGGACATCAGGGACTGGGACCTCAACAGGTGCAACAGCAGCAGCCTTCGCAGAGCGAGCCTATGATGCCTCATCCTACCCCCTCCCAGGCTCCTCCTCCCTTACCCCAGCCGCAAGCTCAGCCGACTTCGGTGACACCGCCCCAGCCGGCCCAGCAGGTCCATCGTCAGCAAATGCAACCACCGCAACAACAACCACAACAACACCACCACCAGCCGCCACAACAACCGTCGCAGCCGAAACAACACCAGATACAGCAGATAGCACATCAGCAGCAACAGGCGCAGCCGCAGCCACAGCCGCAGCCACAGCCTACCCCTCCTCAGCCGGAGACACCCGTCCAGGCGCACGAGCAGCATAATTCTGTGGATGGAATGGACGTAGACGGCCAGGCCGAAGAACAAGACGGCTTTGACTCCAAAATGGCTGACGGCTCGCCCTTCGTGCCCCCCCGACCAATGGGGGAGATGATGTCTGCCCCCCCTGAAGGTGGCAGCTACCCTACTCTTGAGGCGGTCCATAAGAGCGCCCTTGCCTATTGCACCTCTGTCGGTTACGCCATCGTCATTGGAAGGTCCAAGAAAACCGTGCCGGGCTTGAAGAAGGTCTTGTTTGTTTGCGACAGGGCGGGGAAACCGCCTAGCCGGGTCAGTCCAGAAGCTCGGAAACGCAAAACGTCCTCCCGAAAGTGCGACTGCCAGTTTGGCTTCTTCGCGATAGAGCAGCGAACTCAGTGGACGATTCGCTATCGCCCGGACCCTCAGCACCTGCAGCACAATCATGGCCCCAGCGAGAGCCCTCTGCGCCACCCCGCCGCGAGGAAGCTAGACAGCAAGATGGTCGCCGCCGTTAAAGCCCTCAAGGATAATGGTATGTTTTTCGCAGCTGTTGCTCCCTATAGCGTGATTGCTTGACTGACGGCATCCCCCCAGGGGTAGGTGTAACCGAAACACTGGAGATTCTCCAGAGCGAGAATCCCCACGTGCCTATACTCGCTCGTGATATCTATAATGCCCGCGCGGCCATCAACCGGAATCTCTCCAAGGTTGCCACGGGACTGGCAGAGGATCGACCTGCAATCTATAGCAAACCTCACCCTACGGCCGAGGAACGCATCCGAGCCGACCTCAGACGGGAGCTCGCCAAGGCGCGAGAGGAACACGACAAATACAAGGAATCAAGGGAAAAAGAAATTGCCGACTTGAAGAAGCAAATACAGGAAAAGGATAAAATGATCGAAAGGTTTGAAATGTTTATTGACATTTGCAATCAACGGGTCATGGTACAACGGGAAAGACTCTCCGGGGCGGAGAACGGTTCAGGTGAAGGGGCCAACGGCAGTTAACGGCGTTTGTGTTTGGGTTTTCTTCTCCATTTTTCGTTTCGCCAGGAAGCGGGCGGAATCTTCGCTCCATGCTAACTAACGCTTGACATGAATCCGAGAGCCTGTGCTTCTTGCTGGTCATGGTTTGTAGAGGGAGTTGCATTTCTCTGAATTATGGAAGCACATTCTAGTTTGCGAATTCCTGGCATTAGATTCCAGTCTTCGACTGACTGGTAGCGTTCCATTTCTGTTAAGCTTAGCTTAGGAAGTTATGGGAGCCCGCTGTCTCTTTCTTCCCCCTTATCCCCCCGGCGCCTTCCTCGGGTAGACATGGACTTGGAAAGCCTGGACTGGTCACGAATTGGCAATGACATGGGTTTTGCGAAGGACGAATATCTTTTATAGGCAAAAAAAACCGGGAATGAATTATATGTTTTGTTATGTTAAGGTACCTTATGTACCTTATGCTGAAAAGACGATTCTTTAAATTCGCCTGTGAAGGTGCCTATGTATGGTGGCATATCTGGCATGTCTCGTGGTGATGCGGTGAACTGAAGCAGACGAGTGCCCCTCACCATGTCCGTAGGTACCTTAGGTATTAAGGTAGTCGTCTAATTATATGACGAACTACCTTAGCTTCAGGGACAAAACACACTCAGGCCCAGGAGGCACTAGTTGGCAAAACTCGTTCTATACGTCCCAGGAACACTGATGCCTAAATGTGAACTCTAGAATAACGGCGAACGACGTCTGTTCCTTGGCCTGCTTCGCCCTTAACTTCGTACAATACAGAGGCTAGCGAGCCTTCCGTCGCGTCAGCTCATCAGAGAGCAGTATTATGCATTTCGTAGCTGGTCCGACTATTATCCATTAAGTAAGCAACATTGGTACGTACCCGGATCAAATTGCCAGTGGACAGCCAATCAAACGAGACCCGCAAATAAGCACATCGTTCCTATCTCACTGGCCACACGCCTCGTGACACATGCCGTCGCGACAGGGGTCAGACAGGGGTCGCGTACTTTGTAAAAGTTAGGGAAAGTGGCATCGGCCAGCAATGTTGCGGCATCTACTGAAAGCCTGCAGGTCTCAACTTCCCCTTTCACACACATAAGGTACTGACGATAGAGCCCACACAGGACGAGGGGCACATACGACGTGAAATTAATCTTGTCTATACCTTATTGACAAAAACCATCCATTCACTAATTATACCCCTACCCGTTTGGCATCCTCCCTCTTACTTCGCCTCTGTGTTTGCGGCTATCATCGCTGATTAGGACGAGGCCGAGCTCTGGGTCTCCTTGCTGTCCTATCTTGCAAAGCATCACCCGACCAGCTTCTCGATATACAACCATGACGATTGCGGTTCAATATCTGACCTAATCTTCCCTCGTCCGATCATCGAACGTGCGTCCTGGCCTCGTTTCCGGTCACCATGGAGGTAGCATCACCTCAAAGCCCCAGTCCCAACGGGGCAGCCACCTTCCCTACTGTCGACCCCGAACGAGTGATTGAGCATCTCGCCTCCGTGTGCGAGGTAGCTCTCGGCGCCGCCAAATCCGACCTTGAAGCTCCAGGCAGTATGCTGCATAAGAGCCGATATGCCGACACCATTCAGCGCTGTGCTCGGTTTGCTACGGATCCCCAGCCGGCCTTGTTTGTTCAGAAGGATGTATCACCGTCCCCAAACCAGGAAGGTGATGACGAGTCTGGTATGTCTTGATGGGCGGCCCCAAATGCTGGAAACTGATCTCTAACGATATCTTTAACCGTGAAGAAACGCCCACGTTCACCTATACCTTGACACACGAAATTTCGTCTTCAGCTACGACAGTGGCATCACTCGCGATTGTGAAACATCGTCCGCAACCGATCGATCCCGCCGTGCCTTTAACATCCCAGATATCTCTTACGAATCTCCCCGGTCCGGCCACCCTTAATGCTACTGTCGGGGAACAGGGCCCTTCTACGTCTGCTTTCGAGGTTCTACACTCTGTCGTTCACAATGCGCTGGCGCCCTACTTCGATGCCAATACTAGGACGCAACAATCTACCGCCACTACACGGGGCAGAGCGGACGTCGACTCCAAGACCGGTATCCCCGTGACGAAGAAGAGATGGAACGATTTGGAGTTGAGTTTGCTGCATCTCCAGCAGAACGTCGAGATACCCGAGGTCTCTCTCAACTTCCACTCGGTAGTCCAGACCGCTCTAAGCGAGGCCGACGCCCGCCACACGAAACCCACGATCGAGTTCATACCTGGTGGCATTTTGGGCGACAGCCAGTTCCTCAATAACCTGCAGAGCAACGTCAATAACTGGATCAAGTCCATCCAAGTCATCACCAAGATGACACGAGACCCCGCGGGCAACTCGCCGCAAGACTTCAAGTTTACGGCGAGCCAGGAAGTCAATTTCTGGCTATCCATGGAGTCGGCACTTGAGGGCATCGATGCCCAGCTTCGGAGCGATGGGGTGACGCTGACCCTCGACATTCTCAAGAACGCGAAGCGCTTTCAGGCGACGGTCAGCTTTGTGGCCGACACCGGGCTGAAGGAGGCGGTCGAAAAGGTTCAAAAGTACAATCAGTTGATGCGGGACTTCCCCCTCGATGAGCTTCTGTCGGCCACCTCCTTGCCGAAACTCCAGGACGCCATCGTGCAGATCTTCAGCCACCTGAACAAGAAGCTGAGGATATGCCCCTACCCGATCCGCCGAGCCCTTCCTTTGGTGGAAGCCATCTCAGCCGACTTGGATGACGTTCTTCACCGACTTCTTCCCGGCGCGGAGCTGGTCAACCTCGACTATCAGGAATTTCAGACGATTATGAGATCATGTGGCGAGATCTTCCGAACCTGGGATGACAGCATCAAGGAGTTTACCAACGTCGCTCGCGAAGTGACGCGAAGACGAAATGAGAGGTTCATTCCCATCAAAGTTAGTCCGCGACATGCTGAGCTGCAAGCCCGTCTCAGCTACGTCAGCAAGTTCCGCGACAACCACGAGCAGCTCCAGCGTACTATCGTCAACGTACTCGGGCCCAAGGCGACCGTTGGCGGCGTTGTCGAGACGACAGCTTCGAACGGAGCCGTTGTCATGGAAGAGATGGGCGATGTCGATGCAGTGGAGGAGGTCAAGCAGGCCTGGGAAGCGCTGCGGAACGTCGACCTCCTCGACGTGTCGGCCGAAGGCACCCAGCGGTGGACTCGAGCCGAGAACCTCTACAACGAGCGCACCTCCCGCGTAGAGAACTCGATTATTTCCCGCCTACGAGACCGGCTGGCGACCGCAAAGAACGCAAATGAGATGTTTCGGGTCTTCTCCAAGTTCAACGCCCTGTTCGTGCGACCGAAGATCAGGGGTGCCATTGCCGAGTACCAGAACCAGCTCATAGAGCATGTCAAGCAAGCCATCAACAGCCTCCATGAGCGATTCAAGCAGCAGTATGGCCATTCAGAAGCCCATGCCATGGCGCAGCTGCGTGATTTGCCACCCGTGTCCGGCGCCATTATTTGGGCTCGTCAAATTGAACGCAAACTGGACTGGTATATGAAGAAGGTCGAGGATGTCCTAGGTCCGGACTGGGCGCTCCATGCCGAGGGACAGAAGCTCGAGAATGAGAGCAACCTGTTCAGAAAGAAACTGAACACCCGCCCCATTTTCGAGTCCTGGTTAAGCGACGTTCAGCGACGCCAAATCTCCATCTCAGGTCATCTTTTTGAGATTCGTCGTGTCCGCTCCGCGGGCGGTGCTTTGGAACTCTCGGTCAATTTCGATCCTCAAGTCATCACGCTCTTCAAGGAGACGCGGAACCTGACCTGGCAGGAGTATAACATCCCGCACTCCATCAATACTGTCTCCAAGGACGCAAAGCGTGTCTATCCCTTTGCCGTCAGTCTCATGGAGAGCGTCCGCACTTTTTCTCAAGTGACGCGGCAAATTTCCCTAATGGGCGAGGAGTCCGCTCTGCTGCACGGGTATCGGAATGATGCTTACGGCCTGGTCTCAAAGGGGGTGCCGCTTCGGTGGGAGTCGTTTGTGAATACCCATGAGCTCTACTTTCCGGGCAAGTCTAGTGCAATTCTCCCTGCCGCAGCCGAGTACGGCCTCACCGGACGCACTGCCGAAAGCAAGCACAGCCTCTTTATCCGCGAGTTCGCTGCTGCAACCTCCCTTCTGCAAACCAAGACTGCAACGCTGGTCTCGATTCACGACACTGTTGAGAAGGCCCTGTCAGAGCTGAGCTCTTGCGCCTACGAGGCAGACGCCTTCCATGTGCTTCTTGAGACCATTCAGAAAGCCGTCGACCAGCTAAACCTTGAGCAGTATGTCAATCTGCCGTACTGGGTGGAGAACATGAACAGAAAGATCAAGGAAATCCTCCTGTCGCGCTTGCAGTATGCGATCCAGTCCTGGATTGCGGCCTTTGAAGACGAATATCTCGACGACGGCCCCCGCAAGAGAATCAACGAGAACGGCGGAGAGGGGGAGGTTCGCCCGGCGGGTCCGACAATCAAGCGTCTCGTGCACGAACTGACCATGCGCAACCAAGTAATCTACTTGGACCCCCCCCTGGAGTATGCGCGGGCCAGTTGGTTTGTCCAGCTTCACGACTGGCTAGGCATTGTCTGCAATTTGAAGAAGATCAAGGCCACCCGCTACCAGATGACGCTCACCATGACGGCCTCTGATGAGCCCCGTTTCGACGACTTGCCCGGGGAGTGTACCGAGCTGCTCAGTCGCGCCTACGTGTCTGCCGAGAAGAAGCTCCGTGGGCTCAACGCCTATGTCGATAAGTGGCTCCAATTCCAGTCGCTGTGGGATCTTCAATCGGAACAGGTATATGAGGTCCTTGGCGATCAGCTCTCGCGATGGCTCCAGCTTCTCCAGGAGATCCGGAAGACGCGGCAGACTTTTGACACGCAGGAAGTCAGCCGACAGTTTGGACATATTACCATTGACTATGACCAAGTCCAAACGCGTGTGAATGCCAAGTACGATCAATGGCAGCACGAGATCTTGATGAAGTTTGCTAGCCGCCTCGGCACCCGCATGCGCGAAGTCCACGCAGACGTCGAGAAGGCCCGTCGCGACCTTGAGGTCCCTCGCCTGGATGCTTCCTCAACGGCCCAGGCCGTCCAGTTTATTACCATTGTTCAGACTTGCAAGCGAAATGTGAAAGCGTGGGCACCGGAGGTCGAGATGTTTCGACAAGGCCAGTCAACCTTGGTCCGGCAGCGCTACCAGTTCCCCAACGATTGGTTGCACATTGAACAAATAGACAACTCGTGGGCGTCCTTGACCGAGATTCTCGAAAAGAAGTCGAAGATCGTCCAAGATCAGACCGACGCCCTCCGTGCCAAGATTACCGCTGAAGACAAGCTTGTCAACGACAAGATTGCCGACATAACCGCACAATGGAATGAGGAGAAGCCCGTATCCGGCACCGTCAGGCCTGACCACGCCTCCGCGACCCTGGCGTCTTTCGAGTCGAGGATTTCGAGTTTGCAGACCGAGTCGGAGATGGTGGCCAAAGCCAAGGAAGCCCTTGACCTTCCCGCAACGATGGACAACTCGTTGGCCGCCATCCTTGAAGAGGTCCACGACTTCCAGTCTGTCTGGTCGAACCTCTCGACGATCTGGGCCAGCCTCAATGAGACCAAGGAGACTCTATGGACTGCCGTGCAGCCACGCAAGGTTCGATCCAAGATTGACGATCTCATCAAGAGCACCAAGGACATGCCAAGTCGAATGCGTCAATACGCTGCCTTTGAGCATGTGCAGTCGATACTCCGAGGTTACCTCAAGGTCAACTCGCTTCTCTCCGATTTGAAGTCTGAGGCCATTCGCGATCGTCACTGGACCAAGATCTACAAGCAGATCCGACCGGGCAAGCGTTACTCCCCGGTGTCTATGACCCTCGGCGACGTCTGGGATCTCAATCTTGTTGCCACGGAGGTCATCGTCAAAGATATCATCGCGCAAGCTCAAGGCGAGATGGCCCTGGAAGAGTTCCTTAAGCAAGTCCGGGAGACATGGAGCAACTACGCGCTGGAGCTCGTCAACTACCAGAACAAGTGCCGCCTTATCCGAGGCTGGGACGACCTGTTCGCCAAGTGCAGCGAGAACCTGAACTCGCTGCAGGCCATGAAGCACTCTCCTTACTACAAGGAGTTCGAAGAAGAGGCATCCTCCTGGGAGGACAAGCTGAACAGGGTCCATGTTCTCTTCGATATCTGGATCGATGTCCAGCGCCAGTGGGTCTACCTGGAGGGAGTCTTCACGGGCAATGCCGATATCAAACACTTGCTGCCCATCGAGTCCTCGCGATTCCAGAACATCAACAGCGAGTTCTCTACGGTCATGAAGAAGGTCTACAAGCAGCCTTATGTTCTAGACGTTCTCGGCATTCCCAATGTCCAAAAATCCCTCGAACGCCTTGCCGAGCTGCTCAACAAGATCCAGAAGGCCCTGGGCGAGTATTTGGAGAAGGAGCGCGTCTCTTTCCCGCGCTTTTACTTTGTGGGTGATGAAGATCTTCTCGAGATGATCGGAAACAGCAATGACACCCTCCGCATCGCGAAACATTTCAAGAAGATGTTTGCTGGTCTCTCAGGGCTCGTGATGGACGACGAGTCGATCATCTCTGGCTTCGCCTCAAACGAGGGTGAGGTGGTTCACCTCAAGAAGGAGATCTCCTTGGCGAAGACTCCTCGCATCAACGACTGGTTGGCTCTCCTAGAAAACGGCATGAAGTCGACGCTCGCCGAGCTGCTGGCGGAGGCCGTGGACCAATATACGCCGATTTTTGAGTCAGGGGAGATTGAGAGGTCGGCGTTGATGGGGTTCATGGAAGCTTTCCCGAGCCAAATCGTCGTACTCGCTACCCAAGTCGCCTGGACGACTGCAGTGGAAAAGTCTCTTTCCGACAGCGGTTCGACTCTGCCATCGCTGTTTGAGAGGGAAGTCCAGGTGCTTCGGCATCTCGCCGACACGGTTCTGGGCGACCTTGAAGTCATCCAACGCAAGAAGTGCGAACAGCTCATTACTGAATGCGTTCACCAACGGGATTGCATTGAGAAGCTCGTTCAGCTGAATGCCAGCTCTCCAACTCACTACTTCTGGCTTCTCCAGATGCGCTACGTGTACGCGCCGGAGGGCGACTACTTGCAGCGTCTCCATATCAAGATGGCCAACGCCAAGCTGAATTACGGCTTCGAGTACCTCGGTGTCCCCGACCGGCTCGTCAGGACGCCCCTCACCGACCGATGCTTCCTCACTCTCACCCAAGCGCTCTGTCAGCGTCTTGGTGGATCGCCTTACGGCCCTGCTGGTACCGGCAAGACCGAGTCGGTCAAGGCCCTCGGCGTCCAGCTGGGTCGTTTTACCCTTGTCTTCTGCTGCGACGATACATTTGATTTCCAGGCCATGGGCCGCATCTTTCTGGGTATCTGCCAAGTCGGCGCTTGGGGATGCTTCGACGAGTTCAACCGCCTTGAGGAGAGAATCCTCTCTGCCGTCTCGCAGCAGATTCAGAATATCCAGCTCGGTCTCAAGCAGGGGGCCGAAGATGAGACAGCACAGATCGAGATGGTTGGCCGCCAGCTGCGCGTGAATGCCGATACCGGCATTTTCATCACAATGAACCCTGGTTATGCGGGCCGCTCCAACTTGCCAGACAACTTGAAGAAGCTCTTCCGCAGCGTCGCCATGTCGAAGCCTGACAAGGAACTGATTGCTGAGGTCATGCTGTACTCCCAGGGCTTTAACCAAGCCAAGACGTTGTCTAAGCAGACGGTCCCTTTCTTCGACCAGTGCTCGCGCAAACTATCCAAACAGGCGCATTACGATTTCGGTCTTCGAGCTCTGAAAAGCGTGCTCGTGAGTTCCGGTGGGCTGAAGCGAGCTCGGTTGACGACCGGCGATGGACAGCTGGGTGCCGAGGAGGTTGTCGAGCCAGAGATTATTGTCCAGAGTATCCGCGAGACTATCGCCCCCAAGCTCATCAAATCGGACGTCGAAATTATGACAACCGTGGAAGAGGCTTGCTTCCCGGGCATTCAGTACGTCCCGGCGAATCTCCAGGCTCTCGAGGATGCCCTTCGCAGCTTCGCCGCCGAAAGACGGCTGGTTGTCAACGACGTCTGGATGACGAAGGTGTTGCAGCTGTACCAAATCCAGAAGATTCACCACGGTGTCATGATGGTCGGCAACTCCGGCACGGGCAAGTCCGCTGCCTGGAGGGTCTTGCTGGATGCATTGCAAAAGGTCGAAGGCGTGGAGGGCGTTGCCCATGTCATTGACTCCAAAGTCATGTCGAAGGAGGCCCTGTACGGCAACCTCGATGCCACTACTCGAGAGTGGACCGACGGGCTGTTCACCAGCATCCTCCGCAAGATTGTCGACAACCTGCGAGGCGAAGATACCAAGCGCCACTGGATCGTATTTGATGGCGACGTCGACCCCGAATGGGTCGAGAACTTGAACAGCGTACTTGACGACAACAAACTTCTAACCCTGCCGAACGGCGAACGCCTCAGCTTGCCCTCGAACGTCCGCATCATGTTTGAGGTGGAGACGCTGAAGTATGCTACGTTGGCCACGGTTAGTAGATGCGGTATGGTTTGGTTCAGCGAAGACACCGTCTCCCCTCTCATGATGGTCGAGAATTATCTCGAAACACTCCGCACGAAGCCGTTGGAGGATCTCGACGAGGACAGCGTCGCGACCGCACAGAACCCTGCCAAAGCCCTCGCCGTCCAGGCACAAGTGGCAGATCTCCTCAAGGCGTATCTCACTGGCGACAACTTCATTATTGCCGCCCTGGATCAGGCTCAGAACTACAATCACATCATGGAGTTTACCGTCGCTCGTGTCCTGGCCACCTTGTTCTCGTTGCTCAACAAAGCAGTGCGCGACATGATCGAATACAACGCGCAGCATTCGGACTTCGCGCTGGAGCCGGAGCAGGTCGAGGGCTACGTTTCCAAGAAACTCCTTCTAGCTCTTGTGTGGGCTTTGACGGGTGATTGTCCGTTGAATGATCGCAAAGCATTCGGTGACGCCCTCTGTGGCCTCGCGAGCTTCGGATCTCCGCCCCTCGATGGCACCAGCTCCCTCATCGACTTCGACGTTACTTTGCCCAAGGCCGAGTGGTCTCCCTGGCAGAACCAGGTGCCCACAGTCGAAGTCAACACACACTCGATCACCCAGACTGATGTGGTTATCCCGACCCTGGATACGATCCGCCATGAGGATGTGCTCTACTCTTGGCTCGCTGAGCACAAGCCTCTCCTGCTTTGTGGTCCTCCGGGCTCGGGCAAGACCATGACTCTGTTCAGCGCCCTTCGCAAACTGCCCAACATGGAGGTTGTCGGTCTCAACTTCTCCAGTGCCACCACTCCAGACCTCTTGATCAAGACATTCGAGCAATACTGCGAGTACAAGAAGACCCTGAACGGCGTCATGCTATCGCCGACTCAGATAGGCCGATGGCTCGTCATCTTCTGCGACGAAATCAATCTTCCCGCCCCCGACAAGTACGGCACACAGCGCGCCATCTCGTTCCTCCGGCAGCTAGTCGAGCATAACGGTTTCTGGAGGACTTCGGACAAGTCTTGGGTCACTCTTGACAGGATCCAGTTCGTCGGTGCTTGCAACCCGCCCACGGATGCTGGCCGTACGCCTCTAGGTCAGAGGTTCCTCAGACACGCACCGCTTATCATGGTCGACTACCCCGGTGAGGTTTCCCTCCAGCAGATTTACGGCACTTTCAACTCGGCCGTGCTCAAGATCATTCCGACTCTTCGCGGCTATGCCGATCAACTCACCTCTGCCATGGTCAAGTTCTACCTCGCGTCGCAGCAGCGCTTCACTCCCAGAATCCAGCCGCACTACGTCTACAGTCCTCGTGAGCTCACGCGCTGGGTGCGGGGCATTTATGAAGCAATCCGCCCCCTTGAAACCCTGTCGCTGGAGGGTCTGGTTCGGATCTGGGCCCACGAAGCGTTGCGCCTTTTCCAGGACCGTCTCGTCGCGGAAGACGAGCGCCAGTGGACCGACCTAATCGTGCGGAAGATTGCTATGGAGTTCTTCCCCACCATCGACGAGGAGAGGGCCCTTGGCGGCCCCATTCTCTTCTCCAACTGGCTGTCCAAGAACTATGTCCCGGTGGATCGTGAACAGTTGCGAGATTTCGTCAAGGCTCGGCTCAAGACCTTCTGCGAGGAAGAGGTCGACGTGCCGCTCATTCTGTTCAACGATGTGCTGGAGCACGTCCTTCGCATTGACCGGGTATTCCGTCAGCCCCAGGGTCACCTCATCCTCATCGGCGTCAGCGGCAGCGGAAAGACTACGCTGTCTCGTTTCGTCGCTTGGATGAACGGTCTCAAGGTCTTCCAGATCAAGGTGCACGGCAAGTACTCCGCCGAAGACTTCGACGACGACCTCCGGGAGGTTCTCCGTCGCTGCGGTTGCAAGGGCGAGAAGATTTGCTTCATCATGGACGAGTCCAATGTCCTTGATTCGGGTTTCCTGGAGAGGATGAACACGCTTCTTGCCAACGCGGAGGTCCCCGGTCTCTTCGAGGGCGACGACTTCGCGGCCCTCATGACCGCCTGCAAGGAAGGTGCCCAGCGTCAGAATCTGCACCTCGACTCGCAGGAGGAGCTCTACAAGTGGTTCACGCAGCAGATCGTCAAGAACCTACACGTTGTCTTCACGATGAACCCGCCGGAGGATGGTCTGGGCTCCAAGGCGGCCACCAGTCCGGCGCTCTTCAACCGTTGCGTGCTCAACTGGTTCGGCGACTGGTCCGATCAAGCTTTGTTCCAGGTCGGCCACGAACTCACTCAGTCGATCGACTTGGACCGGCCGAGCTTCCAAGCACCCGATACCATTCCGGTCGCGTATCGCGGGCTCAACTTGCCGCCGACGCACAGGGAGTCGGTTGTCAACTCGATGGTGTACATCCACTACTCTCTCCAACGTTTCAATGTCAGGCTGCAGAAGCAGCAGGGTAAGGTGACCTTCCTGACGCCCAGGCATTTCTTGGACTTCGTCGCCCAGTACGTGAAGCTGTATAACGAGAAGCGCGAGGACTTGGAGGAGCAACAGCGCCATCTCAACGTCGGCCTGGAGAAGCTCCGAGACACAGTGGACAAGGTACGGGATTTGCGCGCCAGCCTTGCTGAGAAGAAGGCGCAGCTCGAGCAGAAAGATGCCGAAGCGAACGAGAAGCTCCAGCGCATGGTGGCGGATCAGCGGGAGGCAGAGCAGAGAAAGAATACCTCGCTTGAGATCCAGGCTGCGTTGGAGATCCAGGAGGCGGAGGTGGCGTCGCGGAAGAAGATTGTCCTGGAGGATCTTGCCCGGGCGGAGCCCGCTGTGGAGGAGGCCAAGGCCAGCGTGAGCAACATTAAGCGGCAGCACCTGACCGAAGTCCGATCCATGGGCAACCCACCCCAGGGTGTCCGCCTGGCTCTAGACTCGGTGTGCACCTTGCTCGGCCACAAGGTCAACGACTGGAAGTCGATCCAGGCCATTGTCCGAAGAGACGACTTCATCGCCAGCATCGTCAACTATAACAACGAAGGCAAGATGACCAAGGCCTTGCGCATGAAGATGCGAAACAATTTCTTGTCCAATCCCGAATTCACGGTTGACAAGGTCGATCGTGCCAGCAAAGCCTGCGGTCCTCTTGTTCAGTGGGTGGAGGCGCAAGTGACTTACTCGGAGATCCTGGACCGTGTTGGCCCGCTCAGGAACGAGGTCGAGCAGCTCGAGGAACAGGCTCTGCAGACCAAGGCGGAGGCCAAGGCCGTCGAGAACACCATCAACAACCTGGAGGCCAGCATTGCGACGTATAAGACTGAATATGCGGCGCTCATCAGCGAGACTCAGGCCATCAAGTCGGAGATGTCGAGGGTGCAGTTCAAGGTGGACCGAAGTGTCAGGCTTCTCGACAGCCTGTCGTCGGAGAGGGTACGCTGGGAGGACGGAAGCAAGTCCTTCGAGACTCAAATCAGCACGCTCGTTGGCGACGTCCTTGTCGCGGCGGCCTTCCTTGCCTACAGCGGGCTGTACGATCAAACGTTCAGGAAGTCCATGATGGACGACTGGCTGCACCAGCTCCAGCTCTCCGGGATCCAGTACAAGCCGCATAACCCGGTCACGGAGTATCTCTCGACGGCAGATGAGCGACTCGGCTGGCAGGAAAACAGCTTGCCTGTGGACGACTTGTGCACCGAGAACGCCATCGTCCTGAAACGGTTCAACCGCTACCCTCTGATCATCGACCCGTCCGGCAGGGTGACCGAGTTCCTCCAGAAGGAGAGCAAAGACCGGCGGCTGACGGTCACCAGCTTCCTGGACGACTCGTTCACCAAGCAGCTGGAGAGCTCGCTCCGTTTCGGCAACCCCATTCTCATCCAGGACGCGGAGCACCTTGACCCCATCCTCAACCACGTCTTGAATAAGGAGTACCAGAAGACCGGCGGCCGTGTGCTCATCCAGCTTGGCAAACAGGAGATTGACTTTTCCCCCGCCTTTAAGCTCTATCTCTCGACGCGGGACCCGTCCGCCACGTTCGCGCCAGACATCTGCAGCCGAACCACGTTCGTCAACTTTACGGTGACGCAGAGCAGTCTGCAAACGCAGTCTCTTAATGATGTCCTCAAATCGGAGAGACCAGACGTCGACGAGCGCCGGTCGAACCTCATCAAACTGCAGGGCGAGTTCAAGGTTCATCTTCGACAGCTCGAGAAGCGGCTTCTCCAAGCGCTCAACGAGTCGCGCGGGAACATCCTGGACGACGACAACGTCATCGAGACGTTGGAAACGCTCAAGAGGGAAGCTGGGGAGATCTCGGCGAAGATGAGCAACACGGAGGGCGTGATGGCCGAGGTCGAGGAGATCACCAATCAGTACAGAATCATCGCCCGGTCCTGCAGCACGGTCTTCGCGGTCCTGGAGCAGCTTCACTATCTCAACCACTTCTACCAGTTCTCGCTCCAGTATTTCCTGGACATCTTCCACTCGGTTCTCCGCGGGAATCCCCGCCTTGCCAACGAGACGAACCACAACGTTCGCCGGGATATCATTGTGAAGGACCTGTTCATCTCGGCCTACAAACGGACAGCTTTGGGTCTTTTGCAGAAGGACCGTATCACGTTGGCCATGTTGCTCGTCCAAGGGTCCCCGTACCCCATGGACAAGGGCCTGATCGACGTGATTTTGGACAAGCGCGTCGAGGGAAAGGACCTGTCTACGGAGAATGACGCCAGAGAGGAGGTGTTCGCCAGGGCGGGTCATTTCAGCGCACTCAAGGGGAAACTGGACAGGGCATCTTCGGCCGATTGGGACAAGTTCCTTTCCGAAGAGCTTGCGGAGAACTTGGTTCCCAAGATCTGGGACGAAGGCACGTCCGAGGTTGACCAGACGTTGCTATCGCTCTTGGTGGTCAAGCTCTTCCGGCTCGATCGGTTCGTCCCTGCGGCGGAGCGCTTCGTCGGCCTCGTGTTCGGCGCCGACCTCCTGGACGTGGTGGAGGATTTGAGGGAGACGGTGACACAGGTTCCGGCTACTAGGCCGGTGGCGCTCGTGTCCAGTCCCGGGTTCGACGCCAGCTACAAGGTGGATAATCTCGTGGAGAGGATGCAGGTCAAGTGCACCAACATCGCCATGGGCTCGAACGAGGGTCTGGCCAGCGCGGACAAGGCGGTCAGCAACGCTGCGCAGACGGGGTCCTGGGTTCTGGTCAAGAACGTCCACCTGGCGCCGACGTGGCTGCAGAGCCTCGAGAAGCGGATGGATTCCCTCAACCCGCACTCGGAGTTCCGGCTGTTCCTCTCCATGGAGTCGAGTCCCAAGATCCCCGTCAACCTGCTCCGGGCCTCACGCGTGCTGATGTACGAGCAACCGGCCGGCGTCAGGGCCAACATGAAGGACTCGATGTCATCGTTGTCGACACGGGCCGTCAAGAGCCCTGTAGAGCGTACGAGACTGTACCTCCTCCTTGCGTTCCTGCATGCGGTCGTGCAGGAACGTCTGCGCTACGCTCCTAATCTTGGCTGGAAGGGCTTCTGGGAGTTCAACGACAGTGACGTACGGTTTTTTTTTTTGGATCTTTTCTTTTTTATTTTCGTTGCATCTGCTAACACCTGATTTCCGCGCCCCAGTACGAATGCTCTGCTTTCATCATCGATACCTGGGTCGAGAACGTGGCCGGCACCCGCACCAACGTCAACCCCCAGAGCATCCCTTGGGACATGATCCGGTATCTGGTGACGGAGACGTACGGCGGCAAGATCGACGACGAGGCGGACTTTAAGCTCCTGAATCAGCTCGTCCACTCGTTCCTCACGCCGTCGGCGTACGACATCGGACACAAGCTCGTCGAGACGGCGGACGGCTCGGAGGAGGGCAGCCTCGTGGTCCCCGCCGGGACGACGTTGAAAGAGTTCATGGAGTGGATTCACAAACTGCCGGAGCGCGAGCCTCCCACTTACCTCGGACTTCCGGCCAATGCGGAGAAGCTGCTTCTGGTGGGCTTGGGCCGCAGCTTGATTGCCAATCTGAAGAAGGTGTTGGATATGCTGGACGAAGGAGAGCAGCTTATAGCGGAGGCTGCTTAATTGGACTTTTCTTTTTGTTTATGGTGTTTTTTTCTTTTTCTCTTTTTTACCTTCTGTGAAGGTGGTTTGGTTGAGAGCGTCTCGGTGCATACATAGATGACCCTGTACGGATATTACTTACTCTCTACCTTGCATTTTACCTTGGACATATTACACGTACACGATAACCCCCCAACTCGAGCATAGCACAAGACACTGAATTGGCTTTTTTTTTCGTGTATATGGCTAAACACTTGGGAGTCCCAGGAGAATATTAAATAATGTTGTTCAGAATCATGGGCCTTTCAACAGGTCGATTGGGTTTGACGTGGCTTTTTTTTTTTTTTTTCCTTTTTTTTTCCTTTTTCCCCTTTTCCCTTTTCCCTTTTCCCTTTTCCCCTTTTCCCCTTTTCCCTTTTTTTCTTTTTTTATTTTTTTCTTTTTTTCTTTTTTTCTTTTTTTTTTTCCTTCACCGAGTCACCGAGTCCGAGTCACAAAAGAGATGCGAAAAATTCAAATTTCCTGGTACATCCCCATTCAACGCACATACACACATACACACATACACTGCAATCTTGAAATCCCCCCTTTCTCTGAAAAGCCCTGAGCGTAGGGAAATGCGCCTGCCGTCGTCACCATCATTGCTGTATCGTGTTCCCACTGGAGTTGGAAATGGGACAACTCATCATTTGGGTCACTTTAACCACTTCAACCCTCGTGTAACCCACCACCGCACCGAGTCCGCCAGCCACGAGTGAGCCCAGGCTTCTGCACATTGGATTCGAGTCGAGGCATCTGCGTTGGACCGGGTCGGACGACCACTTTACCCGCCAGTGGACGGCCAACAACAACCACCTCAGCAGCGCTTGGAGGAGGGTCGCCACTGGACGGGGGGGTCTGAGTCTTTTTTTTCATACCAACTCACGTCGGCTGTGAGATCTCGGTCCCCTCCTTCACTAACCATTTGTTTTCCGTCGTTCTGTCGTTGGGTCTCTGCGCCTCGATGTTTCGGGCTCCGAAACGCTTACGTCGTCCCCGGATCATGTAGGCAGCACCCGGTCATCTCCTTCTCATGTGCGTTCTGTTCTTCGGTTACTTCATGCCCATCGGCGGTGGCTCATTCATCACGGAAAGGTCGTGAAGTGCCACTACCTTGCTTACTGCATCGATGGCTACCGGGGCCTCGGGTTAGGGTCGGGGTTGTCGCCCTCCTGGTATTCTGTCGTGCCGTTTTCGGTTTTCTCAACTCTTTTCACTCTCTCGCACACGCTTCTGCCCCTCTCCCTCCTGTTTGTTTCCTCCTTTTTTTGTTTTCTCTCTCCTCTAGTCCTGGCTGTCAATATCCCATACCGCGTTGGAAGTTGACGGTTGTCGCCCAAAGATCCATAAGAATGTAATCCCTTTACCCCACGCGGGAGGCTGTGTATTCCAGGGCCGGGCGCATTTTTGTCCTGGGCGAACCAAGAAAAATCATGTTATTCTACTGGCATAGCATAGCCGGCGGGTCATTCGCACCCTCATGCGCTCCCGCGCATGAGATGGACTGCATGTGAGATGGGGAGATGGGCAACTATTCGGCGTATTGGGTATCAGCACACCACAATTTTTTCACCCCAGCCTGTAGCGATTCGCTACTCACCTCCGTCTCTCCACCCGCGAGAGAACCAATAAGCCTGGGTTGTACTTGGGCTCATCACCACAGCACGTTGGCCGGGCGTATCTGTCTGGCCAGGGAACCCAGAGAAGCTGGCTGCCCATGCAACTGGTCCCAAAACCCGCAGCTGCTGCTGCTCTGCTCCATGCGGCATAAGTATATAACCATGGGCCAGTCTGCCCCCAGCAATCATGTTGGGAACAAAATGCTTTTCGTTATTCATACAATCTTCGCAGAACTCTTGCTTCACTCCACATGTAGCTAGCCCGCCATGCCTTTCCCGGCTGGGGGTTACGCTGGGGAGGGGGGAGTATCTGCAAAACGACCGCGTGCGAAGACGTTATCAGAATCTCAATGGGAACCCTACCGACGCATTATCGAAGAGCTGCATCGTTCAGGCTATACCCTGAATCATATAAAGCATGAAATGCGGCACAAGCATAACTTTGCCCCAACGTCAGTACACCATCTCTCTCTCTCTCTCTCTCTCTCTCTCTCTCTCTCTCTCTCTCTCTCTCTCTCTCTCGCGGCCGTCACTGATACTTGGTAACTAGCCACCGACAATACGTTCACAGACTGAAGAAATGGGGTCTGAAAAGATACAACGCCGATAGAGAGATCACTTGGTCGCCCGGACCCTTTGGCGACGGCGACAATGAGGAAGTCGCTTTATACCTTGATTCGCTTGCCCCGTTGTCCGGGCCGGAATCGGCATCGAAATCGTCATCCTCCCCCTCCGACGATAGGATCACTTCTGAATGTGATTCCGATCAGTCCGAGATATCACGACTATACCTGCCGAGTCCTGTATCTCTCGGTCCGCAAGCGCATCTACATCCCGGCGCTCAAAACAACCATGGGAGAGGAGCCTGCAGCACCGAGGACAGCAAAGTAGGCATATGGGCCCAGATGCCATGGGCCGCCACCTCCCTCGGCAAAAAGAAACAAGCAGCCGACTTCCTACTGACACTCTCACACTACGAAGCTGCCTTTGCACTCTACATTGGCATCTTTCATTCCCTCCAACAACAATATTTTGGTCAGGATTGTGCCCTGAGGTCGACCATCGTCGCCTGTGTCCGGTCGGCCCTAGACGATAGGCACATCGCCATGGTTCGAGACATCCTCCAGCACCAAGTCAACACGGCGCACGATTCCTCTGAAGCATTATTTTACCGCCTACTTGGGACCCATGGATTTCCTCACCAGTCCCAGAACGGCGATCATTCCGAGCTGGAGGCATATGTTGCCATGGCATCCCTCCTTGGTCTCGACCCGGACGACTGCGTCGCCTTGGCGAGCCCTTCCCGACCTTGCCGCTCCATCGACATGATGGGCTATCTGCTCCTCAGCAGAAGCATCAACAGATGGGCCGAAGTCTGCGATGCGAGCGCCGACGAGCCGCTCCTTGCCCCCGGCACGAATCATATGTTTACCAAAGCCGACGTCCTCCACCAATACGTTCTCCAGCAGCCCCTTTATGCGGGCTCACTACACCTAAATCAACACACGACAGTACGCGGCTGTGCCACGTGGTGCAACCAGGTACTGCGTAACAAACTGGACAGTCGGTCGTTTTTTTATCTTCGGGATCTGCGGCCCTTGGGTGGGCCAGCGGAACAGAAAGGGCAAGCAGAACTCACGTGCCTCCTCTGGCATGCCCTCCATACGTTATCACACACCCCCCGGTGCACCCCGCCGGCTTGGGCTTCAACCTCGGAGCAAGATCTCGGGGCCAGTGCCGTCGAATTGCTGTCGGTTGTTTGCCGTCTCGTTCTGCGCCGGCCTAACCCCGGAATGCGTTCCGACAACCAAGGGAATGGCAAGGGCAAGGAAAAGGAAAAGGCATCTCGCGTCAACTTGGAGATGGGTATTCCTCCCGTGGGACGGGGGACCGGGTTCCTTGAGACGGCTCTAGAAGGCGCTCGAGCTCTTGTCAGGCTTGAAGACAAGGAGCTCTGGGATGTCTTCCTCGCCGAGTTTCTATCGATGAATGAGGGCAGCGCGGCTGGGTATTCCTCGCCTACTTGCATTTCCTCGCCCCTCGACGTCGACATCGTGAAGGACCTGCAGCAAGTCATCGCCACAACAGCTGGTATCACGGTGCCATACCAATATCTAGCCTCGAGCATTGCTTTGCTGCCTGCGACTACGGAATCTTCGCGCCGCGAGCCGGAACAAGGGGAGCTTTATCCCGAAGGCCTACATTTCTCGGCTCTTGACCGAAGCTTCCTTCGGCAAGATAGGAACAACATGTTAGAGCCCTACTGTGGTCGGGACACGGATTACGGTGGCCTTGTAGTCTTTGGCACCGGCGACAGTTTGCGGCAACAGTACCGGGGATTCCATCAACGTTATCCCCTCGACATCCTGTCCGTTGATGCTAGTCCCATTATCGACCCATCGGCGTCGCAATCTTTTGCACACGGGAACGTGTTTCTCGGTCCAGGCCCAGGTTTCGACTCGGCTCCTTCTCCGCACACTCAGCCTCTCGTGTTACCGGTCAGCGGGGAGCCCTGGGAAGATTTTCGGCTCCTATAATCATGGCTCTTCGGGAGTGACATGCCGAGTCGACGACCAATTACGAAGCTCTCGGTGGGCGCATCACTCCATCTCTGAACTGCCCCCGCTGGTTCAGCATTCCTTGGTTTCTCCTTCCTGCTGACAGTCGCTTTCAAACTCGTTTCCCTTTATTGTAATTTTCATTTGTCATATCCGTACCGTCGCCTTCCGAGCGACTTTCTTCTTTTTTATTGTTTCTTTCTTGTCTTGGATTAGGGGAAACGGATAGAAGATTGACCGAGCAAATGGGTCAAGGGGGGAGAGGGGGGAGGGAGGAAAAAAGGGCATACCTTCACCATGAGAAACCATGAGAATATGAGGATATGAGGATATGAATATAAGCATTTCAAACCCAGGTTTATCATCTTGTTCCAAACATCTATGCAACCGGACGCGGCGGGTTCGGCTTTAGCCCTTGACCTAGCCATGCGTCTACAGAGTAAACAGTGTCAATGCATCGCAAAGTTCCACCGACAGATCTCGGTTTCTCTGATAACTTGTACAAAACAGCGGTAGTAGAAGAACTGAGAACTTTCAGAGTCGAATCGCCGCCGGTGGCTGCAAGTGACCAGGTGACCCAAAGATTGGGGTGGTTGGGCGACTTGAAGCGCGATTCGTCGAAATGGTGACGACTCGTGTGTCAGAGATGGCTCAGGAATGGCCAATGGCCCTACAACCGGAGGGGAAAAGGAGGTCAGATGCCCGGACGGCAGTGGCTGGGGAAAGAGACGCGGATTGTGCGGACTGGTGGTACGTTTTAGGGTGGTGAAAGAAAGGCGAATCGGACTAAAAACATGAAGGAGCAGTCTTTCCCCGCATGAGAAGACGTCATAGGCATGCTTGCTGTCTTTCTAAGTGGACCACTAATGAGCCGTGCTTCTTTCTCCACTTTCCGACAGCTTCTAATCCCGGTACGGAGTGGGTACTTTCGGAGCTTTCGAGGCTTCACTGCCTTGGCAGATTAATAGCTGGTGACAACCCCAAGCTAACCATCCCTACACTATTACTCCGTACTTATTTCTCGCCTTCTGCAAATATCAAAATCTGACGACGAGAAGAGCGCCCAATGCGATGCGAATCGGCCTCGACGGGCTGCCGCTTAGTGTGGGAATCCAGGTCGAAAAACTACAAAGTTGATACGAGGCACCAGCTGCATTGCCCGAGGTGGTATATCTCCTTGGCAGCCAACGGTTGAGGGATCCGACGTTAAAACATGCTTCCCAGTGTAGCTGCTTGGGCTGGCTGAAACCAAGACACGATGGACCGTTTCGCATCGTTGTTCAATGGTAGGTACTACTAAGCTTTACCGCATGCCAGTCCGGACAAAGCCCAGTCTCATCACCAACTGCGCCCCTTTGTTAACTCGCTTACCAGGGGCTGGGGCTGAGGGTCGTTATTCATAGCAAGAAATGTCGAACGGTACCTGTGAAGACGAGCCTTTCCCCTTTACCGTCCATGCCGTCTAGAGTCATCACGATACTTTGATCTTCGAGCTATTAGGAGCGAAATCTCCGTCCCGTGTGGATGTACTCTCTTACCTAGCTTGCCCTGGTACAAACCTGTCGGTGGTCTCATAGCAAGGTACATACTCTTGTGTAGTGGTACACGAACGTACCGAATGCACGTACGAATACATTCACTCATCCGCCTCCTCCTCGCCTACCTTAGGTACTCGATACTTGCCTTGGTCTCGCCATTCCATCCTGGGTAACAAACCATTAGTGGTCTTCTCCGTCCAATGACCCCGCTTTTGCCTCCGTACCCGCTCCTCAATCCGTGCCTAGTGCAGATCTAGCCTTCTCATGACGGCAGTCTACCGATTCTTGGAGGTGGGGTTGGATGCCTGTAAGTGTACGTCAGGGACTTGCTACGTACGCATTCGCACCTCTACTTGCTTGCGTAGGTAAGGATGACTGGGATGACTGGGGATGACTGGGGATGACCAGACAATAAAAGCCTTTTCGTTTACATTCAAACCAAAGCATTCCTCCCTCCTCATTACCCTTTTCCCGTCTTGGTTCTCCCCCGCTCCCGCGAGTTTATGGATTCAGAGTAATACCGTGTGATATATACTCACCTTCACTGCGTCGTGTTTCCCATCGAATCTCGACCGCAAGAACTACAACACGCCCTCTGCGAATCTGCTGATAGCTGAACGCTATTCCCTCCATCATCATGGATCGAGTCCACGCTTGTAAGAAGCCATTCTTTGCAATTCATACGAGCTCTTTCGCTGAATGTACAGTCAAGCTAATACGTCGGGCCTCTTCGCTCTCTAGGGAACCCCTTCGTCCGAAGGGAGGCTCATAGCACCGTCTCCATCAACACATACAGGATCCTCACCATTGCTTCCTGGTTGCTCGCTCTCATCGTTTCTGTCTACTACGTTCTCCACGCTCCTCACGATGGCTTCACAATTCGCAAAAGCATCTGGGATCAGAATTATCTTCACCGCACCGCCTTTACTCTGAATTCTACCATCGTCGATGTTTATTGGTGAGACCCAGTTTCCCCTCCTCCTGTCCTGCGAGTTCCTCAATGGCTGGATGCTTGTATTATATCGCAATTAAGTCCCAGGGTCAGGACACCGACCCTTAAGCTTGAGCTGACGCCGCAAACACCGTTGATAGGATCGTGCTTTTTATCCTGCAGGTCGGCTATGTCGGTCACCTCTTCTCCAAGAACGCAGACCACGTCAACGCCGCCGCCAGCCTTGGTAGCCACTTCATCCTCAACAACTTGTTCCACTTCGCCTTCGTCATGCTCTTCGTCCGCTCCCACTTCATCTGGGCCGAGCTCATCCTCGTCCTCAACTTCCTCAACCTCAGCTCTCTCTACTTCCGCCACAACACCTATCCACGCTTCATCCACCTTCCCGTCGTCTCCGGGCCTCTCGCCTGGACCTTTGTGGCTATCTATTGGAATGGCGCCATGATGGTGCCCCACCCTCACTCCCTCGTCGCCCGTATCTTCGGCAACATTTTCATCTGGTCGCTCCTTGCCTACGGTGGCTTCTTCATCGTGGTCTACAAGGTGAGTAAAGTTTCCGCGCTACGGTCGCTACGAATCAGGTTCTAACAATGAGCCCCTTAGGATTATACAATGGGTTTCTCCCTCAGCGTGCTCGCCGCAGCTATTGGTGTCGGGCAGTTCTTCGACAAGCTCGTCGCCTTCCAATGGATCTTCGCCTTCACCATCATGGCGGTTCTTTTTGTCTCTACAGCCGCCATTGCTGTCCCGGCCTGGACCGGCAGGGAGTACAGCTGGTCGAGCCGTACCCGGACTTCGGACCAGGAGCGCGCCCCTCTCCTCGCCGACAACTGAGAGAGGAGCCTGGCTCATTATTCAACCGGCATGCTGGGTCGCCCCTGCGGTGCCTGCTTTCTCTCTCTGTACCGTGGTTTTACCTTCTGAAAATTTTGGGGAGAACTGGAGTGTAACGGCTAAAGTTTCGTAATAGCTGGGTGTTGGGTGCGACGAACTGAGACATTCTCGACGTTCTTGAGACGGATCTAGTTGCACCCCTTCGTTTTGTGTGAATTGTATCCGTGGTTAATTCCATACTGTTGACGGATTTTCATAGCAAGGATATGTGCGTCATTGACAGCTGAGCAGACATAACAGGATGTAATGAATGGTACGACCAACTCGAAGCATTTCTGCGTCTTTGCACATCGGGCAGACGTTAATATTTCTATGACGTCATGAAAGCTAGTTGTCTCCAAGCCTTATCTTATCACCTTGTCATAGCGAGGGGTCCACTTAATTTGACCGAGTCTCACCTTGTGACCGGAACGGGATACCTTGCCTCGTCAATCGTGTTTGCAATCTCCATCGGCGTCAGGAACGGCTCTCTGACGCCCAACTGCCAACTGAGATATACCGAAGACAACTCCGCGTCCAATGCTAAACCCTCTTCCAGGTGGCTGACGTGCATGCGTGCCTCTCTTCTCAGAGGCCCTCAACCATCTCCGGGCGGAGACAAAAAGCCCCCAATGGGCCCCAAACCATTCCCTTTTCCTCTCAACGTCGGGACCGACATTTGCCGCATCTCTCGTATATTCCGCGTCCTCGCGGGTCGCCGCGCCACGCGTTTCGTCAGCCGCATTCTGACACCCGAGGAGATCGCCGCGGCGCCGATTGCCCGACCGCCTCTTACCCTCCCGACAGCGCTGGCTGCCGGGTACGGACTGCGTGAAGGGGTAGACTTCTCCACGTTGAAGAAGACGTATCCAGACTTGTGGACGCAGGCGACCTTCTTGGCCGGACGGTGTGTTTCATTTTCTTTTCTTCCCTCTTTTGGAAAAGCTTCGGTTTCGTTCGCGAGTCTTCAGACGAGGGACTCGTTCGCCATTCTCCGTGTGCCCCAGCTTTGTTTGAGCTCAAGGGCCGACAAAGAGCACTAATATAGGGAAACAGATTCGCGGCTAAGGAGGCGACTTTCAAAGCCCATCCGTCGATGAGACTATCGTGGCATGATATAGTCATCAAGCGGGCCCATGATGTAGGAGGGACTCAACTCGACGAGGAGGAGCGACACGGGGAGGATGATGAACCAAGGAGCCCCCCTAACGGGAGCGGGCCGCCGATAGCGGTGATCCGGACTGGGGGAAAATCAACACCGGGGGAGGAGCAGACGGCCATGCTTTCGATTAGTCATGACGGGGACTATGCTACGGCTGTTTGTCTGGGGTACAAGAGCAGATGAAAAAAAGATCGAGTTGACTTCGGGTATGTTCGATATAATGTCAGCCATCGAGCCGTCCAAGCAAAAAAAAAGCAAAAAAAAAAATATAAGAATCATTCATCCTGCACTGCACGCTATGCAAGGTGAGGCCAGCTCACTCCGTAGCGATATCGGTCTCAGGGCAGAATGATAGGGCGAAGAAGTCAGATGGTGTTGTTTGTCGGTGAAGAAATGTCACCGTGGGATTAGATCATTGGACACGGCAACGTGTTTCCTCTCCACTGTCAACGTGGGCTGGAACCCCAACGCAGCAATAAGCTGCATTGGAACTTGGCCGATACCCAGTAAGAATAAGGTTCCTGTCGGCATCCCTCCCTTGTTATCCTGCAACGGGAAAGCTTCCGAAACTTTTAGCGTCCTTTGACCGACAACGCGGCTCGGTTACTGGGAGTTTTGAGGACGAGAACCGGTGAAGAAAAGAAGAAAAAAAAAAAAGGAATACTGGGAATCATAATCACCATGGCTTCTGAAGCATGCTTTTTACCTTAGTACCTACCTTAGGTACCTAGGTACGGAGCAGATAACGGACATATCGTCACTTGAGAAAGTCTTAGGTAAATGTTTGTCACTACCCAGCTATTTCACTTGCCACTGTACTTTGGTTGACATCGGGTCCAGCTCTTAGCATCTCTGGCCCACTTACGTGATGTAGTACCAAGAACCTTGTGACGCTGACCGACTTCTCACTGACATGATGTGCCATGTAATTACGTTGTACGACCATGAACCTTGACCACGGGCCGAGATGTCAATACTTCGTCGTGACAGCCCAATATTTCCTTTGGTCCCATTATTCTACTTCCACTTCTCTTCTTTCTGAACCTGTACACCAATCTTTTTCTAATTTATTGCGTAAATTATCATTTCTTTCTATATCCATCCCTTCGTCCTTTCATGTCTACTAGTACTCCATTGCATCTCTAGAGTCAGAAAATACATGAAATGCTGGGCAACAGGTCTATATCGGCACTGTTGAAATCTCATCTTGATAGATGTTGGTGATGGACCGAGACATCGCCTTGGAGAAGGCATTGATACGCATAGCCACCGCGGCCCAGCGAGAACAATCGAATTGGAATGTGAATCCCTTCTATAAGTAAGATATCCATCCCTTCTGCCTGCCTTGCTCTCCGATGTACCCCATTTGTTTACCCTAAAAGCTGACCCAACTCAAAGCGCCGAGCACGCCCAGCTTCCTTGGATAGAATCCATCGTAGCTGTTTCCGAGGCTGGCCATATCCAATGTTTGGTTATGCTTGGCTCCCTTCTATGGACCTCCTTTCGACTTCTAAACCGCGCCTACGCGAGGAGGCCACTTCCGCGTCATGTGGCCTCAGCTATTCGGTGGCCTTGGGAAGCCTGCGCTCTCGCCAGTCGCACCGCTTCCCTATCGTTCCTTGCTCTAGCTGCCGCCAAGGGTGAAACGACCTGGCTCAATGCAGCCTGCGTCACCTACGCCTTAGCCATCGGATTATTTAGACTCGTCGATGACTTGGAGTGGAGACATATAGCCCTTCAGCAGGTCAACTTTGTCCTCATTGCTACCTTGCTCCTCTTAGCCGCTCCGACTGTGCTGCCCTGCACGAATGCTCGTCAGGCATGTTTCGTCGAAGGCCCCTTGATGGGTGCCCTGATGAGCCTTGTCCTCTCGGTCTTGGTCGCCCTCTTCACGCCTCGAGAATGGGTGCCACCCTCTCTCAGGTACGATTTGCCCAAGGGTGCAGTCGACAAGGATCCGGCACCAGAGGAGACTTGCAGCTGGGCCCAGTACTTTCTGACCTACGACTGGCTGACGCCGTTGATCTGGAAGGGCACCCGAGGTGCGGTTACATTGGATGACCTACCTAGAATTGCCTGGTACGACGATCCGCTGCTTCTCCTGTCCAAGGTGAAGGATGCGCGAGCCAAGGGAAAGTCGACCTTTTGGACGCTGTTGCGGCTATTGCACGAAGAAGTGACCATGATGGCCTGCTTTATAGCCTCTGCCTACATCCTTGAGCTTATCGCCCCCTTTGCCCTCTATCGACTTCTCTCCTATCTGGCGGATCCGCAGGGCTCCGTCATTCGCCCGTGGGTTTGGCTCTTGCTCATGTTCTCTGGACCGATTTCGCGGTCCGTTGTCTTCCAGCAGTATATCTTCACTTCAACCAGGTTGATAGTTCGCGTTAAGTCTGCCATGACCCAGGAGCTTTACCACAGAGCCATGTCCTCCAGGGAAGTTGAAGACGACATCTTTTCCGTCTCAGCGACCACGTCTCCGTCTCCGTCGCCGTCTGCCTCCACCTCTACCAGGAAATCTAGAGGGAGCCGAAAGGCGGCTCAGACATCCACCTCGGCCGGTCGACTAGCCAACCTGATGGCCGCCGACGTCGACGCTCTCTGGGGTTCTCGCGACATCGTCATGATCTGCATCGGTCTGCCCATAGGTACCGCAGCAGCCATAGTTGGGCTGTTCAAGATCCTCGGGTGGCCCTCGATCGTCGGCGCTTTTGTTCTCCTGCTTGCCTCTCCCATTTCCATCTTCATAGCCCAACTCATGGCCAAGGTTACCCGCACGGTGCGCCGAGCCCAGGACTCTCGGATATCCCTCGTTTCCGAGTATCTGTCCTCCATTCGGGCCATCAAGTACTTTGCCTGGGAGGATGCTGCCATTGGGAAGATTCAGGACGCCCGCGCTATCGAGCAACGGCATCTCTGGCGCGTCTCTGCGCTCTACGTCAGCCTCAGCCAAGTCACTCAGCTCATCCCCTACATTGCCCTGCTGCTCATGTTCTCGCTTCATGTCGTCGTGAGGAAGCAAAAGCTGGATGCTGCCACAGCTTTCACCACGGCCCAGCTGGTGAAAAACATACGCAAGAATATCACGCAGGCTGGAAGTCTCTCCAGGAATGTTACCGCAGCCATGGTAGCTCTCGACCGCCTTGACAGGTACTTCGAGAGTACGGTGGTCATGGAAAAATACGCCGAGGGCCCGCTTCGGATCCAGGACGGCTTGTTTAGGCGCAATGCGCTCGCCACGTTCAGATTACAGAATGTGTCTGTCACCTTCGTTGAAGGCGGTCTCAATGTCGTAGCCGGTCACAGTGGTAGCGGTAAGACGACCTTACTCCTTGCCATCCTGGGAGAAGCCGAGAGACTCGGGGGTATGGTCACCAGACCTCGAGATGTGGCTTTTGCGCCACAAACGACGTGGTTACAGAACGAGACGATCCGAGAGAATATCCTCTTCCAGGCCCCGTTCGAGAAGGCCCGTTATGATCGGGTCCTGGAAGCCTGTTGCTTGCTGTTAGACTTAAACCAGATGGACCATTGGGACCAGACCGTCGTCGGTGAGAACGGCGCATCCCTCTCGGGCGGCCAGAAGGCGAGGATAGCCTTGGCCAGGGCTCTATACTCCAAGGCGCCGTTGATCTTGCTGGACGACATCTTCTCTGCCTTGGATTCGAAGACGTCGGCTTTACTCTGGGAGCGATGCTTCTGCACGGACATGCTGAAAGGTAGGACAACGGTATTGGTAGCACAGCAGCCTTGGGTAGCGCTCCAGTCGGATCTCTGTATCATTCTCGAGAACGGCACCGTCTCGAGTGTTGAACAGAATATCGGGGTCGTGCGCCACGCCGTGGCTTCCGCCTTTCCGGAAGAGGAAGGGGGCGACGAGATGGCAGGACTTGAGATGAGGGCAGAAGGGCCCGAGTCGGAACTCGAAAGCCGAAGCGACTCTTCACTCCACGACACGTCCAAGACGGCGGGCCACCAAGGCGAGAAAGATCTGGTGGCACAGGAGATGAAGGCGAGCGGGAAGAACACTCGCCTCACGTGTAAGTCACAAAAGCAAAGCCCCTATCCCTTATATCTATACCCGGCGCCCACCCACTAGGCCTTGTCGCTTACAAAAGAGAAATGGGCAAAAGTCTTCAAGTACATGACCTATTTTGGGGGCCCGCTCTATGCCATCGCTTGTATCCTGCTCCAACTGTGCTCGAACCTCGCTTGGATGGCTAGTTCGCTATGGCTGTCCGTGTGGGTTGAAGCCTATTCGAAAGAGGAGGCAGTCAACATCGCATTCTATCTCGGGGTGTATGCCGCCTTTGCCGCTGCCGAGAGAGTGAGTTCGGCCGCCATCATTCTAGCCTACGAGAACGGCGCCTGGCGTGCGGCCCGAAAACTGCACAACGACTTCATCAGGGCCGTGATGGGGGTCTCCTTGTCCTGGTTTAAGAATGTCCCCGTCGGGAGAGTCATCAACCGGTTTTCTCGGGATATGTACTCCCTCGACTCGATGGTTAGCACTCAGCTCCGGAACTTCCTCGACTACGGCATGAACCTGCTCTTCCGCATCGGTGCCATCAGCTCTATTTTACCCATTTTCGTTGTACCGGCGGCTGTGACCTGTTTCGTCGGCGTCATCGTGGGCGAGATGTATACCAGGACCGCGGTGACGGTGAAGAAACTGGTGTCCTCTGCCCAGTCGCCAGTATTCACACAATTCTCGGATACATTGGCTGGCCTGGCGGTTATACGGGCTCGGGAGGGGATGACCGAAGCGTTTGGCGAGGCGCTAGCCGAGAGACTACGGGTGTGGTCTCGTGCGGCGGAGGCGAATTATAACTGCAATCGCTGGGTAGCCATGCGAGTGGATTTCATAACGGCTCTCGTGGGGCTTTGCGCCGGGGTCATCGCCGTTTCCAAGGCGGGCGTCGTGGCTGCAGGACTCGTAGGTTTCTCTCTAACCAATGCGACGGGACTGAGCCAGACGATCTTGCTGCTGGTCCGCAGTATGAACGACCTCGAGGTCGAGCTCCAGAGTGTGAGTACATGGGCCAAGAGGCCAAGGCGGTTTGGGCTCCGAACCTTATGGGCTAACACTTGTCGCAGTTCATTAGGGTTCGTGAGTATGCAGGTCTCGAGCCGGAGGATAAGTCGGACAAGTCTTACGCCGAAGAGGGTGAATATGCCGACGAGGAGTCGCATGTCATACCTCAAGACTGGCCGGCAACCGGTCGCGTCGAGTTGCGGAATGTCACCATTCGTTATGAACCGGATGGACCTGATATCCTCGCGGATGTCAACCTTACCTTCGAAGCGGGAGAGCGGGTGGCCATTGTAGGGAGGACGGGATCTGGCAAGAGCACGGTGCGTAGCCCGCAGAGCGTTTTAATGCCAGGCGTACTCTGAAACTGACAGCCTTCTCTTAGCTGGTCTTGTCCTTGCTGCGTTTTACCCACATAGTATCGGGGCAGATCTTGTACGACGGCATCGACGTTACGAAGATACCCCGCCGGAGACTACGGGAAGCCCTCACGATTATCCCCCAGGAGGCAGTGCTATTCAATGGCACTGTCGAGTCAAACTTGGACCCAACCGGGCGAGTGCCGGAGGACGACCTCAAAAGGGCCTTGCAGTCTTGCCAAGGCATTGCGGCATTCAAGCAACAACAAACCAACGGCGTCCATACCCTTCAGACCAACGGTAACGGCAACGGCAACGGCAACGCTAACGGTAACGGTCACAACCACGACGGCGAGCGCAGGAACGCGAACGGATATTGTTCCCCAATGACGGAATTCGACCTAGATACGCACGTCAACCCCAAGGGCGAGAACTTTTCGCACGGGCAGCGACAGGTGCTGTCGCTCTGCCGTGCCCTGGTGCGTAAAAGCCCGCTGATGCTCTTGGACGAGGCGACGGCGAGTATGGATTACGAGACGGACCGAGGAATACAGGAGGTGCTTCGGAAAGAGCTAGACGAGGCGGGCGGGGGCCGGACGCTGGTGACGATCGCACACCGGCTGAGGACGATTATCGACTACGATATGGTGGTGGTCATGAGTGGCGGACGAGTGGCAGAGGTGGGAAGTCCCAGTGAATTGTATGCCAAGGGAGGACTCTTTACGGAGATGGTGTTGCATAGCGGGGAGAGCGATGAGTTGATAGAAGCGTTGAAGACAACGAGGGAAGCGGAGTGAGCCTTGGAATAGCATGATCAGAACCATAAAAGCTACAGGGTAAATCCGGAAGGGGTTAGATACATGATAAATTAAGAATTATGACTCTGAGCTTGTGAAGTGAAGCAATATGTTGTTGGAGTCGCTACCTCAGGACGTTGCAGGATACCTTGACAGGTCGATCTTCAGGTCTGTCGGTACCTGAATTGACTCGAGTGGGTTAGGTACCTAGGTACGCAGACCCATCGGGGCACGTGATAGTACTTCCATCCGAATGCCAAACTCGCGTCTCCCTCGCGTAATGCAAATTACGTACTGCGTATGTACTCAGCACCGTACCGCACCAAGTGATTGCAGCACTCCGCGTATCCGCGTATCGGGGGAATTCGGACGAAACGCTCATTTTCAATATCCCAACGTCGTGGCTGAACAGAATCAGGAAACCCAATCCTCCAAACGATACACACACCCGGAGGATCATGCTCCTACATTAACAATTGGGAGTCAATCATTGACAATCCGTGTCGACGTCTCTGACAACCTATACGAACATGGCGCCCCGAGCAGTCAAACCCGTCTTGTACGGGCTCGCCCTCGCCCTCTCTCTGCACTTCGCTTTCGCTGCCGCCGCTTCTGACTCAACAGCCGAGAAAGAGGTTCCTGTTACCTTTTCCACACTCGAGAGCTTAAGTCTTGAGGAATTGGAGGATGAGCTACAGGTACGGCTTCCTCCCTTTGTCTCTTTGTCCGCTCCGCCCCCCCAGGCTATGCATAGATAGCCCTGATAACTGTACTGACCCTGACTCCCAGCAATGTCCCATTGTAGCCTCGCTCTCAGGGGCCAAACACGCCCGCTTTGCGTCACAATCGTCCTCGTTCCTCGCTCGGGTTTTCCAGGTGCTCTTCCCCTCCAGTCACCCGGCCATCAACTCTTTGCTCGCGACACTATACATCTCAGGCCCCCCCAACATGCTCCTCGCCCTCTGCCCGCCTGACATCGACCCGGCCTCACTGTCCGTCATGGTGGCCTTCGCCGTCGGGGGCCTGCTAGGCGATACCCTCTTCCACCTGCTCCCCGAGATCTTCCTGGGCGAGGACGAGCCGGATCACGCCCGTTTCGTCCTGGTCGAACCGAAACGGAATTTGCTTCTCGGCGTCGCCATCCTGGTTGGGTTCATGACGTTCGTTGCTATGGATAAGGCGTTGCGGATCGCCACGGGAGGTGCAGGTGGGCACGACCATTCTCACGGTCACGGTCACGGTCACGGTCACGAACATGGCGGGAATAAGGTTGTCGCCGAGGCGGTAGCCAGCGGCGTAGACGAGGTCCCGGAGGGCAAAGCGAGGGCGAGGAAGGGGAAGAAATCGAACGAAGAGCCGCAGCAAGAGGTCGCGGAGAAAGTGGCAAGTCAGGACGACAAGGAGGTGAACGCCAGTGTCAAGCTCGGGGGTTACCTGAATCTGATGTGAGCACACACACACACACACACAAACTCCGAATTCTTGTCGTTTTATTGCTCTCGGGCAATTTTTCCAACGGCGCTAACAATGTCTTGTTTCGCACAGCGCCGACTTCACACACAACATCACGGACGGCCTGGCCATGTCAGCGAGCTTCTATGCCTCCCCGACCATCGGGGCGACTACGACCGTGGCTGTCTTCTTCCACGAGATCCCCCACGAGGTGGGCGATTTCGCGCTGCTCGTCCAGTCGGGCTTCAGCAAGCGCGCCGCGATGGGTGCGCAGTTCGTCACGGCGATTGGGGCTCTGCTGGGTACGCTCATTGGTATCGCCGTTCAGGAGCTCGGAGGCAGCGGCGCCGGAAGTGGGGCCGAGGGACCGATGGCGCGGAATGCGGGCGTCTGGGGGACAAGCTTGGTGAGTAACTATTACCCCCCTTTTTTTTTTTACTTTTTTTTCTCTGTGTTTCACGTTACTCTTCTACTGTTTTACGCTGCCACCCGTCTAGTTAACGCAAGAGCTGACTTTTCGATTTCTATTCAGAGCTGGGGCGACATGCTTCTCCCCTTCACGGCTGGGACATTCTTGTATGTCGGCACTGTGGCAGTCATTCCTGAGCTCCTAGTGACGGGTCCCAACAAGGGTCAAGAAGTGCGCAAGACGCTGGTTCAGTTCGCAGCAATTGCCCTGGGGGCGGGCATCATGCTCTTCATTTCGTGGCAAGACTAGATAAACTTTGGGGTGCTTAGACTGAGGGTTCCTTGTTACCTCGGTGTTTCTGGAGATATCGTCTTGAGTATCATCTCAAGTGGGCATATTAGACGTGAATATGGGACAATGCGAAGCGAATCGAACTTGACGAAACAATAGAAGATGGAGAAAGAGATGCGTTTGGCATGACTTGTGTACCAGGATATAGAAAGGGGGGGGGGGGACAACAAGATAATAAAACTGTTTGACGTATTGCCTGCATCGGACACAGAGCTGTCAGCGGAGAACGCCGTGAACACGATGTACGTACCCTTGTACCTATACAGGATCACCATGGCGGATGTGACCTCAGCTATTAACCCGTACCCATGGATTGGGCCTGGCCGTGACCGTTCCTCAGGAGTCAGCGGTGACTCTTTCCGTACAGCTCCCACACGCTTCATGCACTACCACTCGAGCCCGGAGACCCCACGGAGAAAAGAGAACCTAATCACCTTCCCCGCTTCTCCTTCTCCGGTTTCGGCCAGCTAAATACAACTACAGGCAGATAGAGATCTGCACTAGAGCCTAGAGCTAACCCCGACTTTATGACTTTGTCCTCGCTCAGCTCCAGACAAGGGCCACATAAAGAATAGTTCCTTCGGTGGCTTGCAGCATTGGCGGCCGCGTACCGGTACCTAGAGAACTTTTGGGATATATCGCAACTTTCTTTGACCCTCTGGTCGCTGATGAAGAAGGCACGACTGCATCGCCGATTCCAGGAGGTTATTACGCATGCCATTTTCGCGCTATTAGAACGGTTCAACACCACAATGTTAAGGTTTGAGTACATGTAATCCATCCCATTAGTCATCCATCTCGGTTTGTCATCCTCTCTCGAGGCAGAACATGGGTGGTGGGATGGCACGGGGAGACGGCCAGAATAACTTTGTTCCCCCGTTGCTGACCAGGGCGATCGATCGCGCCGTGGCTTGAGCTGGTGGTGGACCCTGGACTTCTGATTGGGACTGATTCGTGATTCAGGTATATTCCCGCTTAGTTGGTGTGTTGCGGTGGACGGTCGTGGGGAGAGCCTAAACTGGGATCGTTAAGGTGATCTACAGTTAAGATATCGCTGGTATGACGTCCACCCATGGAACCCCTTGAGGTTAAGCTTAAGAATACGATATACATTTCCCCTAGCTTTCTGCAGTATTCGCAGATGATGCGCCATATCGAGCGAGACTGTTTTCAGCAGTGATGTAAAACGGGGTTTCTTTGTTTGAGCCAGTCTAAGGTTTGATGTCGCCCTGTAATTAGGCATGTACGCAACGCCCTTTGGCCGCCATTAAGAACCACAGACTCCACGTGGTGTCATCACCGTCCACGTGGCCAGGGTTCCGTAAAGCTAGTGTACTCTTTGTGTACGGAGGAACGTCGTCCCGGCCGACATCGGCTATGATTTTCATTTTTCGTCCTCGTCACGTCCAACGTCCAAGCAAAAAAAGGGTAACGACGCAGTGTCACATTAATAATCATGTAGATGACCGGTGACCAAAAAAAAAAGCGAGTCGCAAGGATCCACTTATCATGCACCCAACGAATCGCCAAGTGCGTCATCTTCGCGAATTAACCTGGTCCCAAAATAGGACCCATATTTCTAAAAAAAAAATCAAAAAAATCCTTGCGAATGAAACATCCCACAAGAATACGATAGACAACACAGCAAAGCAAAGGTGTCGCCGAGTGGATCGACGCCTTACCAATGCAGGGACTTGGTCGTCCATGTCAGCCTCGTTTGACGTCGGCTCAAAGTGGAGGCTGAGAAGAGATTTTCGACATTGTTTTCTGTTTCTTTTGACGTTGCCCAGGAACAAGTGACGGGTTTGCCTGGGCCTGGACCCTTTTCGCTAGAAGCCGAAGCCATATGGCGAGAGTCGAGGAGGTCCCACGGCGGCTCAAACTGGAGCCAAGAGGATCCGCTTATTTCCGCCAGATACCCGGCCGGCTGCTGCTGTGCAGATCCACCAGTCCAATGGAAATTTCAAATTGGCATCATCGCATGATTCCCTGGTCCGCGGATGGATCTTTTCATGTCATAGTTGAAGCCTCGCGTTCCATCACGATGGAGCAGCTGGGTGTACGAGGACATCGTGGTTATTCCCACTGGAGTACATCATCCCAGCGACCCGGCAGTTCGTACGGGGGGACAGAGTATGTATGAGATAAGGAGTGGTTATCCGTAAAGCCTTGGATGGAGATTGGGTGGAAATCCTTTCGTTTTCTGGTCCAACTGGAGCCGCCATGCCGTTAAAGTACGTGTAGTGTAGAAGGTTTGATAATAGTGGGGGAAAAACCAGCTGAACCACATGAACCAACGCAGTGAGATGGATCTTATTAGACATAAGAATTCCCCTAACGTTAAGATTTGGCGAAGTCCCGGACGGGGGGGGGGGTGGTTTCTCCCGTTTCTTCCAACAATGACCTGATACGTCAGCCGCATGCCGGAGAGGAGCGTGCGTTCCCACGTCGGCTGTATTGGGAGGGTCTCGGACCGTGTACGTTAAGAGGACCCGACGGGATGGGTCCTGACCTGTCCCGTGAGCCACCTTGACGGCCACTAATGACACTGCCGCCGAGTGGCCCCTCCGGGAATCCGTGTACGTTAAGCGCAGCCGGTTGGACCCTCTTTCAGCCTTGACGTCTCTCCGCTAATTAATCATTGAGAAGAAAATTACGACGTATGGACCTGTTGCAGTGTTGCGGTGTTGTGGTGGGTCAGATGGAGATGGAGACGGCTGTGACTGAACGTTCGAGAACCTAAGCAATAAGTATTGGTACTACTTTGATTTTTAAGCTTGCTGGATGCTGTCATGTTGGTGTCTGTTTGGAATTCTGGTGCGGGATGGAAACCATCTTACACGTACAACCCGCCCAGCCTGGCATCGAGAGCTTTGTAAGATTCTCCATACAATATAACTGATAGATGCTCGAAAACCAGACGTCATCTTTACCCAAGGTACACTGAATTAAGGAGGGTGGGAAGTGTCCTCCGAATCTCAGTGCGTTTAACCCTTCACAGTACCATCCACTCCGTATATCTATTTCCGTTATGGCCGTGCAATCTAATAGACATACCTAACCTCGTTCTACACTAATGGTGGTAGGGCGTGATGACACCCGAACAATTATGAGTAATAAGCTGTCCGAAGTCGGCCTAAATGGTTGGTAGGCGGGGATGATGGATCGACACTCTAAAGGCAATCTACATAAGGCAGGGATGGATCCAAAACTTCATGTTGACAAGCGCGCCCTTGGAGCCAAGCATGGGTCGGACTCGGACGGAGATACCCAAGGCCACTTGAAGACGAAAGGAAGAGACAAGACGTGTTCGTCATTATCGCCAGATATTGGACCAAGCGAATGGCTGGATGCAGCGTGAAAGGGTAAACATTGGCCTTTGCCGAGGCGCCAGGCGAAGGGCGTGCATTGCAGTAGCGCTCTGTTGGGTCCGTCCAGACTCCACCAACTAAAGTACCGGTACATCTTCAGACATCCCGGACACTTTATGCATGGCCGACTGGACTGTTACCTCTTCTGGCTCGCCGTCTGTGTTCCGACTGCCGTCCCCCGGTCCCGCCAGAGAAAACCAGAGAATCTCTCTCCAATTCCTTGAACATATATCCCTGATTATGAATCCTGGACCTAGTCCTTGAGGCTGACAACCATTGTTTTAATGATGTACGTTGTACCCCCTTGTCGTGTGACTCAGGTTTAAGGCGTGGCGTGGCCTAAGACAGATGAGGTTCGGTACCGTATCCCGGCCGGGGGGTACGAAGTTGTCGTTCTCCGTACGGAGTAGGTAGGTACAGGTAATAAAGCTCAACGTCCGCCCTTCACTTCTTCGTCGGGACATGAGACAAACAGACATCGTGACAGGTCCCTCCCTCAGATTCCCCAATCACTGCGAATACTATCGGGAATCATCCTCATCGTCAACCACCATCGCGTTTCCCTTGCATCAAATCTTATATTCCCATATAACCCATCTACTTGGATTCTACCATCACCTATGATTCCGTATCAGCTTCACGGCCCAGACACTGCCAGCAGCTACCCTTGAATATCGCCCACACAGCCGGCTTCCACAGGGCAACTGCATACATACTACTTGTGTGCCTCGGACCACGCCCTCCTAGCTTTCATACTGGTCTGGTCACAAAGACCAAGGCGGGAGAAAGGAATACAACATTGTGCCTCCCACGCTTTTGGCAACGCCATCCAACCATCAGCCGTTATCTTATCCCACCCTTGACGGGACTCCCACCCCCCAACCCAACGCCCAACCCCTCATTCCTTTCGCCAAGGCGCCTCTGCATCCCATCACGGGGAGGAGCAGCGAAGCATAAGTACTTACGCACCACTAACACGGGGGCTTCTTCCGCTTTGCTGAGTTGTCGCAAGACCACCCCGTACGAGACTCTCTTGTCTCCGGTAAATCGTCAATAAACTCGACTAAAAACAAGAAAGAAAAGAAGAAAGATACAATCACCATGTCAGCCGCCAGCGATATGAGCACTGCGCTCACCTTCTCCCGCCCCATCTTGCCCAAAGGTCCGAACATTCAGATCAAACTCCATGATGACTACAGGGCCAAGATCTTCAACTCGGGCTCTCCCGTCTCGGGCGACGTAGTGATTACCCCCTGGAGGGACACTCGCTTCGACATCGTTTCCATCGCTCTCATCGGCCGCGCCAGCTCCCGCGTCGATGCCGCCCAGTTGTCCCATCACTCCTCCCACACTTTCCTCAAGATGAACATGCCTATCCCCGAATCCGCCTATCCGACACCTCGCGTCTTCGAGGCTGGCCGCACTTACACCATCCCTTTCCATTTTGTCATTCCCCAGCAGCTCACTCTGAGCGCTTGCAACCACAAGAAGCAATCCGTCTTCGTCCACGACCAGCACATGCGCCTCCCGCCTTCGATGGGCCACTGGAGCTTTGACGACTTTTCCCCCGACATGACCCGTATCGAGTACCTCGTCAAGGCCCGCGTCGCCGAGCAGCCCGACCTAGACGACCTTCCACTGAAGCTTATGGAGGCTGACCGTCGCATCAACGTCCTCCCCACCTCGATTGAGGACCCGCCCCTGAACATCACTCCCCAGGACCGCCAGTACAGGCTCACCAAGTCGAAGACCCTCCGCAAGAACATCTTCTCCGGCAAACAGGGCGTCCTCACCGCCACGGCCGCCCAGCCTGCCGCCCTTCGCGTCGCCTCAGACTTCAGGGGCAGCGCGGAGACGTCAGTGCTGGTCAACCTCTCCTTCGCGCCGCACGCCCCGGAGATCGCGCCCCCGAAGGTGAACCGCGTTTCGGCGAAGCTCCAGTCCACGACCTGGTTCAGCCCCACGCCCATGCCAGTCCCGCCCAACATGGGCGACAGTCGGCAGTCGGCGCTTACAGGGCTTTCGCAGCTCAGCTACTCCATGGCCATCGGGTCCGCCTCGTCCACCGACATGGAGCCGACCTCATGGCAAATGCGTCCCACATCCATCACCCGCCGCGATTCCGGCTACTCCAGCGAGGGCCACCACGAGGGCCACCCCGACAGCCCCTCCGACTCGGACCACGGCTCGAACAGGCACCCCCATAAGCCCAACAGCGGCAGTGGTGGTGCGAAGGCCCCCTTCTACCACGAGACGACCATCCGCGTCCCCTTCAAGGTCATGACCTCGCGGAAGCTCCTTCTTCCCACCTTCCACACCTGCCTCATCTCGCGCACCTACACGCTGCAGCTGGCCGTCACCGTCGCCGACACCAAGGTCAACCTCATGGTGCCGGTGCAAGTGGCCGTGCAGCCGTCGGCGACGCCGCAGCAGCTGTCGCTGGACCCTGGCCTCCCCAGCTTCGACGCCGCCATGGAACAGCGCGAGCAGATGGAGGCCGATGAGCTCCTGCAGCCCCGGTTCTTGGGGCAGCCGTATCTTTCGCCCCAGGAGAGGAGCGGTCTTCCCGCCTACAACGAGTTCTCTCTACGCCGACCTGCCATGACGGCAACCTGAACTACGGAGAAGTAGTGGTTGTTGTTTATAGATGGGAAACGAGACCGCCGGAAGCATACTACTGACACGGACTAAGACTGGTCACGAACACAAACACATATACAGACGATGCCACTCCTGATATATTTCCATATTGTCCCTGGGGTTGTTTCTTTTCTTTTCTTTATTTTCTCTTCTCTCTCTCTCTCTCTTCTCTCTCTCTCTCTCTCTCTCTCTGTCTCTCTCTCTCTCTGTCTCTCTCTCTTTCTTCTTATGTTTCTCCGTCTATGCGTGTATACACGATAATGTCTATTTCCTTCTCGGTACCAATTGGGCTTCACCTCGGCTTTGGGAAGAAGACTTGTCTTATCAGGAGTTATGGCCGGGTTCTTTTTTCTCTCGATACCTGGATACCCCGATGTTTGGAACACTCGCAGGAATGGCCGCCCAGACATACGGATAATTTGTACTTTCCAAGGTTAACAAAAGTTTGGGTCTGTTGGGAGTTTTGGGGTTGGAGGACGAAGATGATCTGAATTCCAAGAAGACATATATTCGATTTCTTAGTCTGAAAGCCCATCTTTGTCCTCACTCGCTTGTTCTGCTGCATAATATTAATCGTCTACATCACAACTCGAGAGAATGAACAGTCATTTATTGGTTATTATGGTCTATTGACAAGACGGAGCACCCTGTACGTTAAGACTCGAAGAATATTAGCGGGAGGTCTACGTAGAGAGCTCCCACTTCATGAGACTAACCGCCCAAGGTATGCCGCGGTGGCTTTTCATGTTCTCAGCGATTTCCATGTTCTGAATGGACTGTCGAAGTCCTGATAGTATTCACCAGAGCGAGCGTAAGAGAGAGCCAGAGCCGGGTTCGACGTGTAGTAAAAAACATCTATATGGATATTTCCATACATCCGTATCAACCTGATGATCCCCTTCTGGCCTATACAAGCACGCATCTTCCGGCATATAATCCACCATCTGTAAAAGAGAAAGGCACATGCGTTTATATCCAATTCAAATGAACCTACTGCTGATGCTGCTCGTTTAACCATGCCGCGCCGAATCGCCCGTCAACGCCTCTTTGACAAAGCACAAATGAAAAAAAGAAATCGAGCCTCCTCGTCCTCATGCCAAACCGAGTCTAGTGCCAGATGTCCCTCCAGAGCGTTCTCCTCCTTCGGTAGGTTACCGTCCGTGGGTGATGGATGGGTAATTGACAAAAATAGGTTAGGTAGGTACGCAAGATGGCAAAATCAAAAGCGCCCGCCCCTTTGGGTATCAAATGCCCAGCCAAAGCTTGCCTCGCTCGTAAGTGTAGAAACTGACGGCTACCATAGGAGCGACCTTGGCGTAGCCGATGGTGAGGCCGACGAAGAAGCCCCGGATGCCGCGCTCGCGGAAGATAAGGCCTGCCGTCTCCGCGATGCGCAAGCGGTGGCCGTCGCCGACGGCGCCTCCGACCTGCATGCGACGGCGGACGACCTCGAGGGGGTATGAGAAGGTCTGGGACACCAGACCGGCGATGCCACCGGAGAGGAGCTCGGCCCAGGAGCGGAGTGGCGCGGGCTTGCCCGGCTTATGGGGCAACTTGCGCGTCTCGGGGAGGATGGTCCACTGGGCGAGCAGGGGGTTGCGGAGGATGTCGCCCATGGTGTCGTGCGTGAGGAACGATATGCCTGCGTAGGGAAGCATGCCGAGGAGGGTGGGAGCGAAGCCGCGGTAAAAATTGGAGAGGCCGCCGGCAGGCCGGGCGACGACAGAGACGGTGGGAGACGACGAGGTGGTGGCGTGAGTGCCGGAGGAGGCTGCGACAGGATATTCATTGTAGATCCTCCGACAGATGTCACGGAAGGAAGAATGTCCGTGCTTGGTCTCGAAGGCGAGGCGGACACGGATGACTTCGAGGGGGTAGGTGAAGAAGACGGAGCATACGCCGGCAGCAGCGCCGCTGACGAGTCGGCGGATGGGTGTCTCGTGTTCGCGGCGGCGGATGACGAGGGACCGAACCTGCTCGTATGCCAGGAACTTGATGCCGGCATAAGGGAAGATTCTCAGTAGGGTGGCCGAGTGTCCGCGGTAAAGACCTAGAATGCCGTCCTGGCGATGGATGTCGCGCATGGCCGTGGCCACGCCGACCCAGGATCCGGTGTACTTTGCGAATTGTGGGTTGCTAGCCTGGAACAGAATCTTGACTCGGTCGAGAGGGGCAACGACAGTCTTGGCCTGGAGAGGGGAATATACGTTAGATCACCTGAGACTACGCAAACATCCGAGGAGGAGGAGGAGGAGGAGGAGGAGGAGCTACGAACGTACCGCACATCCAGCTAGACCGCCTGCGAGGCCGGAACGCCATACATAGTCGAAAGTTCGCGTGTTTTTCCGCACGGCTATGGTCTCATCTTCGGTCTCTGGGACGGGTTGAGGCTTCGGTATGTTTGCGGTGTCCCCTTTCGCCATTGTAGTGGTTGCGGGCGCGGCCGTTGTCCTCGGACGCCCGACATCGTTCGCGGCGGCCATTTGCTGATCATGTTCAAGGACGGTAGAGGTCATTCCCTGAGTCCCCGCGGGGAAGTCAAGGCGGTGAGGCCCTGATGCACCAACTCGCTCGTTCGCTGTTCGCTCGTTCGCTCGTTCGGAAGAAAAAGGGGTGAGGCCGCTGTTACCGATAAGACATCGCCGGGCCTAGAACTGTTGTAGTAGTGTTTATCTATGGATATCTTTGTCTTCAAGTTGAGAAGATATGGTCGACGCTTCCTCAAAGCAAAGGAAGGACAAGAACAGGTGGAAATAATCGCGAGTCGTGGAACGTTGAGAGAAATTTCCGGCTTGTGACGGATGCTTTAGGGGACGTCATCCGCTGCAACGGTGGGGGATTTATTTGCCCGGCTTAAACTGCGAAATTGGAAGACAAGTCTGGGGTTGAGAAAAGTGGGACCTCCCCCGCCGGTAAACAGGAGAGAATTCCAAGCCGAAGATTGCCGAACAAACTGCCATTGACGACTGACGTGGGTCTATATTACTAATGATATAAAGTCGCACTTCGAACTGCTGAGCGACTCCACATCATGATTAAGGTACCTATGTACGGTACGAAGTATGGAGTAATTAATTACTTCGTACAACATTTGAAAGACATAACTGTTTGGCAACGATTTGTATATCAGCAAGATATGACAAGACCAACACTTTTTCTTCCCCAAATCCCCGGATCTCTCCAAGTCTCAATGTGTCATATCGGCCGACACACTTGACAACATCCATCCGCCTGATCACCTGACCTTCAGCCAAGGATGCCAATGGTGGGACCTGGAGGGAACCCAAGCCTGGCTAGACAACAACCACGCGGGGAAGAGCAAGAGTCCCCCCCGGCATCCCATAGCCCCGAGGATGTCCCCGGATCTCAAATCAGACGCCCGAAAGGACACCAAGTTGTCCTTACCATTGGAACGGATCGAAAGCGGTCAAGCGGGGCCGATGCAACCACCCTGTGCCCCCTCGTCATCTCCTTTGTTCTCGCCTCAAGCAACCAGGGATGAATCCTGTATCTTATTCCATGATGAGAGTAAATCCGTGATTCTCCTAGATATTCCAAGGTCCCTGGAAGAGGCCCAGGTTCTCTCAGATCAGACCCCGCCTCGCCGCTTGCTTTCGGCCGAGCCCATCTCGACTCCTTTCTTAGTCCCTGAGCCTAGGGATGCTGAGATCCGCCAACATGCGCAGTCGCCCTCCACCCTGCTGGCGGATCTCATGACACGTTCTACGGTTAGGCGGGCATTGGAGACGCTGAACTCATCATATACCGGTCCCTTCTGTTTACCTAGGCGGACCACCGAACGGAAGCAACCCGAAAGCCACGGTGAATCAGCCAGCCACTGGTTCCCGGAAGGCGCCAAGTATGTCCATGGCACAATCGAGGAAAAGAGGGAAGAATTCCTGTCAAAAGCCCCCGTATTTGACCTCATCATACTCGACCCTCCTTGGCCGAACCGTTCCGCTAAGCGGAAAAGAGGCGGATACCCCACCACGCGAGGCGTGGACGACACACGTCGCCTCTTATCTCAGATTCCCGTAGGCTCGCACCTCGCGCCCGACGGCCTAGTCGCTGTCTGGGTGACCAACAAGCCCAGCCTCATGGAACTCCTGACCGCACCCACCAACGGCATCCTCGCCGAATGGGGTCTCGAGGTCGCGGTCGAGTGGACCTGGCTCAAGGTCACAGCGGCCGGGGAGCCGCTCTATGATCTCGAGTCGACATGGAGAAAGCCCTGGGAGCGGCTCATCGTGGCCAGACGGGTCGGAAGCAGCGTCAAGGTGCCTCAGCGTGTCGTAGTTGCCGTGCCGGACATGCATTCCAGGAAACCTAACCTGCGCCGTCTCTTTGACGACGTCCTCGGTCCCGGCTTCCGCGGCCTGGAGGTATTCGCAAGAAACTTGACGGCGGGGTGGTGGAGTTGGGGGGACAGTGTGCTCGAGTCCCAAAAGCGGGATTGCTGGGTGCTGCCCGAAGAGTCATGAAACAATTTAAGAACCAAGAACCACCCAGTCATGGCAGACAACGCTCGAAGGATACCCGCCAGGTGCGGATGTTTATATGCGGCCATGTTTTTTCTAAGACGGATATCATACAAGCACTCCTCCTTCCGTGCCGCTGCTTGTCCGCCCTCGTAATATAATACAATACATCTTCCTGCAGTGCCCGTCCCGGCCAAGTTTGTAAGCACACAACTCGAAACTAAGGGCCGTTTGATCACTTCTTCTCCGCCCCACCCTGCGTCCTCCACTTCTCATCCAGCTTCGCGTCCGTCTCCCAGGTGAGTTGGCCGTTGAGGTACTTCTGCGCCCGTTGCCGCAGCTCGCGACGATCAAACGTAATGGGATCCTTGCTGGGGGAACCGATATTCCCTTCTTCGTGCCGCGCGCGCTGGGTTTTCGACGCCAGATTGCCGCTCTTCTCTCGGGCGTCCCACAGGTCCTTGTTCCACGGTTGCAGATCTGCCGGGACTTCGGGCCAGACGAACGGCCGCGTCAACTCGGCCGTCATGTATTTTGTCGGAGGGGGTCGGTAGAGGGCGCCGCGCCCGCCCTGGCGTCGCTCTACCTTGTGCTGCTGTACGGCGCTGCGAACCTTGGTCGTTTCCACGCCGTACAGGTTCCAGAGGTAATCGCGGAGGTCGAACTTGGTGAAGGTTAGGGGCACCTCGAAGTGCGCCCAGTTGGGAGGTTGGTTGTCTCGGCGGAGGAAGGTGATGACATGGGAAGGACTGGAGAGAAGACTCTGGGATTAGCGATCGATGTGGTCGTCCGGGAGAGCGTTCTCCCAATGCGGTGATGCTTTTCGGCTTCACGGGAGGGAGAGATTGGTAGGGACATACAGGAAGACCTTCTTCTTTCCCAGCCTGAAGTTGGGTAGCCTTCGGGCCAAGTTTCCTACTGCTGTTTCTGCCATTCTGACGGTATGGCTCTCTAAGTCGGGGCCGCGAGTTGTGATCGCGATCATCCAGTCGCTCAAAAATTCAAGGTGCTCTTCAATAAGAGGGTTTGATTGGTCAATGCGGAACATCCTCATTCCGGAGCCCGAGAATGGTTAACTTTGATGATACTTCACCCACCCGCCCGCCGCCCCCCCCCCCCCCCCCCCCCCCCCGGCGGAGAATTTGTGTCTCGGCACTAACATGTGGGGCTGAATGCCTCCTAACAGAACAAGCACGCTCCAGATTCGAATGACTGCTATCCAAATGACCTTGTGACTTGACATGCACTCGCTGAAGATTTCTCAGGACAACTACCATACTTATGACAGAGTGAACCATTGTCACCGGCAAGAGCAGATTTTATGTATACCTCTGAGCACCTTCATTCCATCAGAGAACAAACAGCATAATCATTTCATTTCGCATTTAACAATGTTACCAGGTTTACATCGAACAGCCCAAAAAAGTAACACTGTCCGTCATTTCGCCGGGGTCATCTTGACCCTTACCATATTCGCCATATCACCCACCATCTAAACGTCGAGGCCATCCACGACAATCCCCTTGTTCCAGGTCCACTGCATAACGCGTGCGACCTCGGCGGCAGAGTCATCGGAGACGAGAGCGCTGATTAGGTATAGAGCCGCATCTACACCCGCGCTCACTCCCCCACTCGTGATCACCCGAAGCCCACCGAGCCGCATCGCGGCGCGGCGGGCAATAGACTCGCGCCTGGTGGCACTTTTGAATGACATGCTGCCCTTCCTGCATTATCCGTTGTCAGCTTGTACAAGTCCAAAATGCATTGACATGTGCCCGCAAGGTATAAGTGGTGAGAACATACCGGCCATGGGAAGGGCGACGGGCGTCCGACTTCCGTCGAATGTATGGGTTCTCATCCTCATCCCCGATGTCAAAGCGGAGATTATTGACAACATATCTGGCGTCCTCAACGACATCGGTGCGCTCAGCGAGATTCCTGGTAGCGGCCTCACTGCAGAGGATTTCAAATTTTGTCATGTAATAAGGATGCGTGGTGGCCGAGAGGCCGGATAGGATTCCTTGCTTAGCAAGGAGGAGGGACCCGGTGCACACGGAGAAGAGAGTGCGTTCGCGGCCAGGATCGTTCTTCTGAAGCTCGGCATATGCGAGGATAAGGGAAAGGGGTTCACCACCTTCCTTCAAAAGTTCCTCTACACCACCGCCAATAATGACGAGGACGTCAAAGTCGTTCAGACGGTCGTACGCCTCCTTGTAGGAGATTTGACTGCCGACCACGACGCCCTGGTTTGACAGAACCTTGGGTTCGGCTGCGGCGAGGGTGCATTCGAAGGCTTTGCTAGCTATGGGTTGTGGCCGATTGGGCAGCGGTTAGCCTCCCTGCCGAGGTCACTGGTTCCTGGAGCTCCCCCAATGTGCGGGGGTGCTCAGAAGAGGGGTCGAGGTGCAGATCAAGCACACTCCGGGTAATGGCAACACTAACATGCATCATTGGCATCGTGCTGAGCCCAGGCCAGAGCCTCCAGCGGACCAGCGAGGTCAGTAAGGTTGAATTTGGGTTGCAGTGCGAACAGAACCTCGATGGGCTCGTCCGACACTGCAGAGTTCTTGTTTGCCATCTTGAAAGAACTTTGTCGACTGAGAGGAGAATGTGGCGAAGGTGACGTATCTACAGCGATGAGGAAAGGGGCCGAGCCACAAGTCTAAGTCTGGGAATGAGAAATTCGACTGGCTTCCGGTTCAATTGACCGGATCCGGGTTGGCTGTGATGGTCGGGTAAACGGTGCGATAGGGTGTGGTGTGCAGAAGCAGGTGTATGAAAGGGAGAAGAAAGGGAGGAGGAGGAGGAGGGACTTGGGGCTGGGAGACGCAAGTAGAAGAAGTACTCGCACCAGTGAGGGGTTGAGGGGATGGACCTGGAGCTAGAGCTGGCTTTTCGGAGGGACCATGTAAGCTGCGCTCGTGACCTGAGAGGGGCAAGTGATCTGCCCCTAATTGATGAGTCGTCATCGCAGGACGCAGATGCCTATCAGCCCACGGCAGGTTCCTGATGTTACCCCCTCAAGACCTTACCCTAAGGTATGTACCTGGTAGTTTTGGGCCAACAAAAATGATAAGACTTTGAATGGATTGACACTTTCTATGAAGAAAATTGGTACGGTATTGTGTGAATGGGTCAATTGAGTTAGCTAGCAAGGAACACCTGATGAAAACAGTTCGTCCGGCCACGAAGGTATCCCATCCTCCCGTGTTGGAAGCATATCCGGTGGTGTAAGCTCGATCCGATTATCGTGTGTGGACCCACTAAAGCCCGACAATTTGTGGACTGTCACCTACCTTACGTTGTGGGGCTATGCGAGTTGGAATGCGGGGTTAGCCCCAGTGTCCCAGCCAAAACCCAGCCAAAACGGTTTGCATCAATCTCCTGATGTCACGGGGCGGGTCTCAGTACCTCGTTGCAGGAGATCACCCCACCAATCCCGGTGTATCTTGGACAAGCACCCCTACTGTACACGTAGGGGCCGGCCGCCCTGGATGCAGCAACCCTGGTCGTACTGTAATTGTACTTCCTAGCTCGTCCCAAAGACAACGTAGAGGCGGCAATTGGGGGTTTCCACTCTCGCGGGCGACTGGCGGCGGATGCTGGCATGGTCGTTCCATCGTAAATCGCAGGACGTATCCTGTGTCCTCCTGTGGCCCAAGCCGAGCCACAAGGAGTGCGGTTGAATGCTACACGTACTACGAGCAAAACAAGGCCCATAAGATTGGGGATTTGGCGGGGGCCCCGTTCGGTCTCAACTCCAGCCGAGCTGGACTTGTTGTTTGCCTATCGAATGGAAAGCCAGATCACTCCAGCCGGTGTGATCAGCTAGGATTCGCTGCAACCCGCAAAAGCGAAGCCTCCCCGCAGAATCGAGACGTCCGGTGGTACCTGCATGTCCAAGGGGGTGGGATTCATTCGGTTAAAGTTGAATCAGGGGCGACTAGGACGAGATATAGGCGTAGGGTTCCCATCGGCGACTAGTCTACCTTGATATTGGGCTATGATATTCAGCATCAACCACGCGATATTTCAAGGCCTGCGGCGTCAGAAGGCGGGACGGGCCTCCGAAACGACTTTTACTAGAAAACCCGGCCCTTCCCGCAAAGGGCTTCGCATGATCATGACAGGGATCTTGGCTTTCTCGGTAGTCGGAATGGCACCATTCCTCTCCTTGACTGAAAACTATTGACAGCCTGATGTCGTCGTGTGATACTGAACCTCCCAAGGTCTTAGCTTCAAAGAATATCCCTAACCAAGGGGTGGGTCGCATCTTCTGGCTCATAGGTATTAAGATGTGAACGGGAACAGATTCCGTTTCCGCCAACACAGTTTGCCGAGTTGTCTGCTTATAATAGGTCGGCAACACCGCTGTGTACTCTGTACAAATCCATGTTTATCGGGTTATTTAGGATTCATCTGATGGTTCAAAAAGACGTCTGAAGACGACGAAAGTGTTGACAATAAAATGGGGAATCAAGCGATCGGTTTATTTCCGTAGACCATCGGGGGACTCGTAATTGTGATGGCGCTTACTTGAATTACGTAAGGCAGCTATGGTAGGCTAAAAGATAAGATACGCACATACAGTCCATATACTGTATGAATACTGTACATGCTTAGATTATCGTGGGGTTGCTGGTCGACACTGGCCTACCTTCCTAGTTACCTACCTCATATACCTGATGCATTACCTACTTCGTATGTACCACAGCAACGTCGGAACAGGAACAGCACTAGAGCGGTCGGTTGCAAACTCAAATCTTTGACTTCGTAGTCTCCTCATTTTGCGATTCTGTGTTACTTGCTCGTCTTAATGACGAGCTGATGGTGCCAATATGGCGTCTTCCGGGTATGCTACTTAAACAACCCCTCGTTCCCCTGGGCCGGTGCAGTCTTTATTGGGCCTCTCGCATCGATAAACCCGATTTCAAACTCGATGAAACTGATGCGCAGCCTTGTGGCTTCTCCTCGCACATTGCTGACATGTGGCTCCAAAAGGTCGCTGAAGGATTTGACGAAGGCCATTACTGTGTACTGCAGCAATGCGCCGACACTGCCCCTTCCAGAAGAGCTTATCCAAACGATCGAGGCTTACATATCCCGACACGAGAAGTTTGATGAATCTGGCTCAGAAAAACTCCACGATGAGCTCCAGTCCATCTACCAGAAGCACGTCAACGGCATACATGCGAACTTGGCTGGCTTTATTGCCGTCCTTCGTCGTCTGATGCCAATCCTGCGCGTCCCGTCGCGCGTTTTCTACTGGTGGGATACTCTGCAAGAAGTGACCCAGGCCAACTGTACCATGGAAAAAAGCGTGCTGGACGAAATAATCACGGGGATGCTAGATATGCTTCTAGTCGAGGATCAGTATGACCGGGAATCCGATAGCAACACGACTTTGAATACCTTTGCCGAGCGGCTATACACGACCTGGTTGGGAATGCACCATGCTGTGGAAACAGGCGACGTCCAAAGTGCCGTGGCATCGGAGCGTGCTATCCGGGGAGCGCTCGTAACGTGGGGCAAGAAGAAACCGAAGGTGAGGCCTTTATCCTCTCTTCCCGAAGGCTTTCATTTTCTTCTGTTTGGGACGCTGACGGTGCCAATTGAATCCAGCCCTTTCTCGACCTGCTCGATCGCTTCTTCGTAAAGAGCGAATATCGAACCAGAACCATCAGAATGCTCTCCGAGTTTATGCAGAACCAGCCTCCACATCTATACCTCATGTTACAGACACCGCTTTTCGGCAACCTGCTACGATGCCTACAGCTAGATACCTCGACTGTGGTGGTATCATTAGCTCTCACCACCCTGATTATGGCCCTGCCGCATATGCCCAGTGCTCTTATACCGTATCTTCCCACCTTGTTCAACATTTATGCAAGACTACTATTCTGGGATCATGAAAGAACTGGGATCGTCGAGGCTGGAGCTGACGATTCAGAGAATAAAGGCTCTGCTTCCAATACTGGCTGGGAAACATGCACATTCTCCCCAGACACTGACGAGCTAAGCATAGTCCATCTCGCCGACTACTTTACTATTCTCTACGGGCTATATCCCCTCAACTTCACGGATTATATCAGAAAACCTCACCGGTATCTGAGGCATGCGAATGTAGCCAATGAAGCCGATGTGGACGTCCAGCCCACGGAGATGCGTCACAAGTCAGAGAAATTCCGGCGAGATCATCTCTTACACCCCAACTTCTACACACTCACTGTAGAGTCAGAAAAGACGGACATGGGAAGGTGGCTGAACAGCGAGCCTGCCGTGTTGGTTGCGGATTGCTTCGCGTTGCGCGTTCCTACGCGTTTGGGAGCGGAAGAGCACGGGCTTGCCCCGCAACTGCAAGGAGGCACGTCGTTGGTTCTATCCATGGACGGCTCAGGCTCGGAGCAGGAAGGTGTGCAAACGGCTCTCCTCAGTGGTCTTGGACCCGACCCGGGTTTAGAGAGTTGGCGAAACTCCCGAGGCTCGGGTGCGGATTCCCCGGCGAGCAGCCGCGTTCCGTCCCTGGTCCAGCGACACGCGTCGCTATCTAGCCGTCCTTCGAATGCCGACATGAGCGAGGCGCGGAGTCGACAAGCAGGGCCCGGAGGTGACAGTCCAACTCTACCCCCGCAGCTGACGGTGTCCAACCCGCAGACGCAGCTGCAAGACATGCTCCAGTCGAACAAGGCCATCAAGTCAGGCCTTCACCAGTCGCTAGCAAACGATAGCGTCCCATCGTTGGCACTGAGCCATGCGGAATCGGCCCATGAGAGGCCCATTAGTCGAGTACCCACTCCCGGTCCAGCCGCGCCGTCGACAGTCTCTCTTTCCCAAGGGGATCTGCTTTCCAGGGTGACACAGCTGCAGCAACACGTCATGCTGCTGCAGAATGACCTCAACTTTGAGAGGTACTTGAAGCAGCAGCACATGGCTCACATTGGTGAGTTGCGGCGAGCGCACGTCAGGGAGGCAGCAAGTGAGGCCGAGACACAGAACCTCATCATGGCAAATCGGAACTTGAAGAACCGGCTAGAGGATGCCAAGAAGGCCGAGATGCAGATCAGAAAGGAATCGGAGAAAAGCCGCGCATTGGCCAAAAAGTGGGAGTCAGATTTCTCGGCGAAGCTTCTCGCGCGGCGGGAAGAAGTGAAGAAGACCAAAGCGGAGGGGGAGGCTCTCCAGCAGGAGCTGCAGAGCGCCAAGCAAGAATGCGAGAAGCTGAGGAAGATTGTCTGCGAGGCAGAGGTCAGGGAGCTGAACTCGAGGCAGAACAAGCAGTCGGTCGAGCTGGACAAGAAGGATATGGTCAGACTCAAGGCGGAAGTGGAACGGCTGACGATGTTCGAGCGAGACCTGCAGACGAAGGAAGCAGAGCGCGAAACCGCTATGCGCTTGGCAGCCGAGGCCGAGAAGCGGACGGAGGAGTTGAACATGAAACTCGCAGCGAGAGAGCATGAGCTGCAGAAGACGACAAGATTCTTCCAATCTCAGATAGCGACTCTACATGCGAAACTCACAGAGGCTCAGGCGGGACCGCGTTGCAGGCCCGCCAACGAGAGCAACTCGGCGATACAGAGCGCCTTGGCGGCTAGCCGGGCCAAGCAGACCGAGATGGAGAGGGAGTACGGGAACCTGTTGCGCAGGTACACCGCGCTGCAGCTGCAGTACGAGGAGTGTAAGATGGAACTAAACTCCACGATGGGACCGTCGCGGAACGAACTGGGCTTCCGGATGGACAGCGAGAACGGGTCGTCACATTCGACCAGCCCCGTCAATGTGAGGGCGGGCCCCCATCGCATTCTGACAGATCACGACTCCCAAGATCCGGCATCTTACACCAGAACAGCGCCAACCGATTTGAAGCCATCGACCCCAGGGGCGGTATCCACTTCTCCGGGAACACCTGCGGAGTTGTTGGGGTTCGGGGTCAGTGCGAGCCCGGAGCTGCGGTTCCACGGACGAGGTGGGTTTCGCCAAATATCTCTGGGTTCCGTATTGGTGCAGTGTTATTTGGACAGCTAGCTAACCGTCGCACAGGTGGCGTGCAAAACAAAATACGCAGAGAGGATAAGGGTAAGCAGAAAGACGAAGGTGGGGACAAGAAGGAGAAGAAGTCCACGGGACTCCGCGGCATTCGCGGATTTGTGTGATGAGAAGTAGTCGGATCCCGGGTGGAGCCTGGCAGGACACGGGCAATCAGGAGAACTTCCCAGCAGAGGCCAATGAAATAAAGGTAGTCCTAGGCGGGCAATTTCGACTTGACGAAAGAATGACAAGTACGAATTACCGCAAAGGCAGGCATGAGATTCGGAGTTGGGAGGAAATGGGGTTCTATCCTTTCAAGGTGCAGCACGCAATGTCCCTTTACACGCAATATACGGATAGGCGGAAGCTGTGAACTGTGTTTGTGGACTTTTGTTGATGGCTGCTGGGCTGGTGGCCGCCAGTGGTGATGGAAACGGGAACGGGACTCGGTCACTTTAATTGCTCCGAATACTGGCTGAGGAAGTCTACAGTCTGGCAAAGCTCAAATTTTCGAAAAGCTCCTGATGCCCATTCCGTTTCCCGGGGCAGATTTCTGGATGACACGGGCATGCCAGGTGCCGGTTTTGGTTCAGAGGCTGAATTCCTTTTTCGTGCGTGTCCTTCGAGTCTTCGAGTCCCCTAGTCGCCGGATCTTGAAGAGGTGTGGGGAACCGGCGAGATTTTTGGGATATGAGATTCGTTGTTACGAAGTACCTGTAGATTCGAGACTGGACGAATCGAATAACACATTCGGCCCTGATAAAGGGGACGTGAGTACCTGAGGTATCTACCTTATTAATTAAGGTAGGAGTCAGCCCCATTAATTACGGATACTGCGGAGTGCGCACGACTCGCTCTCTTAGTCCCTTCGGACGAAGTACTTCGTACAAACCCAAAAAGTTCTAAGGTACCTTACTTATGGCCGTGGACCTATGAAAGTTGGTTCCTGAGTGTACCTGCGTCAACGTAACACGTGCGTGGAATAAGGGAACTTTGTTGACCTGGCCGAGTGAGGCGTTAAAACCCTTTGTGTTCCACGTCTGGAATCACAGGAAATGGTAGACACCGAGACGGCAGTGAGAAATGCTGAGAGGGTAATAAGTCAACGTACATAGGTTTGAATCACCTGGAAGTTGGAAGGAGGCAAGCAGTTTTGTCGTTTCTAATTAACACGTCGTAGCTACCACACCAAGCACATATTATGGATGCCTCCATGACGTTGCCAAGTTCGTATTGCAGTAAGTATGCGTTGTGGTGTGGGTAGCATCTTCGTACCGGGGAAGCAGGGGTATGGGAATCGGGGGCCGAGCTGCTTTCCCCGTCTCCAGTAGACACGCAACATGCGGAAAGAAGTCTGGCTGGAGAAGCAAGGCTACTTTTACTATTCGTACTTCATACCTTGGTACGGGGTACACCATCGTCATTCCTTCGTACTTCATACAGTAAGACTTGGGCGGACTGTCGTAGTGGGCTGTCTGCATCCTTGCCGATTACTTTGTTCGGTCCAGACCGTTGAACTGGACCGAGAGAAGTGGATCAGTCGACAAGCCTGACATGTGCCTGACGCGTCCAGGGCAACGATCCTAAATATTGGGGAGAAAGGTAATAATCAGGTGACAGCAAGATCGAAACCAACATTATGAGCCTTGAAGAAAGCTGAATTATAATGGATGAAGAGACTACTCCGGGGACTTAAAGGTGATGTGATGCGATGGAAGAAACCAAAGGGTGCTGGGGACGGGGAAACGTCCGATCTAGAGCTAACCTGGCTGGGTAAGTGGGAGACACATCCCTTGCCCGTTTCGCTCTTGTTGGCTTAGGTAAGGCGGTTAAGGTATGTACGAGCCAGGATCGGAGGACAGAGTAATACTTGGTACCTTGACTTCGTATATTCTTTCACCCCTCCCCCCCACTTCAACGGCCCACCGACTTCAAGTCCGCCACCAAAAACGCATCAGCTGAAAACCCCGACTTCCGTTGGACCACTGCTAGACCACCACATCCCACACCTCCACGACTAAGGTACCGATCAAAAACAGAAGAGGAAAAAAAGCCTGCAGCTCGGGAGTGGAGGCGTGTACACAAACAGGATGAACGGGGCGAAAACAAAGCGGAGCTTTCGTTTCCTGCACTCGGGTTCAATGGCGTCCCAACCGAAAAACACCAGCGGCTGCAAACGGGGACGACGTCAGTCCAAGACCGAACTGACCTGACTTGACCTGGACCTGACATAAACAGAGAGCCTGGTCGATTCTTTTTACTCCGCCGGTCCCTCGCCCGCCGGATTGTAATTTCTT